GCACAGGGCCTAGCGAGACTGACCTGAGTTCCCAGGGGCATCCCTCGCACACAACCCAGAACCAGCCGCCCCCAGTCCGTTCATACGCGGCGGCGGCGAGCCAGCACTGTCCAGAAGATAGGATGAACCAACGCCAGCCAAACAAGCCGCAAAATAAGCTACAAACCGGGCGGCCTTAAACGATCTACGCGTCTTACGCGTTTATTACCTAAAAGCCCGCTTCGGAACGAGAAAGCCTACGATATATATATCTTCGTTCGGGAAAGGCTAAGTCCCCAAGCCCGAGAAGCCCTTAAGGGGATCGACCATGTTAAGATAGGATTAGTACTCCTACCTTCGTCAATGGATAGTGCAAAGTCCTGCTAGAGAATAGAGAATAGATCGCTGCCCTTCTCTAAGTATAAGTGATCGAGCAACGCGATACCTGGATCCGAGCCTATATTGCAAACGTCCCTTACACCAGGCATTATCTGGTAACCAACACTGAGCTGGAAATTACGACCGAGGAGCTCCTTGAAGAGATCTAGGTCTCGACGAAACTCAAGCCTGAAAAAGCACACTTCTCTAGGAAGGACGAAGTCAAAGGCTAGGCACGGTGATAGCCTGGTTCAAGGCGGAAGCCGTAAGGCAACTACTAAGACGCCTCCGTTTGATGGGGGCCAGCGTTTTTATAAACCTACAGTTCCCGAAGGAGAAGAGGTCTCCTTAATATCTCCGCTGCGGCGGTTTTCACAGCGAACGAACGTGCACCAGAAGGAAGAGATGCCTCAAGTGTAGCTCTCCTTCCTACACAACTGATCAACACCGGGCACCCTGCGGCGGCACTGAGGGTCACGATGGCTGCGACTGCCCCTTTAAATGCCCGTTGTGTAACGGGCCTTACGCCGCCTTCGATGCGACTTGCCCTATCCAACCTAAAGTGGTGAAGGGGGTAGTCTAGAGGAGGGATAAGGCTCAGCTACGGGCTATCCGAGCTGAGGGAGAAAGATTATGGAGAAATGCGACCTAGCAGTCGCATCGACATTCCCGTGAAGAAGAACAAGCGATGGACTATACCCCGGCGAATAAGACATAAAAGAAGAATATAGCCCTTTAAAACCCTACAAATTATGTAAGCGAATGTGGGTAGGCGGGCATCCGCCCACGAAACAGTACTAAACCTAGCTTACGTAGCCCAGATCGATATACTCCTAATATAAGAGCCATCTATCCGTTCGGAGGAGAGGAGGCTTATAAGACACCACCCAGGTTTTAAGACTTTCACCCTAGTAGATAACTGGACCGAAGACCGTCCTAGGGTACTTACCTACCTCCGCAGAGGAACTAGGGTACGAGGCGTATAAATACGGCCTCTACCCGATCCATCCACAGACCTACTCTTCTTACGACTCCTCTCAGGAACGAAGGAGGTCCTTACAGTTATTAACGTATATAACGCCCCTCGTGGCTCTCTACGATCTGGCCAGGCTCTCAGGAACATCCTAGCGGCCTGGTAACCCAAACCTGAGGATCGAGTACTGATTGCGGGGGATTTTAACTTACACCATTGGACGTGGCAGCCCGAGGCCACGAGTTCCCCGGACGCTGAAAACCTAGTAGAATGGGCAGAAGCCGCTAGTCTTGTCCTAATGTCACCTATAGGTGAACCCACGCACAAAGGCGGCAACACCCTAGATTTATGCTGGGCGTCCAGTAACCTCCATGGGGCTTCCACCAGTATAGAAACGTCACTACACACGACATCAGACCACGAATCTCTGCTTACCCGGGTCCCCTTGGCCCTGATCGATTTACCCAGCCAGACCCCGGGAAGGTTTCGGCTCGACACGATGGACGAGGAGCTTTTCCTCGGCATCATTAACGCAACTTATAACCCATGCGCCGCACTGTAAGCAACATCTAAGACCCATAGTCTTTAGATCTCCTAGCACAATAGCTTACGGACTGTCTTATTAAAGCACTCACGGCTTCCATAAAGCGCACGCTCGGGAAAGGTATAGGGAGACCATACTGGAGCGAGAGCTATATACGTAAACACCGAGCCTATGCGAGTAAGCGAGCGATATTAGTAAGACTCCGCGCAGCCGGAGTGAACTGCCAATGGGAAGAAGAGGAGGTCGAAGCTCTAAAATAGGACTTCCTCTACGAGTTTAAACGCTCTAAGGATGCCTTTTAGAAAGATAAGATCTCCTTAGCCTCCTTAAGCAAAGACATATTTGAAATGGTCGGTTGGCATAAAGCTACAGGATCCTTTTAGACCCCGCCACTCCGAGATGTAGATAACTAAGATACGCTTGTCTCATAACCAAAAGAGAATCGCGACTTATTTACCCGCGTCCTCCTTAGAAATGCTGCAATCTCCGAGGACATACCAATAGAAAGCCCAGTCTTACAAAGGCAAGCTATGCTTCCTTTCCCGCAGGTTATGAAGGACGAGGTACGGTCTTCGGTTCTCACCGTAGGAAACACGACTCCTGGGACCGACGGAATCACTACGACTACTTTAAAAATAGCATGGCTAGTTATCGAGGATATTGTCCTCTTACTTTATAGCGGGTGTATATACGAGGGTTAGCATCCTACTTATTTTAAAGAAGCAACTCTCATGATCCTAGTAAAACCGGGAAAAAGAGATAAGATACTCCCGCGCTCCTATAGGCTAATTGCGCTCTTGGCCGTCCTCGGAAAAGGCTTGGAGAGACTCATCGCTAGACAACTTGCCTGGATCGTAGTTAAACATCGTGTTCTACACGATCAACAGTTTAGAGCACTCCCTCTTCGCTCTTATAGCGACCTTATCGCAGCGGCTATCCACGATATCGAGTGCGCCTAGCAAAGAGGCCTGGTTACCTCTATACTTACGCTCGACATAAAAGGGGCTTTCGACGCCGTACTCCCAGGACGACTGGTCCGACGCCTCTACGAACAAGGATGGCCGGAGAACCTCGTACGCTGGGTCTCAAGCTTTATTACCAGAAGGAGAGTAAGAATAAGACTTAATAGGGAGGTAGGAGACGTCTTCGGTCTCGAATACGGACTACCATAAGGTTTACCCGTATCTCCTATTCTACTTATACTCTATATCGAACCTCTTTTTAAGCTAGGCATAGCTCGCTTAGGAAGGAAGCAATCTCGTTTTGGTTACGCCGATAACGTCGCTATCTTAACAAGCTTAACATTACTAAAGAATAACTATAACATTCTAACTAAGGAATAGAAAGAAACCTTAGGATAGGGCGCGACGGAAGGAATCACTTTTAACCTCGATAAGTCCGAACTAATCTACTTCATTAAGAGACGAAAAGACGGAAACCTATTAATTATAGTAGGTTTGCCGGATGGGAGGTATTATATAGTTCAGGCTATTAAAGAAGGCTCTTCTCTACGCTGGCTCGGCGTTTACTTCGACCGTAAACTCATATTTAAGAGTTACGTAAGAAACCTCTCTGTAAAAGCATGCTAAGTAGTCAATGGACTACGGGGACTAGGGAACACTGTCTAGGGCGCGCCTGCGTACTTACTTCGTCGAGCGATCACCTCTTGTATATTACCTACTCAGTACTATACATCTAAAGCATGGTGGCCCGGCAAGAGCCGGATAAAGAATGGACGTACTATCTCAAACGGGGTTGGTAGTCTGCTACACCAACTGGACGCGACGCAAACCAAAGCCATCAGAGCGATGGTCCCCGTATACAGAACTACGCCTGTACCGATCCTACAGCGCGAGGCGGCTCTACCCCCAGCAGAGGTGATACTGGACGCGAAGCTCCACACAGCGTCCACCAGAATCCATCGTCTGGACGAGCGACACCCTCTCCGAACGAGACTCAGGGACAAATCAGGACCAGACTCACGGCTACGACGAATGGCAAGCCTCGTAAGCAAAAATACCGAATACATCGATCCATTAGAACTCCCCCCTTGGGAGCAACTAGCGGACTGGCAGACAGCCCTCGCCAGGGTCGGCTACGAACCTAATAAGACCAAAGAAGAACAGGCCTTCTCCTTTGCAGGCAGGATGGCAACTTTCTCCAAGCGGGACATTGTTGTCTATACTGACGGGTCCTAGATGTCGGACGGCAGCAGTACCTCCGCCGGAGCAGGCTGGGTAGGGTACCAAGCTACACGGCAGATCTTCCGCGGATCCGAACCACTCGGCTCCCAAACTGAGGTGTATGATGCGGAGGCATATGCTGCGTATCACGGCCTGATGGAAGCTACCCGGGCTCCTACGGCTCGTATGGCAGATAACGTCCATATCTGCCTTGACAACCTTGCAGTCGCGGCTAGACTATACTCCCAGAGCACAGGAAGTAGCCAGGCTAGATTTAGGGCCTTCAATAGGCTCTCTTCCTCCTGGTCTCGAAGACAAAGAGAGAGCTGGACAACCCCCGGCAGGGTTTATGTTTGGTGGTGCCCTGGGCACACGGGAGTACCAGGAAATGAAGAAGCGGATGCTCTAGCCAAGGAAGCCTGCAAACTAATCCCAAAATCACAACCACAGCCCTCATTAGCGCACCTAGAAAGGCAAGCTAAAGTAGCTACCTTCCAAGCCTTTGCCAGAAAATGGCTGTCCCAATGCCCTCGGTAATATGCCGACCTCGAGATAATTCTTCACCCCAAGCCGCCCGAACTCCGCCTCCCTCGGCACTTACTAGGAAGGCTATACGCAGCAAGATCCCATCATGGAGACTTTGCAGCATACCACGAGAGATTCGCTCATCAAGATGCGTTGCTCAACTGCAGCTGTGGGAAACCCAAGACACCAGTCCATTTCTACTTCTGCAAGCGTGGACGCAAGGCTACACCGCGCTACCTCCGCCAACGTATGGCCAAAGCAAGCATTGATTTCTTGTTAGGTTCTGCTAAGGGAGCCTCTCTTCTATACGAATAGATAGAGGAGACCAATTTCTTTTCCGAAATTTGCCCGAGTCATTGAACAGGAACGTTAGGTGAAGACGGTAGCCTGTAACATAGTTTAGATTAGTATAGACCATGTCGGCATAGCGCCCGGCACGTACTTTTGTTACCAGACGTTAAATACATCATCATCATCATCATCAACACTAGTCTTTTCTGTTGCAAGCACCAGTTCATTTCAAAGTCCTGAACAGATAACGTTAGAGCCCATGAAGGATAGCCATCGCGTTCGAGAATGGTCTCCCTTGCGAATGATTACACCAACGCCCGACTACAAATCACGATCTTGTAGCGACGACATACAATACCAACTAACTAAAATATTACGAGGTTCTCCATCGATAAGAAGAAAGAGCATATGTAAACTGAGTCATACTCAACTCAAATTCATTATCTGCATGTCCAGCGAATCCGAACGCCTGGCCCTAAATATTCACATAGGCCGTCTAGCTTTCTTGACCGGCTGGCATTGAATGGTATATAAAAGGAAGAGAATACTCCTATGCCCAAGTCCCCGTCACTCCCGTAGCCTCGTATTGCCGGTTCATTCTATCGTTCTGTTTTCATCTTCTTCCATGGTCGTCTGGAAGTTGGGCTGGACCGTTGGGTGATGCGTGATGTCCCGAATCCAACTCATACCGGGCCTCGGTAGGGGCTTCGTAAATTGGGTTCGTGTTGGCTTCGGCAGCATAAGAATGTGGCTGTGTGTGACCAAGAACCTTTGACTCTTGTCCGCCGTAGTAGTCGTTGGCTGGCGACGGCGAAGAAAGTGTTGAGGCGTTGATGGTACCCGGGCTGTGCTTACCACCAACTGTGCTGCCATCATGGCCAAGCTCGTGGTGATGTTCGCTCGGCTCGACGATTGCCTCCTTTTTGGCCTTTCTCCGACGCCACCAGAAGAAAAACCCGGCGCCAAGTAGCGCGATGGCTCCGAGGGAGACGCCCACACCGATGCCGGCGGCGGCGCCTGATGATAGCCCTCCTGAAGACGATCCTGCTCCCGCGGTGGAGCTCGCGGTAGCAGATCCACTGGTTGCTGTAGGAGTGATGGCGCCCGATCCTGATCCGGTCGCTGTGGCTGTTGCCGAGCCGGTGCTAACGGGTGTAGACTGGAATTTGGAATTAGAGTACCACTCGGTTGTGTTGTGGAATATAGAGAGAGACTTACGCCCGCTGAGTAGATGGTAGAGTATGCACCATCGTTGACAGCTTTTGAACTTGTCATGATCCAGTGCTGAGCAGGTTGACGAGCCGAAACACCGTCGGAGCCCTCGATCTCGCTCGACATGAAGAGGTTGGATCCGGGGTGAACATCGAGCACGTAGCCTGTGCCGTTTGCAACGTTGGTGAACTTGTAGGTACCCGGTTCACTCGCCCACTCAGTGACGTCCCATTGCTGAGTCTCGTCCGATTCCGTTTTTCTCAAGCACCCTCTTGTGCCACTAGGATGAACCTCCGCCGAACTCCAGCACACGGAAAGCTGTTGACTCACGCCGGCCGAGCTTAGTCTCATAAGATACCGGCCATCGTGGTTTGGCACTGGTTGGAACTGCCACACCGCGTCTGTCTTGCCGAAGACCCTGAGGCCATTGTTGGTATCTTGGAGGTTGTTGTTGAGTGGTGTTGAAACGTTCGCAACGCGCCCCTCCGAGATGGCGTACCAGACGTTCGAGTCCAGCGTTACGGCCGACATCGTTGTTATCTTGTTGTCGACTTCTTAAGTAGAGGCTGCGGCCACTCGACGGTTGTCGTCGACGTGCTATCGGTGATGTAGCGTTCGGCGTCTTCCCGCGTATATGCTGTGTTCGCAGGACAGCGAATGAGGCTCAAAACGCCGAAATCAAGCCAACATCATAATGATCACACTCAGAAAGCGATTTTTCTCAGAACATGAAAGATGGAAGGGAGGAAAAGGATTCAAAAGGACAGGAACCTAAGGAGGCTTGCAGGGGCCCCCGGACGACGTGCCGACCCCATTATTAAAAGGCATCAGCGTTAGGGCGGCAGGGGGTCAGATTGACTACACCATCTTAAGGCGGAGAGGAGCGGGAGAGACACGCCAGTGGACTGGTGGGCTGGGGATTGGCTTGTTTGACACTCCGCCCCTTGACGCCACGAACCAATTCATGAAGGATCATCGTCTCTTGAGGTGGCTACTGGCCGACAAATGGTTGGGTACAACGCTGCCGGTGCATCTGTGAAACTATATGGCCTGGTGTAGGAAAAGACAGACAGGCGACCACGTGACATAAGCACGCCAAAAGATCACACCAAAGTCCCGTTAGGACGTGAGACAACATGAGATGGGCCAGCCTTTCAGGCTACGAGAATGGTCAATGGTCCTCTCCCCGTTTCGTGGAAATCCTTCAGGCCCACTCGCGCCGGTATTCGCTTGGCAAACCTGGGCGTCATCCTGTTTGCTCAAAGAAGAAAAGATGGTCGCGGTTCTCGAGATAACCGCGACATGGGAAAGGGAAAGTCACCAAGAAGCGCCGGTTTAGCGTCGAAGCTCTGCGGCGTCAAAACCAACTCTAAATTCTCTTAACCTTCAGGAAGAGTCAGCCACGCGACCGTTGATGACAAGAAGCAAAACAAACATCAGAAACCAGAAAAGCCAGAAAACGAAAGGTCGGCGGGCGGTAGCCGCCACTCGAAATTTAGCAGCGGGAGCTCGAGAAACCGAGCCAAACCGCTTGTGGGCGCAATTATAAGATAGTAAGCGCTAGCAACTCAGCCCTGTCTATTTGGGGGCGCGAAATGGTCGTCAAGGCAAACCTGGCACCAGGGAAACCCCCAGCTTGGTCGTCATCCCTTACATTCGGCCATGATTGGATAAGATGGGCGACAACCGCGGCCGTCCACAGTCGGAGCTTGGACGCTGATCAGTCTGCTCGGATGCGAAAGTCCGATGAACCTTCAAGAAACTGAGGAGATTATGGGCACGGGAATCCCCCCTTCGGCCCTTCGGGCTCCCGTCGGGGTCAATCACGTAAACTGGTGCAATCAATGGGATGTGCATTGTGACAATTTGCACCCTCGTGGCTCTGAGATTTTGGCTCGTGAGGAAAAGAGGTCTTCCTTACCACCTTACTTAACATACTATCTGGGACCCCAGGTAAGTTGAGAGCCACGCGAGAGTTGGGCTTATTGACGCGCCCGCGAGCTCAATGAGCTGGTCTTGGTTCGTACTGAGCTAGGTACCGAATATTAGCAGCATCCCAGCATTAGCGGTGTCTGCTGGGGTCGCTCATCCTTCCTTGATGCTAATAGCAATACCACCATCGGGCCGCCACATCCATAGAATGTATTGGATGATCCTTCTCATTTCTACGTAATAGGTCAACGGATACCGCCAGGTCAGAAATCCAACATCTTATGATGACCAAGCCGTGACTGCCTCTCAGAGTGTACACTAATAATGATCAGTTCCCCATGTTTGTTCCCGTACATGCGATTACCGCTTATTCCCGGGCTTGATCCCGCTCTCCATTTCAAGTAGCTCTTTGTTGACAGCCGCGAAAGGGTAAGTAAAGGCACATACATGTATGTCAGTTCAGGCCTGGGAAGAAAAGGTCTTGTTAGTCCTACGAGATTGGCCTGCTCGCATTCGTTAGATCCGCCGAAGGAAGGCTTTTGCGACTGCTCCCACTGAGGTGGCCCGATGGATCAGAAAGACATAGCTTCCAAACCTAGGAGCTTAGGAGTCCAAGACAGCAAATTTTGGCCCTAGGGGCTTCCTGGTTGGCGGCGGTTCTCATGCAATAGCCAGGTCTCGTCCTCCTCAAGAAGATTGAACCCAATTGTCCAATGAGAGCCGAACTCAATAGAGCTGCCATATACCCTTCGGGAGGTCTGCCGCAAGGGCGGCTGCGCCCTTGCCGCTACGGCGTTAAATAGAACAAAAAAACAAAAAAATCAATAGAGCTGCCTAGTTCGATCTACCTCGCTTTTGCCCCATTTTTCAACTTCGCTTGTGGTCTGGAGCAGTCCTCGATTTGGAGGATCATTGACTTGGCATCAGCTCCAGCGGATGCCTTTCCGGTTGACTGCGTCGCTCATTTCCACTATGGCAACGGAACTTGGCTTCGTAATGGCACGCGGTTTCTAAGCGCAGCCGGGAAATTTGCCATCGTCGGCGAAGGCTATCTCTCGGTTGGGCTTCAAACTACAAATTTCCATGACCTTGACTTGTTGAATACTGATTGGGAACACACATTGGCGACAGCAAGACTCGGCATTCACCAAACTATTCCAGCTGTCTGAGATACAGGTTTCAGCAGAACGGTGGGGCTTTCGCTGCGATCTTACTCGAGAGATCCTTTGATCATATGAACAAGTCTCGGCCACTGTGAGAGCAAGCTTACCAGATAACCCCATGTCAAGAAGGTAGTCATTTCTGTACTGTCCCATATTCGTCGATAGCCTTATCAGATTTGCAAACATTTGCATAGTAGTAGTAGTAGTAGTAGTAGTAGTGGTGTTTTACATCATCAGGGACAGGTGCCCAGCTATCTATGTAACTAAGCTCCGACCAACCAGAGCGCCCTTTGGGCATATGATGTGCCGTGCCGCCATTGTAGCGTACGACAAGTCAGGCAGTCTATAATGTACACTTTTCTTCTCGTGCCTAGAGCAGTGGAGTTTAATATCTAATCCCCAGGGTCCGTTCAGTTCCAAAAAGCACGCCAGCAGGGGGTCCCTGACTCGGCAGAAGCGAATGGGTCTCTAGCAGCCCTACGCCGTCCACAGACGGCGTTGCCGCAACAAGTAACCGGCCCTCGGAGGCATATTTGCCTACGCGAGCATTTTTCTGTTTTCTTATATTTTCTTATATAGAAGATAAAGGAGGAAGGAAGAGAGAGGGGTGTGGTAAGGCCGGGGCCTCAAGGCGTCGGTGGGTGTGTGAGAGAGTTGTGAGGCGCGGGATCTCGGGCTCGCTATCTTTGCAGAGAGTGAGCCTCATAGTAGCGCGTCACACGCTCGAACTTCTCAAAGGCACCCGGGTCTCTGATCAGGGTGTACCAATAGGCTTCGGCCAGGCCTATCGGGGGCGGTAGTGGTCCCGGATCGTCCACGGTCCCGGTAATCGGCCATAGCGCCGAGGTACGGCGGTTCTTCGTGCAATATACTGGATGGGTAGGCGATAATTTCCGCCCGCAGTTACATTTGAAGTCTCCGTCGTGCTGAAAGCGCCTGTGGTAGGCGTGGAAATGGCCATGGCCAGAACGAGCAGCGAGGAGGTGGTGCAAAAGAGGACGCCGTAGGTCCAGTTCCGGAGGGCAACGGAGGGCAGCGTCAGTTTTCTTATAGCCTGGTTTGAGCTTTTGCTTCGAAGTATGCCACCATCGTGAATGGTAGCCACGGGCTCTGGCGCGGGCCATCTTCGCTATCCCAGCGTATGATGCTAGCGGTGGAGGGTCAGGCAGTAGGAGAGCGGCTCCTTCTTTAGCAAGCTTATCAGCTAATTCGTTTCCAGGGATCCCGGTATGTCCGGGCGACCAGTGGCATTTTATATCCCTTGCCCGCTGGGCGTCGAGTATCTCAAGCATAGCAGCCTGCGAGCTGGCGGGAGATCGTCCGAAACCCGAGATGAAGTTGAGAACGCCAGTATTATCGAGGCAAAGATGGATTGTAGTGGGGGAGGTGGCAGCTAGGTGCAGTGCTCGCCGTAGGCCCTGACGGGCCCCCTCGGCCTCGGCATCAAAGACTTCTGTGTATTCGCCGAGGCGGCCACGGCCTTCCGCGATGGCCTTGTAGAGAACTATGACAACGAGGCTAATATGGTCGTATGTCGATGTCAGATCCATGGATGTGGTGCTATATGCACAAAATATAGCATTAACGACAAAGCCCAGGACAGATCTCGGCATCCTTGTCGCTTTAAAGCACCATGGGCCTAGTGGCCGAAGACCGAGTTTACTCCTAGCGGCCTTCTCCGTATATAGCGAAACTATGACCGGATTAGCCGGTATTGCCCAGCTTTTGCAGTTGCCATGCGACATAACATAGACTCCATGTTTCTGCCAACAAACTCGGCATCATTGTCAATGATTTACTATGCGACAAACTACTTAACGAAGCTGGATATACCCCTTTGGAAAAGAATAGCGCTGATGCTCGACGTGTTTGACGGCCTAGATGAAGGAGCCTGTGGTGTCATACCTACTAGTGGCAGTGATACGGCACAGACCGCACAGCGGAACAACAAAACTCGGCAGTTTTTCGCCCGGTTAGTAAACTGGATCTTTACTAGCCGTGAGATCTCTTTGGTAGAGGTATATAGTAGGCTGCTTAAGTATAAAAATAGTTATTGTAGTTAGCAAAACTAGGGCAATATCATCCTTAGTGCTTTATACTAGGTCTTATTCCGGCGGTAGAACTATCTCCGAGATGCCGCAGACCCGGAGATACGGCTCCGTGCCGCTCCTAAATTTGTAAGCTTTGGCCCCGGTGGTCGTAGCCTACCGGTACTCGAAGTATATATATATTGCGGTCCGATTCTTAAGGAGCTTTGGTTTTATGATTATGTTGCTCTGGTAAATGTACGGAAACGAGGACCAAGGTCGAGAGTCAACAAGGAAAACTTCTTACCTTTCGAGACTACACTATAAGACCGCGATTGCTAAATATAGGAGTTACGACCGATCCCGAAGCAAACCGTTCCTATCATGTCTAGGTACCTAGACTACGACCCACGTGGAACAAAGGAAGGCTTTTATCAAAGGTAAGCATTTACAAGTATAACATCAAATAGAAGCTTACCGCACTCCATAGATCGGTATACATACTCCTTAGTCTATTTGTGCCATGGGGTCGGTTCATCGATCGTACGGAACAACCGTCCGACCTTTGGGAAGAACTCCAACTAACCCTCCCTGGCCGCATCAGAGCCTTGGTTGACAACGTCAAACTCCTCCACAAAAGTACAGAAGATGCCAAAAAAGACACAAAGTTATAGGCTAGTCGTAATAAGGGCGATAAGGGGCTGGAGTTCGACCCGGTCGCGGACGAGGTCGACATAGGCATAACGTAGCAGCCGGATACGACGAACCTCTACCATACTTTCCATAATACTATATATAGGTTAAACAGCGGGCCGAGCGTAGTAATAGAATCCCCGGCCATCCAAGGACTCCTGAACTCGCTTGACGAGACCGACTTTTCCAACATTCCAAGTAACAGCGACGATGACGAAAGCGGTGGGGGGCGAAACGCAACTCGTCACTATCACATACTGTCGGAACGGCAAGGCTGATAAGGAGCAATGGGCAGGTATCGTGGGCTGGCTGGCGCCTGCCCTAGGCGAAGTGGGACAACTGGCTTAGTCACCACGGCCGGTTAAGGTGGGGCAACCACCCAGGCCGTCACCACCTACTTCGACCGACCCCTGCCCACAATGTAAATAGGAACAAGAACAACAACAGCAATTATCACGGACATCGACGTGATTGTTGCCGAAGATACACCCTCATGAGGAAATGTATCACGCCTGTGATACCAACAGAACCATTTATGCAACGGGATTCCAACTCTATCATGGACTGCGCCAACATTGGAAGTTGCTGGACCCATATTCGCGAATACAAAACTTCAGCCGAACTATAAAAAGGCCGCCAGATGGGTCCGACTGGCGAACGGCACTCTTCGCATTAATATCAGTAAGGCTATGCCTCGCTCAACCGAGTGAGCCAACATCGGTCTGCTCCGAGTTCGTCGGTATCCCACCCGGAAGGCCGCCTATAATGAAGAGATTAAGTAGCTTCGGTGCCGATTGGCAATCCTTAATACTTAAACCTCACCGTAACCATTCCTCAACTTGAATGTCTTCAGTCCTTCTCTTTATTGTCGACTTCCAGCTTCGAGTTCCGAAAAGAGCACAATTAGTTCAACAACAAACAAGCGAACCACTTCCAAACAACTATGAAGACAACATGTTTTTTTCTCATTACCACCCTCGTCCTGAGCGGTCTCGCTTTGAGCATTCCCTCCAGACTGCCGTCGAGTCTCGAAAGTCGAACCGAAACACACAACACTATCGCGCCAGAAGACATGCTCAACCCCATTGTTCGACCACGAGAATGCGAAGAGCCAGCTGAGCCCGAAGAACCGAGCGAGGCGAATAGGAAGAAGGGTGACAAGAGACCGGCCAGGCCATCGCGACCTACAAATTGCTGAGCTCTGCCCTGACACATCAGAATCATCAAGGCTGGGACCAAACCGAGACTATCGAGGGTTGGATACAAGTCGCCGAAGGCCGCTACTAAGATTTAATTGTAATTAGTGGCTTTACTTTCACAATGTCAGTTCTCTCAACACATTGAGTTGATTTTTGAACATTCTCTAGGGATCGAGTTGTGACATTTATTGGTTCGATCACACACTTAGGTTTTCGTCAATCTGTCAGTGGCATTGCATATGCAATTCAATTCGCAGCACACATGGCCAAAAACGCGTGCTCACTGAGTGGAGGTTGCTGTGGACGGCGTAGGGCTGCTAGAGACCCATTCGCTTCTGCCGAGTCAGGGACCCCCTGCTGGCGTGCTTTTTGGAACTGAACGGACCCTGGGGATTAGATACTAAACTCCACTGCTCTAGGCACGAGAAGAAAAGTGTACATTATAGACTGCCTGACTTGTCGTACGCTATAATGGCGGCACGGCACATCATATGCCCAAAGGGCGCTCTGGTTGATCGGAGCTTAGTTACATAGATAGCTGGGCACCTGTCCCTGATGATGTAAAACACCACTACTACTACTACTGAGTGGAGGTTGCTGCCCTTTCTATCCTATCAAGCCGTCTTCTTCGACGACCGAAGTCTGCATCAAGCCGCCAAGCCGCCAAAGCGCACTTTGGTGTTTAATAAAGGCTAGTATACGCAGGTGACGGGAGGTCACACCAATAGGGTGCTTGACTGTGACTTCATTCGCTCAGGCCACAATCCTCCGGTTCAAGTGTGCAGTCAACCCGTGCAACCCGCTGATCGCGCCTCTTTTCCGGCCACACTAAGGACACATAAGGCCTAGGTTCTGTCCTTCGCAGCCCATTCCTCCGATTGATTCCCCAACTGCCTCGGCCAGTTTCTCATCATTCAACAGTACCCTCTGTTTCACCACAATCATCCGTTTTTAGTCGCCAACTTTACAACGCCTTTTCGACTTGACGTAAACTTCAAAAACATGGAAAACAATGTAAATCCTGCGATGGAGTCCATCTTATCGCAGGTGGGCGTGGAAGGGAAAAGCCGGGAAGAAATGATAGCCGAGTCCGTCAAAAAGAACGAAGACGTCCAAAATCTTTATCCACAAGTTGATTTCAAGGGAGCAGTCCTTGAGCCTACCATTCATTTGACTTATGATATTCAGGTATTGCATTCAATTCCACTCAGAGCCTGCATCTATCCTCATTCTACACCCGACGATGGCTTCCGTTTTATGAAGCTTGACCTTATCCTGACTGTGTTGACTACAGGAACACGTTGACGAATCAGACCAACGAAGGTACAATACGTTGATTGCGGAGATGCTGGAACGCACCTCAGAACCAGATCTCGCCGAAAGACTACTTTGGGAAGCAAGGGAGTGTCTCACAGGGTACCCCCAAATCTTGGCCCAGTTTGATGCGATATTTCTTGGCCAACGATCGGCTTCAAGCGTGATAAGAGATTTACATGAGTGCATGATGATGAAAAAGACGGTGGAGAGGAGGATGAGTCAACAGGTGAACGATGTGGAAAGCAGAGAAACGACACAATGATGCTTTAGAATGGAAGACGTGGGCAAGTCTTGAAGGACATCATTACTCCATAGCGTTCGCTCATACCGGCGACAGATTCAGCCAAAACCAGTGGCATTTCATCGGCCTCGAAATCTACTTCAGCAATGAAGTATACATGTAGTTCCTAAAGACTACATTTAGTGCTCGAATGGCTCATGCGAAGTTCGAGTTCCATAATGCGTCTACGTGCGCTGTTAACAATTCAAATCGAAGAGAGCCGTCAAAGAAAGTCTCAGAACGACACAGCTTACGAGGCGGCTGGTTCCGAAAAGATATAGAGTTCAAGTTGATCGAAACGTTGTTCCGAATAAGGCAGATCCGAAGCCATAGAGATGCGGCCACGCTCAATGTGAGGGCGAGAGGTGTCATTGGTGTCATATATAATTAGAACACAAATTTATCCCCGGCTCAATCATCCACATCTCCTTGGTTGTCTTCTACAAGAATCCAGCTATGGAGTACTTGGCTTCGTCCAACAACAGTAATACTCGGCAACCACACCCCCATGCATCTCCTCTGCATTCTAACGCGTAGGGACCAATGCCCAACTCATTATTTTGGTCAAACTTTCCGACATTGAGTCAGCACCGTACACGGGAGCCAGACAAATTGGCCGCTTTCCTCAGGCTCGATGCTTAGAAGACCGGCCAAATTCTCTGTTCCTCGCGTGCCACGGTGCTTTACGAAGTACTTCTGTCACTCAAGCCTGTAGAAAGAAGCACATGGGGTATCACCCGCCGGACAGAAAAACACGCACACTTAGGACGCCAACAGCACCCATAAGTAACATAAAATTATACTAAAAATGGAGAATAATAACTAGAAGTTAAGCTATCTTTTGTTGTTTTTAATATAATTTATAAGTGTTTTTTTGTCCGGCGGGTGGGTATGTAGGCTTTCACTAATGATGGCGAAGGTCGCAATCAAAGAATTGGCATTTTCACACAAGCCCAGCCTTGGCTTATTTCCTGGTCGAGCCAGAATTCAGGATTTCTGCTCACGCTTGGCGGAACCTCTCCCAGTTTCTTGGCCTTGGGGCAGAAACAGCGGGACTCGGGATTCTCTCTTGGCGGAATTTCCAAATACGCGCCCTCCTCCTGGACGATTACCGTGCCACCGACTTGGCGGAATTCTTGGCCGTTTCGAATCCACTATCGAAACTCAAGCCTCCCGTGTTGACGCCTCTCCCCCTGGAATTCCTCCCATCAGTCTCTGGCGATACTTTGCTGGCTCTCTCTCTCAGCCAGGCCTACGCAATGTAGCTGATATTCTTCCTGCCTACGGATGCTTCATATTGGATTCTTCAAGATAGCTTCGGCGTATTAGTACGCATCAATCAAAGATGACCCGGAAGCCTCTGGTGAAGCTGGGGGAATATCTTGAATTCTTGGCCGGTCTCCCTTTATCTATCTTGCGCATTCGCTTGTTATCACAGGCTTGAATTCATGGACTGCACGCGGCAAATGAATGACTCTGCATGTCTATCGTTAAAAGTATCGGTTGGGTCGGGCCTGAGAAAATTCGTTTTAGAGTGAAATCTTCTACCCAGAGCTGCTATTTTGAGAGGCTCAGGGGTGTGCAGCTGCCAATGACAATCTTCGTGGCGTAGATTCCTCGCTCACCAGCCGTCTCACGGGGGGCTGGGCATTGTGCTCGGTATTGGTCTTCACCTACGCTAGGCATGATCGGCCATGCTCAACACAATGCCAGTCAGTCCGTGTAGTACTTTACCACTTTACCAAGCCTCCTCAATCGGTTCACGCCTCAACTAAAACTGCTCGTTTTGGCTGTGTCGGGTTGATGTGGGCATCGAATTCGACAGGGTGGGTGATCCACGACCGATGCCACTTTGTTCTGCCCCTGAAATTGTGTCTCGGCCGTCAGAGCTGAAGAAAATCCCAGTCTTGGGGAGTGACTTAAACACCCCCATAGAGCCGCTGGATTGTTTTAACACCATCTGCTTCTTTTTCGTCTCGATTTCCTTCTCTTATTTTCGGGTACATCTCTCCTTTTGGTCTAACTTACTGTGCATCTCCGAAGACAATATCAGCCGACTTATCTTGCTGGCCAAGATACACTTCTGCACTTGGTATCACTCGAGAAAACTCACATCAGAATGCCGACCCTCGACGTCAGCGAGCTGAACATTGTTCTGGGCGTACTTGGTAAACCTTAACAATGATCGCCTATGACATGGTCATTTTTGTTTCTGACCTCTGATAGGTCTGTACATCCTGGCCTATGGCATCATTTCGGTCAAGATCAAGAGCAAGTGGTATCTCGGCGAGGCTTGTAGGTCTTTCATCGTCATGCTTTTGACGTCTTTTGTGAGAGAAAACGAGACTAAATCTTTCAAAGTGCCTGCTGTGGTTATAGGAATTTGTCTCGGTCCCTTGGCAGCCAAGTTCATTGATAGCGACCGATGGGGTTCCGCATCAGAAGGGCAGACCAATGCTATTACTCTGGTGTGTCGCTACTCCTAAACTTTCCAGCAACCCACTTCCAACTTCCGATCCAGAACTGACGATGAATATGTAGGGCCTTGCTCGTGTCATGATCGGCGTCCAGCTAGTGATTGCAGGCTACCAACTTCCCGCCAAGTATCAACAGAAACGATGGATGGAGATGGCCATGTGCCTGCTTCCCATTATGACCATCATGTGGCTCTGCACCACCCTTTGCATGCTAGCTACGGTCCCGAAGGTCACCCTACTCGCTGCCCTCGTCATCGCCTCATGCGTCACCTGCACCGACCCGATCCTTTCACAAGCCATCGCCAAAGGCCCCTTTGCAGACAAGTTCGTGGCCCGGGACTTGCGTGAGATGATATCGTCGGAAGCAGGGGCTAATGATGGCTTCGGTTTTCCGTTCCTCATGCTCGCGGTCTATCTCATTCGGCATGCCGATATCCCCGGGGCCGGCAAGGGAACCGAGACCGGTGCCTCCGTGGTCGAAAGGGCAGCCCAACTGTTTGCTCGCCAAGAGGAGGGGGTCGGTCGTCTTGGGGGCGGAGTCGGTGTCGCTCTGACTAATTGGGCTGTGGAGACTTGGCTCTATATCGTCCTGATGTCTGTGGCCATCGGCGCTCTCGTCGGATTTGGGTCTGGAAAGGCTCTGAAATTTGCCTTGCGGAAGAAGTGGATCGATTCCGAGAGTTACCTGCTTTACCCAACCGCTATTGGAGTATGCCATTTCCCCTTTACTCGAGATCTATCCTACTGACCACCTTTCTGTAGCTATGGCTCGTTGGCATTTGCGGCATGCTCGGTACCGATGACCTTTTAGCATGTTTCGTGGCCGGCAACGCCATGAATTGGGACGGCGATTACTTGGCTGAAACCGAAAAGCGCCACGACGAGGTTAACTCCTCGGTTGACGTCTTACTCAATTTTGGAGGATTCATGTATATCGGCTCCATTATGCCATGGGACCAGTTCAACCAGCCTGACATCACCGGACTGACTTGGGGTCGTCTATTCGCGCTAGGTGCCTTGGTCATCGCTTTCCGCCGCATCCCAGCTATCTTCATGTGCTACAAGGCGATGCCCAAAGTATGCAAAAGCTGGAAAGAAGCCCTCTTTATGGGCTACTTCGGTCCCATCGGTGCTGGAGCGGTCTTTTACGTCGAGCATACGCGCCACCTCTTTCCAGAGCTTGGCCACGGCGACACGGAGGAGACAGACCTCGTCCGAGTCATGGTACCAGTTGTCTATTGGCTTGTGCTTTTCTCCATCGTGGTCCATGGCCTGTCGATCCCCGCCTTGAACCTCGTCTACAAGTACGCTGGCGTCAAACCCATACAGGAGGATGCCGTCGAGCTGCGTCGAGCATCCATCTATGTACCGACCCCCAGCAATGCTCTTGTTGGTAATCGAGAGACTTTTATTGCTTATAACCGCTTCTCGCGGCCTGTTTTCAATACGGCAGAGCTGCCCTACATGGGGAAAGACTCAAGGACATACAGCGATGCGAAGTCGGTCGATGATTAAATGTGCGAATCAGATGTAAACTTGGGAGAGTATGAGCTAGGGTGTTTACTGGACATGAAGCATGCTTCAAAGGTGGCGAAAGATGAACTAGTCACTTTCTAGGATATGCATGCCTACCTCAATACTAGGAACACGACTCTTACATCTGAAGCAAGTTACATGAAAGAGCGACAGATACTTATCAAGCCCCACGAATAAACGAACGAATCGAAATACCAAATCCGGAGAAATGTACCCTGATGTATTGCATGTGTTGCCCCGGTCCACTGTCAGCTTATTGCAACATCGCAACTGGGTCTTCACGTGGATCTTTGACAACTGTAGCAATACTACGGGTGCACCAACTGAGACATTCGGCATCCAATTTGGGGTAACAGTTCCCGAAAAAGGTGGTAGCAAGTCTAGAGGGCATCTCTGAAGGAAAGACAACCATTAATATCTGACATTTGAGACCTTGCTCAACTCCTTCGTTCTGCCTTACAACTCATGATCGACGCTGCGATATGCGCGCAATAAATCCTCCGCACGGGACGAACCTTTCTGCAGTCAGAGTGTGCTCCATGATGGGCTCGGGCGAGGAAAGTCCCACTACTCTGCATGTTCATGATATTCACAGGGCTTCCTGTGGCAGTGAGGACTAACAGATCATCGTCAAGACTCAAGAAAGCAAGTTGAGCCCAATGATACCGATTCGTCCTCGTGGTGAGTTGCAAGACCGTTGAACCATGAGCAACCCCGAGTTGCCGAGTTGAGCCAAAGTTTTACGAAAATGTCAGGCAATGTCTCGAAAGATGCCCCTCAAAGTCCGAAGTAGGCGGTAATGTATCCTCATTGCGCCAAGATGTGATGCTGCGACCTGTTTTTATGTAGCAGTGGCAGTGTAAGTATGAGTTTAGAAAGCGCTCCCTTCGCTTGTATGGTAAACTCAGCGTCGTGACGAGCTATATAACCTCAAGAGATTCCCAAGGTAATCTCATAGCAACACCATTTCTCCTCATCATTTCAAGACACATTGATCTCCCAATCTCAGAGTTGCAACGGCACCTCCTACTGTTGGGGGTTGGTTAACTACAACTGCGATATTGGCTCATGTGTACGTTTCCATCTCTCAGCAACTAACACGATTCATAATTTGGATACAATGAGATCCAAGCCTACTGTAGCATATGGTTGACTCTGTGCAATATTAGGTTGGAAGTGGGGGCGGAGATGGCTCTTGTTGTGGATGGCCCAGCCAAGGTGGTGGCGCCCATTGCCCCAACGGTGGATGGTAAATGGTATTAGAGAAAAGACACTTCTGGAGCGGGTAAAGAGTAGATATCAGGAACGACAATAAGATTAAACGAGTCCTTTTAACGGTTCCAATCCAAGCCTTCTTCAGAAAGCAATCAGTAGTGCGCGAATCACTAGTTTGTAGAGTCGTAGCAAAATGAAAGGCGTTAGGAAGCCGACACTGGCGTTTGAAGTTCCTTACTTACTGTCCCTGCCTTCTTGACCACTTTCAGCGCCTAAGAACAAATTCACGTTTGTAGAGAAATCCCAATATTCAACTCTTCGGACTTTGATAACGGCTGAAATCCCTTCTCTGATCCTGCGATTCGCGAGGCTAAGCAAACGCTTCAAACGTCTTTCAACATTCCCATTCCCATTCTCACATGTTTTCTACCTGTAGCAATGCACCGTTCCCATTCTCACATGTTTTCTAGCTGTAGCAATGCGCCGTTCCTCATGATATTCAGTCAATTCCTCCTCGGATATTTCTAGGCCACCCCCCAGCTTATCAAGAAGCCTAATTAGCCAAAGGCTACACCGGTTCCTTTTGGCCGCCGATGGTGGCGTGTCGCCTTTCGAATCTGAGAGACTGAGGTCTGCCCCGTTCTTAACCAGGTCAACAACCATATCTTCTCGGCGGATTGATATGGCTGAGAATAATGGTGAGTCGCATCCATCCCGTCTGGTATTAGGGTCTGCTCCTTTCTTAAGAAGAAGCTGAAGCATTTCTCTATCATGACTAAACGTAGCAAGGTGTAACGCTGTGTATCCGGCACGGTTCAATGCATTAATATCTGCCCGACCGTCAACGAGTAGCCTGACAACGATATTATGAAGACATCTCCCGCATCCAAGCGACCTCTCAGGTAATCGGGTATTCATTGGTTCAAAATTTGCATCGTTATCATCGAGAAGTCGTGTGATCTCTTCATAGCCGAATGACGAAGCAAGTTTAACTGCCGAGTGCCCTTGGTGATTGCCCGGTTGGATATCTGGTCCACCGTTAACAACAATCTTGGCGATCACCTGGTCGACGTTTAGGAGAGCAGGTTGCATTGCCGCATCGCAATCATCATTGCTATTGTAGAAGTCTAAAGACAAGTCGTAACGCCTGTATATTCCTGTGGAATTCCTTCCGTTGGTAGCAAAATGTAGTGCTGTATTTCCAACTTGGCTCACAGATCTGACATTTGCACCATTGTCAATAAGTATCTGTACAATCCGCTCATCGCCTTCTCTACAAGCATCATGTACTACTGTTTCACCATTTTTGCTTCTGGCATTTACGTCTGCTCCATGGTCGATAAGAAGCTTTACAACCGCTTCATGGCCTTGCTTAGATGCTCGCATGAGTGGGGTAAACTCCTCACGGTCAGGTTTATTGACCTTACCCCCGGCTTGTAGAATAAGGGCGACCATACTGAGCCGATCATTGTGAGCAGCCCATGATAATGGCGTTCGTCCCTTGAAGTATGACAAATCCTTCCTATGTTGCAAACCTTCCATTATGCTCAGTCCATTGTGAACAATGGATGATGTTCTCAGGATGGCAGCAACTGACTTGCTGTTCCCATGGGCCAGCGCAGCAAACAGAGGATATTCGTACCTGTCTGCAGAAAAACATTGCAAACTCTCGCTTGTGTTTGAACGTATGAGCCTCGAGCAGTCCATTTCCGCAAAGATGTATATGGGATTCGTTTCAGGTCTGTAGCGGCGTACTTTGTGCTTCTCAAAGTGGTTGTAAATGCCAACCCACTTTCCCAGCGGAAACTGGACCAGAAATTGATCTTGAGAAATGCCAGCGGCCGCGATGTCGGCATGGAAGAGCACCTGCTGGCTTGCGTATTCCATAAATGGATACTGCCTCAAAGATTCTTCCGAAGTCGAAGTTGAGGCCAAGTAATGGCGAATGTACGCGTCGCAGCAATCTTTCAATCTTTCGTGGCTCGGTAGCTCCCAGTCGAAGCCCAGTTCGGGCCATAGTTCGGAAAGTCCTCCAGCCTTGAGAAGGTAGCCTCTGACAGATTCGTGTATGAACTGGACTTTTGGCTGGGCGGATTTGGTAATCTCTGCCAGCCCTTTTGAGAAGCTAATTACGCATCTCGATGCGTTCTCCCCAGCGTCAGACCCGCCAACTTTTGGAGGATCGGGATCAGCATGGCCACGTGGGAATAGACCAAACCAGAGTGCATGGTGGAACTCTTCAGGTCGTAAAGGCCTCTTGGCACAGAGGATCCAGATGACGCACAAGAACAGCTCTTCCATATTCTTGGTATCACGCGTCAAGATGTCCTTGAATAGGGCGCCCAGGTTGTTTGGTAACTCGATGAGTCTTTTCTTCAAAGCCAGTCCACCTTGCGAGTACTCGGTATTGAGGATGTCAACGACTAAAATGAGCCAGAGAAACACACCCGCGGCCTTTTCCAGAAGTTCGGCGTGCAGATCTTCGACAGGAGTGGGATTATTAAACCGAAGGCGACTTTTGATGTAGTTTCCCATATCTTGCGTGTGGCCTGGTTGATTCTCGAGTACCATTTCCACCCCCCTTTTGACGACAATATATGGATAATGTCGACTGGAAAAACAAATTCGAAGGGTGATGCCGTCTGTTGACGCTTCTTCCGCTAAGTCCTCGAACTCTCGGATCATGTCCATGATTTGTTGCTCGTCGCATTCGTCCAGAGCATCGATGAAGCAAGTCAGCCGAAGTTGGCCAAGCGCAAGAACGGCTTGAGAAAACAGATCTTTGAGCGTGTCCAAGCTGGGGCAACCCTCATTCCTCTGTTGAGCCGGCCATAATTCCTCAAGCACTGATAGAAGTTGGGAATGCCCTTGCAACAGCTGGAATAGCAACGAACGGTACATCCCTTCGATTGATCTTTCCAAATATTCGCCTCGAGCGTTGAAAAAGAATGCAATTACGAGCGGAGACCAGTTATATTTTTTTTGCATTTTGCATTTTGGACAAGGCGAATTTCATGATTGTTGATTTTCCCGCGCCTGGCTTACCACGGATCCAAAGCAACTCGTGATGCTCCTCGAGATCATCCTTGTTAAGGCATTTTTGGTAATCTGGATGTTTGATGAACCATGCGCAGGTTTTGATATGTGCCTTCTTGACAGTTAATCGACGAGAGTCCATCTGGTCAAATTTAAGAGTCTCCATCAGCTGAATCTGTACTTGTTGCTGATTGGGATGAACTTGTGCTATAGATAGTGGTCAGCAATGGGTCATGATTCCCAAACAGTTCGTGTACATACAAGGTCCAACACGAGAGACAGCTCGTGTACCAGAGTCAGCCGAGGGGAGTACGGAGAGCTCTCTAGTGTATGCTGCCGCTGCAGCTGCCGCGTACCTCTGCCAGTCCATATTCTTGTGGGAATCTGCGTAGTCGCAGATCCCTCGAATTGGCAGGCAAGGAACAATGTCCATGATACCCGCAGCCTCCATTTCAAAACACACAACATCAAGAGTACGAGCAGCAGTGTCTCTCTCGGCGGCGTTCTTCATGACTTGATTGCCAGACGCAATCGCTCAGTAGCGCATGATAGGATCATCGTTCGATCGCGCGCGTCGAGGCATATGTTTTGTTTGATCGCAGTAGTCACATGGATCTGATGGCTCCGGATGGTCGTACGTTGAGAGGAAAAGGCGATCAGCGGCTATCGGACGACCGTAATGCGGAAGTGTCTCAAATCTTTCTTTCAGGATTTGAGGAACTCGGCTGGGTTCTCGATCGTGTTTCGCCCGAAGGACTGTGATGGCTTTGCCAAAGGAATGATGGAGAGTCCTTGGGATTGCTGTGCGTTGAATTTCGGCGCCTGTTCCAATTTTGCCGAGATCGTATTGCATCGTCCTCGTACCAACGACAACATCTCCCAAGCGTATGTCGTTGGCGCTACCCGGCACAACCCCTCCAATGCCGACCATCAGTGCTAATCGGGTTGATGGAAATGTACGGACAAGGTTTGTGACCACATTTGCCGCATTATTGGTCCCATATTGGTCCGCTGGTAGGCAAGTGATGACAACGCTGTGTCCCTCGATGCTTCCCAGAGTGTAGGTATTGGTGTCGACTGTGTAGGCATTGCCATAGGAAGTATGGAGAGGGAGGGCGTCATGCTCCTCGTCTAGCATGGCCTCCGCGGCCACAAGCTCTGTCGGTAATGCGCAGATCCAGGCTACTGTGTAGCGATGGCGTTCTAGTCGCCCTTCGTCGGCCGAATTCCGAGTCTCACTGTCCCAGTCTTCAAGGAGAGTTCGTTGCCGTTTGCGTGTGCCGGAGACACTCCAGCGAGCATCAGCGGGCCATGGACGCTTGCCGTCCATCACGAATAATGGACTGAGAATTTATTCGTCTTCTAGAACCGAGATAAGGTAAGAAGGTTTCCCTCTTCAACATTGAGGCTGTGGAAAACAATGGAGGAAGCTGGTGAGGAGGGGTTGTGATGAACAGGTGGGAGAAGTCAAGAGGTCGTGAGGGGAGCATCAGGCTGTGCGGACCACAGCCACGTAGCAGGCAACAAGTCATCCGCATCTTTCCCAATCAAATACCAATCATTCGTCCAGCCATAGCAGGGGTAGGAACAAAAGTAAAAAGTGAGCCTGCTTCATCACCATTGGGTAAGGTAAGGCAGACTCACCAACACGGTACGCCCTGCCGAAGTTGAAGAAGCGAGAAGATCATGTTCAAGGCGAAAAGATGTGAGGATTATATAACAAAGCTGTTGCAAGTCGCTGAACGTTTTGATGCCACCGTCTAACGCAATCGACAATCGTATATTGAAGGATCCCGTCCACTGCGGGAGTATACCGAGAAAGGAAGGTCGTCAGCACCACCAACCAAACAGCTCCCCGCCACCATGCACGAGAAATCCTTTGTTCGAGATGTTGCGAATGGCACTTGAATGCTGGCGACCGCTGCCATTTGAGTTGGAGCTGTCCATCCTTCATTCCCCGAAACAACAAACACAGATCGTTGTATGCTCACGGAGGCGTCTCGATGGCGCATCGAGACGCATCAACACCGCAGCAATCGGCCTGGGAGAAGAATCGAGACTCGAACGAAGACGATGATGTGAGTCTCACAATGGAAGCAACGTCACACGACCCCGAAGAAGCAGCGCAATCCCTCCTCTCCTCCCACAACGCCAAACCCTCCCACCGAAAACACCAGCAACCTCAGCCAAACCGACGAAGCATCACAACAACCTACACCCGCCTCGCCGTCCTCCTCCTTGCCTCTGTCCTCTTAGGCGCTACCCTCTCAGCCCTCATAACAGCCATCCTCACAACCCACCTCCGCACCCTCACAACCTCCCACAGAAACGACAACACCCTCGCCTCCTCCACCGACCCCTCCTCCCGCCCAGTAACCTACCTCCAAACCGCCCCCTGCGGCTCAACACCAACCCAAGCCCGCGCCGCAGGCTGTCAATTCGACCTCATATCCTTCAACTGGCTCCCGCCCCAATGCCACGACGCCGCCCTCGCAGAAACATTTGAAGCGGAGCTCGTGGAGGCAGGACAGCTCGCCTGGTTCACAGACGCGAACCGCACGGCGCCGTCGTTGACGAGGGAGCAGATTATGACGGGGGAGTATAGTGCCGTGTATGTCAGCTTGGGGTACCATCTTCGGCATTGTACGGCCATGTGGAGGCGGATGCACCGTGCGTTGATGCAGAGCCGTGGTGGCGAGGGAGGTGGAGGTGGGTTGGAGAGGGTTGATAGTTATATTTGGGGTTATCACCATACTTTACACTGCGAGGAGGTACTGTTGAGGAGGTTTGGTGAGGTTGACGTGGGTGAGGTGTTTACGACGGAGGTGAGGATCAAGTATCCCGATTGTGGCGTCGTTTTAGGGCCTGTAGATTGATACATCGAGAGAAATGTGCCTCTGATAACGACGTCGAATTCTATTCGATGTGACGCATCGTCGTCGTCTCTATATGCTGCTGCCGAAGTCAGTGACGTGGTGAAAGAGGGACCAAAACTCCTGGTTTCAGGGTCGTCCTGGGGCCCGTAGGATGATAGACTGTGTTGATTCTGAGAGTTGGTGGGATGGGCGACAATGCAAAGACAAGCTGGGTTTCATTTGCCCTCATCCATCGTAATCTTCGCCATCGTCTCCGGCCCCTCACTCGCAATCCAACTCTGCAAACTCGCCTCCTTCTCAACCTTCCTCTCCTGCCTCGTCTTCAACCTCCAGCTCTCACCATCCACATTCTTCTTCTCGCCACCCGGCGTCACCTTGGGCTTCGCAAGCAACTTTCTCGAAAACGGTATCCGCCCAATATGCGGCCCAACTTCCGTCCCCGTCACCCGGTTCGTCTCAATCACAGTCCTCAACCTCTTGGCCGCCTCCCAATTCGACGTCACCGTCGTCAACTTGGCCTTCCACCCGTACAAGAAGGACGAGACGTTCATCGCATTCAACCCGGACCCCTTCTTCCCGACAGCCAGCGCTACGGCGGGGAGGTCGCCTTCCGTGACCATCCGCTGCGCATCGTCCCACGAGACAGAGTCCACAATCTGCACGGGAAGACGTAGGTCCTCGGGGACATGATGAACAGAAAGTTCCTGCAACTCCCTAACCCGCCTTGCTCGATCTCGATCACTCCCCTCAGGTCCAGCAGCCTCGCCCGGCTCAAACAAGATCCTCGTCCGCGCCTGCTCCTCGTCCGTCCCAATCTCCCCCACAATCTTGAGAAACGTATCCGCCGCCTCTCTTGTACAAACCAGCGTCCGGCCCGTGATGGCAGGGTACAGCGTATTCACCAACCGCGGCCCATTCTCCACCTCATCCGTCGCGTCGATCCGATGCTGCTTCGACCGCAACAGCTCCGACTCGGGCCCAATCGCCATGTGACTGAAATCCGACGCCAACGCCATGAAGACGGAACAATCCACATTCACCGTCGTCGTGAAATCCTTGTAATAATCCGCCTCCACCAGATTCGCAATCGCCTCCTCCAACGCGGGCGTAGCTTCCGTCAGGATCCCGGGACCATTGGCGGTCTCAACGACGAGATCCACGTCCTCGCCGCCCATCTTCCGCACCAACCTCAACAAATGATCCACAGCTTCGTTCTCCCCCTCAGACACCCTCGACATGAGTATCCTCACCCTCGGCCGTCGATAATCCCGATACGACGTCCTCGCCACAGCAACCATATGCCGCGCAACCTTGGCCACCTCGATACTATCCTCCGTCTCATCCCTCAACACCTCCAACATGGCCTCATCTGCGCTCTCATCCTCAAAATCCTCCTCCCAATCCCACCCCGCGTCCGCCATCTCGTAAAACAGCCTCCGCTCCGTCGTAGTAACAACCTTGACCCAGTCCGCGCCACCATTCACAACCAAATCAATCACGGCACTCACGCTCTTCCCCCCAACAGTCTTATAGCTCAACTCCCTCCTCATCCCCGTAAGCTCACAACACCTCTTCGTAACCTCCCACACCGTCTCGTAAAACTTATAATTCGACGCATCAAGCCTCAGCCGGATCCTACTATCCAGCGCCTCGGTATCAATCTCTGCCTCACCATCAGTCACATCATACGCCGCCACCATCTTCTCAAGGTGCTTCTTCTCAGACACAAGAAGCCGCTCAAAGAAGCCTAGCCCCGGGACGGCCTGGTTCCACGCCACAGGTTTATGTCCCGACGCCGGCCGCCTCTCTATGGCAGCCTTGAGCTGCTCCAGCTCATCGAGCAGGACCGTGATGCGGTCGATAATGTACTGGCATTGCTGGAGCAGTGAAGTACCGGGATCCGGTCCGAATTGCGGAAAGACTGCCATCGTTCTGCCCGGGTCCGGAGACATAGGTGGGCAGAGTCCCGGTGCTGGCGGGCGTAAACGCAAATTTCAACCCTGCGCGGGGTGAGCGATGTTCTTGGGATCATCGATGATGCCTTACCTTGGCGCACTCAAGAGAGTTCCCCTATGCCCACGTTTGACTCAATTTCCCGTGATTTGTAGAGGGGAGTCAAAATTTGGAGCCGAGACTGAAGGTGTATGACAGACGTTGATGAATTTGGCACAGCGCCGGGCCCGTGAGTAGACGAGGCAGTAGTGTGTGGGCCCGACGGTGGGGCTCCGACGGTGGGGCCGACAACCGGACCGCAAGTCGAGAATGACCACGAGGAAAAGGGACAGTTCTCACCAAGCATTCCACAATGGACAGACAAGTTTGAGCGGTTGAATGGCGAGCAAGGCTTTTTACGTAAAGCCTCGTTCTTCGCATTGCATTTAATCTTCCCTCGCTGGCATCCAGCCAAGTCATGTTCATTAAGGCGCATAAGTCGCCATCCAATCCCATCATCCAATGTGCCCTTCATCCACTGTGGCATACAAGGCGAGTCTCAGCGCCCATGATCCCAATGCACCCTGACTGTCGTCTAATCAATGGCAGAAAAGGTATAATGCCTCGGTCCAATGCTTCTCTCCCAGATGTAAACAACACTCTAGAAAACAGTACCGTCGCTATCGATCAAAATGGGCGGTTCTTTCGTGTTGGGTCTGCTAAACTCGGCCATCTCACGACCTCCCTGAGCCATTGTGTTAGTGATGTAGTTCCCAGATCCCAATGGTTCGGCTGAGCTTACCTTCCAGCTTCCGGCTTCGAGTATTTGGGCCAGAGTCAAGTGATTGCCCTTCAGGTCGTTCTTCATATGCCTGTTGACCTCTACGCAGAGCCTATCCAGAAAGCCGACCGTGACACCACGCCATTCGACAATCACGTCGTCGCTAGGCTCGAACATTGGCGCGACTTCAACTGGCTTGACGTTTGTCCTTCTGCAGTACTCATCGTAGTGCTCGAGGCCTCTCTCGGTATCGTCTGCCTTCAGCGTGAGGACTCCCAAGTCGATGAACAAACCGCCGTTGCGGTACTCGGGCAAGCCCGTGAGCAGTTCGACCCCGGCAAAGTGGATGCGCAGTAGTGATTGCATAGGCTGCATTAGACTGTAGCAGAGCCACTGCGTAAGCTTATGAAACGGCAGAATAGACTCCCACGCCGCGGTCGAGTTCTGAGCAGAAGGCGGGAATGGTGAGAACTGCGAAGTCGTCGGACTCTGTGGGGGTTGCGGCATCGACTGGCAAGGCCAGGCATCGCCGAGAGATAGGCCGTTAATCGAGGTCCGGGATGCTGGCCAGATGGGCATGAGGCCGTTCATGAGGAGGTTCCATAATGTCGGGAGAATCACGATCGGCATTGAAGAAGCTTGCGTCGAGGGATGCGATAGGAGGTAATCTGAGACGGGTCAGTTCAGTTCTGGCATGTTGCCCATAGTCGGTCTTGAACGGCTGAAAACTTACCAACAATGTGACCTGGCCGGCCACTATCGCCAAAGTATTCCCTCTTTTCGGTAAGGGCATTCGCTAGCCGCTGGAGTAATTGTGACCTGCCTTCGATGCCGGCCATTTCGTTGCCCGGTTTCGACTGCAAGCCAGCAGCTACCCTCTCCACTGTGAGGTTGCGCAGTCCCTCCTTGTCAACTTGAAACTTGTTTTTGCTGTCGCTGGAGAAAAGACCCTGGCAGTTTATTAGTAGATGCGTGGGACTCCGAGTCTTCAATAGACTTACACTCTTGAACATTTCCAAGCTGGCGACGGCGATGCCTTCTGACCTGCGGTATATGCGTCCATTTTCGGTGCTCTTGTAACTCCACTTTGTGCCTGCACCAGCGTCCAGCAGCACACTCACGAGAAAAAGGTCAATCATGCGACGACACTTTTCGCTATTGTCGACATCCTCGGGGAATGTGGAAAGAAGCTGGGCAATGCGGTCGCGGCCGCCGACGCAGAAGTGCTGGTGTCTTCCGTGGCCAGGAATCGAATTGTACGGGGCGTCGTAGTCTCTCTACAGGGGGGGGGGGGGGTTGCAAGGTCAGTTATACTACTATCCGCTGACCCAGATAGCGTGGGGGTTGGAGGTGCCAGGACATGCAAACACCTGCAGAAGTGCTGAGAAGGCTGACTCGTACCTTGATGATCTGAGAAACGAATGTCACAACGTCCGGGAACTTGCGCATATCCACGTCAAAGTGCTTCAATTCATTACGGATCGCCTTGTCCGTGACAATCTTGCTCCTTTCTCTGACCGCCCCCAAGCTCCTGAGGTATCCCGCGGGGTCAAGCTGCGGGTCAGGAGGACGCGGCAAATCGACCTTGGGTATGGAGGTGGGCGAGAAGGGCGTCAAAGGCGTGCCGGGCGTTGTGCTCGTCCCGGAGGATCTGTTCATAGTGGTGCTGCGTGGCGGTGGTGATTTAATGCTGGATGCACCAGAGGCGATGCTCACGTTTGACGTGTTGATCGATGGCTTGCCCGAGGCTTTGGGGGCCTTTTCCTTACGCGAAAACAGGCCCATTTTGGCTGAATGGGGGGGGGGGGGACCGCCGGGTCGAGGTGTTCGTGAGATGGCGGTTGGTGGGGTTTGGCTGGAGGGGTTCAGGTGGTGCTGAACTGACCTCAACTCGGTTCAAGGCGAAGCTTCCGAGTGGCCAGCTGGTGGCTCGAACTTCGGACAGCTACAAGCTGTGCTGTGGCGACACAGGCCTGTTGCGACGATCACCGTGGCACGCGTGGCCGGGGGTGGGCTTCGCTTCCGGGTTCGTCAGGTGAGTTGACAGGCGTGTTATGCTTCTTCGCTTCGCCAACGATGCTGAGAGGGCGAGAGAAAGATCGGAGGTGAACGACGATTCGAACCAGCAGCAGCAGCAGCAGCAGCAACGGTAGCAGCAGTAGTAGGAACAGCAATAGGAGCAGGGACAGGAGGGAGGGGAGACCGGAAGATGATAAGTCGAGGGTCTGCCACGCAAGTTTAATAGGGGGCGGTTTTCTGGACTTGCGGGGAATAATATCCAGCAGTCTGCTTCTGGAGCCGTGAGCAGCTGGTTGCGCACGAAATGTCCAGGCCCTCTCTTGTGCTGGGGGGGCTTGTCTTGTCGTGCTTGTTCGGGGGGGGGGGGGCGAGGGCTGCTCTGGGCTCAGGGACCGATTCCCTTATTGGTGTTAGAGTTCTGGCCGACGTCGATCTGGATCAGGGATACCCGCTGGAGCTAGACGAACTGCTTTTGGTCTGGTTAGCTGGAAAAATGTCGAGCCACCTTGAGCCATTCCCACTGCGCCCACGCCGGACACAGACAATGAAAAGACACGCAACCGCCGGAAAAATGGCACACGAAAAAAAGAATTGGGGCTGATTGGGGGTGGCATGGTGAAGCTGGAGTTATGCAGACAGCGGAAGAGATGTGTTTGATGGGTAAAGGCCAAGATGTGCTTCGTAGATAAGGCAAGGTGCTGCTGCGATTCTTTGTACGCTTCCCATGTGCCTGTCTGCCTTCTAGAGTCCTGTCTCCGTACGTTCTGGATCTGCCTCGGACTCTTGAAGCTCTCCATCGTGGGGCACACTGGCTCGCAACCTTGTTGTCGGCCACCTGGCACACCCCCCGTGCCCCCTCGCAGCGCTATGCAAGCAATGGTCCGGGGCATCTACAAGGAATGCAAAGCATAGACATTGGGTGCGGATTGAGGTTTTGCGGGAGGCGGGGAACTAGCTGGAAGGAGGGTCTCGACCACTTACGGATACTGAGATGACTTCCGACGTGCTCTCGTCACTCTTCTCCCAAAGGTTGTGGATCAATGAAGCAGTAATCGATGTTCTCTAACAGGCGGTCTGTCGCAAAGGGTCTCGCCCTGTGTCTCGGTGGTATAGCTGGCTGTTGTGGGACGGAGAAAAGGAAGCAAGCAGGCCGTTGGGACGCGACGATGAGAGAGCAGCAGCAGCAGCAACAGCAGCAACAGCAACTAAGCAAGAACTGAAGGTGAAGGACGAGACAGGGTCGATGTTGACGTTGGATGTCGAGATCTCCGGGGACTGCGAAGCGCAAGCTGGATCTCGGACGGTGGGGTTGGGTTTGCGGAGAGAAATTTGGCAGCGGGAGCGAGGGCGATAAAAAGATATCCGTCCGTCGACCGGATCTGAGCTAGGCCAAGCGGGATCTCAGAGGCGTCCAATGTTTGCAGTAGTGGAAATGAAGATCAATATGCGGCGACTCTAGCAGGGAGGGGATGCAGGCGCGGCAGAGTTGCTTGACACCGAAGCTCAGGAGCTGGGTGAAAAAAAGCAACCTGCTGGAACAGCGCGGCCGGCAACACAACGTCAATGACCAATTGGGCTCGGACAAGAGGCGAGCGGTATCGAGCTTGGCCTCTCGGAGGCTAACCGCCGTCTATATCGGGTGAGGTAGCAGCGTACGTGTATGATGTTGAGACAATGCGACAGGCGGGACGAGTGGATGAGGCCAATGCTGGTGCTGTAATTAGATGAAAACGTCTCTGATATAAGGAACTCTGAAGAGCTGAAGGAGCTCCGCGCATTGTGTGTTGGCTGTTGACAAGTCAGGAATAGGTTGCCATGGAAAGAATACAGAGGATTAGAAGAGGTGCGAGTCAAGAGGGTGTATGTCTGCTTCAGCAAAGTGCGCAAACTCCAGACGCATGTGCAGAGAGACGAGATGAAGGAAACTCTGTGGCACGCGGGTCGTCGGATCGAGACGATGCGCGACGAGGCGAGGCGAGGCGAGGAGCGTGGGGACAAGAGTTGTAAGGTGGGCGTGGCCAGAGCAGCGGCGAAGCAGAGCAGAGCAGAGTACTACGTACTCCGGAGGCAAGTAATGTACCTTGCGCCGTGCGGATACTTCACCCAAGGTACCTTACCTCAAAGCCGGGACAAGATGGGGCAGAAGTAGGAGCAAGATGACGGACGGGGGATCGGATGGCATAAGGGCAAGCCGAGGGAGACAAGGAGCAGGATGGGTACAGGATACCTAATTAGAAGACGGCTGATGGGATGGTAGTCTCGCGGGACGGTAATAGGATGACTAGGATGACCGGACTCAGCAAGAGGAGAGAAAAAATAGCGAAAAAAGAGCCACTCTGACTTACGAGTTACGACCTTGCGGATGGATACAAATGCAACTGAATGGATGGATGTTTTTGGGTCGACAAGGTCGGGGTCTGTATGCAGCTCCGACCGGGAATAACCCCCCAGTCTGCGGTCTCTTTGCTTTGTCCTTTTTTTCTTTTTTTTTTTTCCAACGGGAAAAAGAACTGTTTGCCAATGAGCTCTCGGCTTGAGGAATCTCGCGTCAAGAAGAAAGCTAACGGAGAGAGAGTTTCTGAAGGAGTGAGTGAATTGATGACTTGTAAAGTTGTGATGTTTCTTGAAATTCTAGATTGAATCAATCTGAGAAGGAGAGAAGGAAGGAAGCCAGGCAAAGTACGTATCGTGGGACCTGCGTCCCGACTCCATCCTTCCCGTTCCTTCCACACCACGTAAGGCACCTACCTACTCCGTACCTTCCTATGATTTCATGAAGCATTCGAAGCACCTTCCTCGGGATGTGAGGTCGGCCGAGATACATGGGAGAGTACCTTGCATACCCAGTTATCTAAGGACTACAGTAGGTACTTACCCTTAGGTAGGTACCGGCACGTGAGGAGGTACTCGTGGCCTTTCTCTTGGATCAAATGCCGTCTTCGCTAGGTACCTTTCATTGAGGCATTCCTTTCCTCTTCATCTCAAGGAATCTCGGTCACCCGACAGACTCCAAGTGTACCAACATTGATTCCGACATTGGGCCACCAATACGGAGTACTCAGACAGTCAAACTCGTCCCCGACCTTGGGGACGGCACGGGAAGGAAGGGACGCCAGAAGAACCACAAGACTCCAGAGTCTAGCGGGCACGTTGCAGGGAATCCCGGACCAACAGACAATGAGGGACTTTACCGTCGTATGTCTCCATCCAAGTACATATACTGCGTATCCACCAGTCCATACGTCCCAAATTGTCGTCCAACTTTGGTGATTTGCTGCAGATGCCCAGAGAGTCGCGGAAGGGTCCAAGTCGAAATCTCGAGGTACGAAGCTCAAACTGCTCGGACATGGAGAGAGTCTCTCTCCACTTCACCACTGTACCTGAGAAACTGCCCACAGTGCGTCTCTTCCGATTCTTCTCAAGCTTTCAGTGCATGGAGCCACTGGACTGGAATTAAGCGAGACATGTGTCGTCCAATGTCTGCAGCCCGCTAGACAGCCCCGGCCAAACTGGGGCCCTCGGCTCCACCCAGCGCGGACTCTCGACAATTGAACACCGGACGGCCTGGCCAACAGGCGGAAGGCGTTTGATCCACACCTGTCCCGCGCCTGGTCCGGGCGTTTTCAGTTCAGTCCAGGGTACCTACTATTAGCACCTCCCCAGGGAAGGATTACTGAGTATTACCATTACCTACCTTTCAACGTAGGTATCTTTCCATTCAGGTGACTATTTTCTTCACATTCATATTGCTGATTGCTACGGATCATTTTCAGACGCAAAGACAGGTGCATAGGCACTCGTATGGATGCGCCCTTTACCTGTCTCCTTTGCTGGTTCAAATTAATCGTGACTTCCGCTACTCGTCCCTGCCGCCAGACTAGACCTTTGGCTTCCACATTCGGACACAGGGCACCGACGCCCGAAGGAAGCCACTGCACTTGTGCACCTTCCGTTACTTCAGCCAATGCACAGACCGACTGACCGAGGTCCTCAAGGCTCACAGTGTCTTTTCGGTGCCGTCATCTTCCCCAGATCGTCGCCAACTGGATACCCATCATCCATCCATCATCCATGGACAATCCATCAACACCACCCACTCGCCCATCGTCATCCTCAATTACCACGCCACCAACAACGACCAACACCACTATCACTGCGACCTCACTGCTGATCTGGCCCACCATTGCAAATCACCAACTGATTCAGTTGCGTTCTGCACCGAAAGCTTACTGTCCAGGGGACCTCATCTCTTCTGCGTGCGCCTCATCACAAGCAAGGGACCCCCCCCCTCCGGAATCACTCCCGGCGACCCATGACAGTGTCTTGACTCTTGACTCTTGCTGCCGCATGTTCGTCGCTCGACCACGCCTCATATCTGCTGCGAATGCGATGCTGCGACAGGTCAATTCGACATTGCGACGCCCCAGTAAAGAGCCACGACCCATGACACTGGCTGCAACGCCCCAATCACGGCTTCCGTACCCATACAGTGTGATCGACAGACATGCTGCGACAGAGCCCCAACCGATGCTTTTCGTCGAGATTTTCTTCCCTACTTTCTTCACCCCTCCATACTTTCTATGGACAGACTCCAGTCGAGCTGTAATCATGGTACGATCGTTCCATAGGTCCCATGTCCAGGGCCGGGGCCGCTACGGAAGGCTCCCACGCTCCCTAGTCACCAGTGGAACTCAACGACCGACCACCACGGGAACCTAGGGACCGAGGGAAAAACGTGCCAAAGTCAACGCCTAGCTCTACCGTAACGAGTTTGCCGCTGCCTTCAGCCATCGAGGCCCAGGATGACCCTCGACTTCCACGCATTACACATTACGCCCTTCTCAGCAACTACTACCATGCTCCATTACTACCATAATTCGCTGGCTCCTTGGGCCAGTGTCGATTTCTAGTGGCCCTTTACGATCCGACTCCTGCCATGGCGGGTTGGCTACCTACAGTACTCCGTACAAAGTCGTGGGAACCAACATGGGGCTTGGGGGCCAGGCGTGGCAGAAAATCACATCGCGGCGCGGAGAGCAGCAAAAGCCCACCTACTAAACGTGCCTACGCCATGCATTACCTACATGCGCCCACCGTATCAGGTCGACCACCATCGTCGTTTGTGAGCGTCGCCGGCATCTCGGAACCGCATCCTGCCCACCGGTCTATCAGCCACGGCGCACGCTTGCCTCCTTGCCTGCTTCGGGTGGTCAAATGTGTGATGGCCAGTTCGCTGAATGCCTATGCAGTACGAATCACGGCCAGCTCCAGTCTGTTCCGGTCCCGTAAAGTATCCAGCCAATCAACCATAGCGCGTCTTCCCACAGGGCCGAGCAAGAAGAAATCTGCACATCCGTACTCTGTACTCCGTACCGAGGTCGAGAGGATTCATCCAAGCCGGCTGCCTAGAATTTGGTCGCCGGCTCGCCGTTACCCATTCTCCACCTGTCTGCCATTCTGGTTCGGGGACGGTGGACGTTGGGAAAGAAGAAAAGAAATTGTTTGCTTTCGAGTCCCAGATGCAACGTCGGCCGCCGCGCACACATGCAAGTCCCAGGTCCATCTCACTTCGGCTACTTGGTCCTGCAGCTAGGCGCAATCGACACTCGGGCTCACGGACAGGCAAGCAGGAAAGCAAACGGCCCGGTAGGGGATACCCTCGAGAGGGGCTCCCAAGAGAATCTCACAAAATTTCCTCTGCCGTCTCTCTGGAAGCCTGGAAGGTTCCGTACCAGGGACCTGGGCTCTGTGGGATTGGAGGATGGCCGGTCTGTGTTGCAGTGCAGCCGAAGTCTGCAAGGTACGGGAGACTGTGCACGTTTCTGGAATGACCCGGACTTTAGCTGCATGCCGCAGTGCGCCGCCTTACAGACTTGAGAGTTGAGAGCACACTTATTACGTTCGCGTGGTGGTTGTGGACAGTTGGCAGCCATTTGGTCTAATGGTGCCTCGCAATGTTTTGGCATTGGACCACGGGCCGCAGCGAGCTGTTCCCGGAAATGAACCAACTGGCCAACCGCTTTGGCTGAAAGCCTGCACTATGGAACTCCGTACACTGTCTACGAAGTATTCGCACGAAGTACATCTGTGGCACAAGGTCACATCGAGATGTGCATGCGCAGACAGACTACAGCAGCTTACCGTCACATCGAAGGACTCGATTGCATCAAGCACCTACTTCCTCTACCGAGTCCCCTTGGACGCAACGCAGGACCGGTTCACCTTTTCTGCCACGGCTTCTCACGGTTCAAAAAAGCCACAATACTTCAACCCTGTCTTTGGTGATGGGATCGATGCAGAATTGGCCAAGTACGGTTCTAAGACGCGCACCAACCAACCAACTGCCAACCAAGGTATGAGACGCCACAAACTCCAAGGGACGGACTTGAAAGCACAAAACCGTGCCGAGACCGGGATGAAAGGAGCCTCGTGCGCACTTTGCCTCGTGTTTCTCGGTACCCGAGCACGGACATCCGGACCCTTGGGCGTTTGCTCAACAGTACGGATACTGAGTGGGCAAAAAGACGTCTCAAAAATCATTTCCTGCCAAAGCGGACTACGAAGCCGAGGTGAGAGGATCATGATGGTCGACTCCTGATCATGTTGGTAAGGTCATGGAGATTCGCCCCTATTGCCTTACCTAGCTCATGACCCTCTGACTTGCGCTCAGGACCTTCAAAGAGGATCCCTCCGTGGTGGAAACACGTCGATCCGACCGCGCTTGGCGTTGCTTCTGACAGCTTGCTCGGTGGACGCCAAATTCAACGACAGATCAGATCAGTCCTTGTCTGCGGCACAACAGTCTGACATCGTGTTTGCTGCTGGACTCCCGACGCATCAGTACTCCTTACACAGACGACATCGTACTCTGTTCTCTGGCAGAGCCTCAAAGAAGAGGAAACTCCAGGTCGCTCATCGGCTTGTGCCACTTTCTTCACCGAACCGGGGGTGATCAGGCCCGCCGCACTTCTCCTCTACCTATCCTCCCATCCCCGGCGCCGCCCTTGGCCCCCCCCCCCCCCGGTCGTCGAGAAGCTCAGGCCCAGAGATGCTCAGTGTTGCCCTGGACCCGGCCCCCAAGGATGGCCCCAGCTTCTCGAATTTGAAGAAGAGCCCCAGACCGAAGGCGGCTAGCCTGAAAGGGAAGCTGCAAAACCAATCTTTCAATCTAAAATCGCCTGTTGAACTTTGCCATGTTCTTTGTCCCATGCGCACTTCAGCGTGGCTCCGCTCCCGGCCTCCCTCTCCGTCGACGATAATTCTGTTTTCGGGGCATCTCGCTGGGCCTCCTTTTCGTCTCCCTGCCAAGCCCATCTGGAATACGCAAAGAGGCTTGCTGGTTAACGAGGGCGCGCGCCTCCTCTAGCACGTTTCCGGAGACAACTCGGCCTTGCGCGACGCTGCCACGAGGTTGCCATGTTGAGCGCACCGAGGGTCTGGGTCGCTGGCGCTCGCTCCCAAGTATCCGTACTGATATTGCGCGCATTTGTGAGATCAGCTGTGTTCTATTATGCCGGCAGTTGACCCAGTCGTCTGCGGCGCCGGCCAGTGCAAAGCCTGTGAGACATGCCCAACATGGCGAGTAACTAGTCGCCGGTCGGCGCAACCCTACGATCACCGGGGAGAAGATCTGCCACTCCAGTTACCAAAGGTGTTCGGTGTTCGCCCACGGGTCAAATTTGACGCTCTTCGGTCATTCGGCGAACGCCCAGTCTATTGCTTGGGGACATTTGACGTCGTCACTAGAATATGTCTCACTTGTGACCGGAAGGAGCTCAGACATTGGTGTAGTCGATCGCTACGGTGTGGGTTTAGAGATCATGACAGGATGCCAGGTGAACCCCTCGATATCAGTACGACGAACAGTCATCGGAGAGACTGAAAGGGCTTGCTGTCAGGACGTGTTCATTTCATGATCCTGCCAAGATCTCTGGATGCCTGTTCCACCATGACAATACGGGGGGGGGGGGACTCAGGAAGCACGATGGGATCGCCTCCGGCTCGCGGACGGTTAGAGCCAACCAAGTTCTACGCACGCAAAAACCACAATAGTGACGAGACAGTCAAAAAGATGGACGATCTGGGAATCGAACCCAGGACCTACCGCATGCTAAGCGGTCATTATACCACTAAACCAATCGCCCGGTGGATGATCTAGCCCGGACTTGAACCGGAGACCTTCAGTGTGGCAGAGGAGAGGACGCGGCTCTCGAACTGTTAGACTGACGTGATAACCAACTACACCACCAGACCAGGAAATTTGTTGAAAGCGGATGTCAGTTTCTGCGTTCAAGGCTGCGCAGGGGCGGCGGGCGTCGTGGTGGGTGAGGGTTGCAAAAATTTGCAAACGGCTTTGGCAGGGTGTACCGGGAGATAACTTGTGGTGGAGGTCGGAGCCGACCGCGGCCGGCCGAAGTGGAGTTGAGTTCCGACGAACATGTAGCTATTTTTAGGGGTGACGGAACTACCAGACGAAGGCTTATGTCGTCGACGCGGAGTGGAAGTATGTCACCAGGGCGCCTTTCTTCCCTCGAGGTTGATGAGATGTCATATATCTCTGACCTTGGGTTTCATAAGATCGACTTGATCGCGGTAGACATGGGACTATGTTCGGTGTGTATCATTCTAAAGTGACTGTTTTGCCCCTGCCATGAGATATCTGATCGAGCCGTGAGGCAGGAGTACCTCTAAAAGTTGAATATAAAAGCCTTCTATATTCTATGTCTAATATAAATGCCCTCTTTGGATAACGGGATGACGAGTATACCCGGGTCAGCGTTCAACGTCGAGATAGTTCCTCTCAATATGCCACATCAGCCTCTCAACAATCGTCCTAGCATGAAACTTACACACCCCGGCCCACCGTCTCACTACATTTCCAGTGAGGGGGCCCGCAGGCGCAACACCGCTGAAGACGCTGGGTTATCACGATTGGAGTATCAGTCGTTGTATTTGGTTGTCGCCGGGGGCAAAGTTGTTCGTGAGTTGATGCTGCAGGGTGCATGTAGAATAGCGGAGGATAGGCGATGATGCTCAAGGGCAAAATCGCTGCAGAATGGGATTGAGGCGGTCGTGGGGGTGCGTTTCTGATGTTAAGGCATATCAATCTGCATGTTGTTGAGGAATTTGGACGTTTCTTTATATTTCTATCGCTTCACATGATGGCGATCAGCAATGTGGAAACCCAACTCCAACATATGGGTAGCAGGGAGCTCTGTTTTCATGCTGGATAATGGCATTCGACATAGGAGAGGAGAACAATCGTGTCTTGGACATCTCGTGTCTGAATTGAATTGGGACCACTGATGAAGGTGGCAGGCACATGTACATTCTTCAAAGTGATCATCGACTACCGCTCACTTACCAAGTTACTCAGTGATTTGGTACCTGCCTATAGTGGGTGAAAGCTTAAGAAAACGTCGTGGAAGTGAAAATGTGTCATACCTGTCCATTGCCAACAAAGTCTTCGCAAGATGTTTCATCAGCATGCAGCAAGACAAGTCCCGGTAGCCAGCCTGCTGCGGGCGTAGCCGCATGAATCAGTGTGGTCCATGAAGAAGTAGATCGGACTGAATGGACACGAGGAAACGCAAAGATTCCATTCCGTATTCGCAGAAAAGAACAGGCCCGGCCGGGGCTTGACTGTGGAGGAAGGCGCGAGGTAGTTAGGTTGCCCAGGTGACTCGCCCCAAACAATCAACAACACCCTGAGGGCCACGATCCCGCGTACGCCCTGCCCCAGTAGTATATTCATCCCATCTATCCACACTGCCCATGGCCGCCAGACGAGGAGAAGGGTATGTACCCCCCCCCCTCAAGTCCAATTCTGTCACCAGCACAGCAGGCGCCCTCTAGGTCGGGGGTCAGGTCAAACTGTGGCGTGGTGGTGGAACGGTCAGTGGTCAACCACTTTCGCCAACCAGCCTACTCGACGACAGGCTTAGCGACCGAGTTCGAATCCCAGCATGAGCACCAAGAGATGTAGCCCCCAGTCCAGCACCGGGGGGTGAACTCTTTTGCCAGTTGGGAGTGAAGAATATGATGATATTTTTGGCCCCTTTGAGCAATGTTTTACACCGGTGAGTATTTGGAAATCTGATTTGATGCTAGGACACCTACGCTTTCCTTGCGACCTTGGCCTATGGCAGTTGCCTTTAGGCATCTGCCCTTGCCGCAGCTGCCTTCTAGCTTGACTCAATCTACATAGGTGGGCTGAGGTGCTTTCACACACATGGACAGCCCAGCTCATCTACTGGATCATCGCCGAGTCTGTTTGATATAAGGTCGCGCAGGACGAAGCTGGAAGATGAACCACTTTCGACCTTTCTTGCCGCTCCTTTCGGCTGACTAGACGATCCGACCTCTTAGCATGGTGAGACCATGCCGGTGATAGGGCACTCGAGTACTTGCACCTTTGAAACGTTGACTATCAGCTTACGGCGGGTAGGCGGGAGAAAGAGAGGGAGTAAGAAGTACTCTGAGGCAATGTTCGTCGTCAATCTTCACCTGCATACTTTGGGATTGTGAATAAATGTTTCATGAATGATCTCAACTGAGTTCGAGTCACCTCGAGTTAGCAAACCACATCAACACACACGTACGAAGAACCAGAGAAACTGCCATCGGGCGGGTGATTACGATGGCATCGCATACTGGCCCAACGATAGAGGCACTACCCAAAGCTGGCCAGAACCCACATCGGAAAAAGCTGGATCGTTCAGATGATACTTGTCCTTGCGCATGAACACCTGGTTAGATGACTGGTGTCGCTTGAGGCGTTATGTGAGATTGCGTAGCGCACAGGAAACCATACATAACCAATTCCTAATACTTGGCATTTATCCAAAAGGTTGTGTAACAACATCTTTAGTAGCGGGCGCATATCCCGTGGCGTACCTCGTCCTCAAAGCGCTGAGTAAGTCACGTGTAAGATATTCATGAGCGAATAAACACAGATCGGTCTCATAAGGTGAAGTATCCTTAGCATGGATTACGAAGATGTGGGTGGAAGACGAGGCAGGCCGTAAATCAGGAGATCAATAAATACCCTTAACCAACCTCACACATCTTGGCGAATGACGCGAACAGCTCATCTCTTATAACAAACTCCAGATCCCAAGCCCCAGCTCGGTAATATAAGTAACTGATTCATCAGTGAACAAAAGAGCAAAAGCTCGGGTGGCCAGTTCGTGACTCGAACTGGACCCCTACGGAATCCTCCATCCGTTGACTTCTCGAGATTTCATACCAAGTTCTGTACTAACGGACCAGGGCGTTATACCGCTCGACCATGAGGATCGATTGGGCTTGGTTGACGAAAGAGCGATTCAGTCTGAATACAAGGCAAGGTGAGGCGAGCAAAGCATCGAAAATGGAAGGGGCTAACGGAAGCGTGGGTCACAAGGTGAGGCAGGCACGGTCGACAAGCCTTCCCTTCCCTATCACCTAAGGTAAGGCACCCAGAAGGAAGAAGAGGGGACCATCGGGCTCAGCAACGGTACCATGGCATCTGTGCCGAACGCCCGGGCTAACGACGACAAGGGTTCAATGCTCCAGAAGAATATCGGGATTCCTTTGCTCCGAGATGGGAAACTGGCTGAAAAGTAGTCGCGGGCTCTTAGATATGCACTCCTGGACGTTGTTGCTCGGGCATTGTCAGCCGCGATTCACTGTCACTGGCGTCATGGCATTTGGGAGAAGGGTTCTCTATTATTGCGTTGTGGCAGCATGGTACCCAGATGATTTGTCTTGTTTCTACACCCATATGGTACAGTATCTTTAAAACTCCTTCTCTTCCACAAAAAGTCGGGAGTTTTCCGTCCGTCTTCTTTTCGATATTTTACAATTGCAAGCAAGGCACGGTAAACCCCAGTCAATGCTTTCACCACCACTTACTCGTCACCCGCAAACCACACCCCCCTGAACGCATCACCTATTTCTTCCGCGTGTCGCTCCAGAACCTCTGCCTCTCCTGCTCGCCCCTTTGCTCAGCGTACTTCTTGGCAGCCTTCTCCGCCTCGCGCTTGCGGCCGGCCTCGACGTGGTTTCCGGCACCGCCCTTGGCGTTGTGGACGGTCTGCTTGAGGTTGTCCATGATGCCCTTGACGCTGCCGGCGTCAGCCGCAGGGGCTTCGGGGGCAGGAGCCGCGCGGGGGGCCTGGTAGTTCAGACGCGTGGGGCCGGAAGAGATTCTGGTCGTGGCGGCTTTGGTGCTGATGGGAGTGGCAGTGGGAGCGACGATGGGCGTGAGGCCGAAGAGGTTGCGGAAGGCGGACTTGGTGAAGAGCCAGTTCTGGGCGACACCGATGATACCGGTGATGAAGAAGTAGAATTGGACGCCGGCGGGGAGGTACGAGGTGAAGATTACGGAGAGGGGTCCGAGGATGTACATCATCAGCTTCTGTTGGGCCCTGCTCTGCGGCGTGGCGTATTTGGAGCCGAGCTGGAAGTCGACACGTCAGTATCCGAATTGAATCAATTTTGGTCCCCATGGGGGTTCACGTACCTTGACCATGGCAAACATGGCCACCGGACCGGCAATGGGGAGGAGGAAGTAAGGGTCAGAAACGGTCAAATCCGTGATCCAGAGGAAACCACCAGTCTCCATGCCAGGAACGGGGATACTGGCAGCGCCATTGAGGACACGGAACATGCCGTATCCAAAGGGAATCTGGAGGAGACCCCAAAGGCCGTTGAGGGGGTTGACGCCGGCGCGCTTGTTCATCATGGACATGTCGCGACGGTGCTCAGTTATGGCGGCCGAGTCACCGCGCGACACGGCCTCCGTCATCGCTCTCCGGGTCTCTTCATACGCCGGATCCTTCTGGAGCTTTTGCATTTTCGCCGTGGTGTCCTGGGCCATGAGGAGCGGCTTGAACATGACGAGACGGAGGAGAATGGCCGTCGCGGCGATGGAGCCCCACCACGGCATGCCGGAGAAGACGTGGACGTGTTCTAGGGCCCATTGCATCACGCTCGAGGGGCCCCAGCCGAAGTCGAGGCCGAGGGTCTTGAGAAAGCCGATTTGTTCGGGGAGGTCGAGGAGGGAGGCGCCGTCGAGCTCGGGGAGGGAAGACGTCGGGGGAGCGACAGCCTCGGGGATAACGGGTGCGACAGGCGCGAGTGGAGGAGGGATGGATGAAACGGATGCTGAGGCGGCTTCGACGGGTGCTGAGGGCGCAACGGGTGCCACTGGTGTAGCTGGTGCTGGTGCTGGTGCTGATGGTGTCGGTGCAGGCTCAGATTTATCCCAGAGGGAGATGGCTCGTCTCGTCTCGAGGGAGCCGCCGATGGCTACTGTGCCGGCGAGGCCACCTAATCTGGAGTTGGTCGATCTCAGCGCCGCCCAAGGAGCACTGCCGTTGCGCATCGAGGTTCCGAATTGCCGTCCATCGCCGAGTCGTCTGGGTGCCCGAGAGATCTGGTCACTGCACGTCAGCACATGATGCGGGCGGGAACTCGCAGAGGGCCTTTTGAGTTGGGGAGGGAGGATGTACACTTTGACGGGTTATGCTGCTGGCCGCTCTCGTGGCGGGGAGCGAACGGAGAACGCCTCTGCTGGGTAGCATGGTGGGCAGATTCTGAGGGAGGAGGGTTGGGGGGTTGGTGAGGATTGAAGACTGACGCTCCAGTGTCTCTGTCTTCGATTAGGAGCGCGAGATGCTGGAAATTTTTGGGGACCTCGCCATTGGAATCGCGGACGCGCCGGGGAAATGTCGGGTGGGACGGGCAGCGGGCCCAAGCTCCGGCTCCGTTCCGCTGCCAGGGGAGAGTCACTGGCAATGGAACTGGGGACGAGACTCGGGAAGGTCAGCATTGGATATCATTCACACTGAGGAGCTTGATTGGAACTGGGTAGAGATGATCAAATTTGTCGAAAGAAGTCCATGGTGAACCATTAACGAATGAGGGAAAATGCTGTATTTTGGTTTCTTTTGATCCTCGAATATGTACGACCCTCGCTCGAGACTTGAACTCGTTACTGTAACCTGATCCACGCCATCTGTCCAAGGGCCGTACTCTGTAAATGCCTTTACTCCTCCCGTACGCCGATGCATATAGCCTTGCCTAGGTAGTATATCTGGCCTGGGCAGTATTTGTAACAATCCCGACACGCTCGCAGCAGCAGCTTTCCGTCGCTGAGGGATACCGTCGTTTCTTGTCTTCTCTTTTTAGGGTGGGTTGCGACCTCACATGATTGTACTTCACATGGTCGAGAGCGACCTGTCTTCATGGGTGCACCCGGCCTTTTATTCCCATCCGCCTAGTCACTCCAAGCTCGTCAAGTCATCGAGACCGGTGGAAGGCCTCCGGTGCTTGTCGCGAATCTCAAGGCCGGGGCCAATAGCGTGCGCCGTCCTCCGGGACAGAGGGAAGACCTGGGATGTGTATGTCAGAAACCATTCAAAACCTCATCATCGCCTGATGTTTGACTCTCGCAGTATGCGCATGCATTTAGGATGCACATATGCGAGCGTCGAATAACTCCGTTCGTACCTTAGTGCCGCCCCATCCTAGCCTGAAGGCAGCCTCGTGTGCAAACAACTCTCCAAAACCCAGCATCATGCCATTGATAAAGGGCAAGAACAGGTTGATAGCGGCCCCGCGCACCAGGCCCCAGAACGTGGGCGGCTTGTAGAGGATGATGGGCGAGTTCGACGAGGGAGGTGATTCGGTGAGGTCCTCGCCTTGGGAGTACTGTTCGCTGTCGGACCGGATTGTCACGCCGGACTCGGCAAGAGGGTGGAGGGAGTCGTCGGAAGCCATCGTCGACGCTGGCTTGTGGGTTTGGACAGTAGTGATCGTGGGGTGCTTGGGAACTTGGTCGACGAACAGGTTTACCGAGATTCGGCGCAGGGCAGTTCGATGATGGGACGGGGAGCTACGGCTACGGCATCACCTCGGAAAATCACACCTTAGCTGCCGCCTCCCCCAACGTGTTGCTGCACTGCGCCAATGGAACTTGGAGTCTGCGGGGTCTGTGCGGCAGGTATCATTGGTCTTTCCCCGTTGGAGCTTTAGCCACACCATGCTAGATCAAGGTAGATTAGATAAGCAAATACTGTGGCTGTGCTTGGTGGGGGTGGAAGGAAGGTTGAGGTGGGCGGTGGCTCCTCCCTCATGTCACAGGGAACGTGCTAGACAGCCAGGTACCTTCCGTTACGGATGCAGCTCCAATGGAAGCAGTTACGACCACTAAGCTGCCTGCTATTCATCTCCCACTTCGCCTTCGAATCACTGCAGGGCGCAACCTTCAAAGAAATCCAAACTTCAAAAAGACCACGGATTCACTGGTGATATCTCTACCTTATAAACCGACAACACCGCCATACTCAGGTTTGAGAGACCACTGCATTCTCTTTCTTTCTTTCGCCCATCCAACTCTGCATAATCGACACCTCACCGTTCCCCGCCAAACCACATCCAGTGCCGCCAACATGTCCGGTAGCTCCAACAGCGCTTCGCGCAACAATATTCTGCGCGACTTCAAGAGCCTGACGGGCATGCCCGAGGCTAGGGTGAGACATTCATTATAATCTACGGTGAATTACCTAGCTGACTCTGCGTCAAGTGCACAGAGTATCTCGAATCCGCAAACTGGGACATCGGTCTTGCCGCCCAGGCATACTACGCCGACCACGATTCTGGGGAAGAAGAGATTGAACCCGTTGCGCAGGCTCAACCTTCTGCTCCTACCCCCTCCGAATACACCGGCCCCCGAACTCTCGATGGACGACCCGCGCCTGAATCAGCCGGCAGAACGAGCACTGTGAAGAAGGCGGCGCCCAAGAAGAAGGGTCTCGCAACGCTCAGCTCCATCGGTGGAGGTCACGCACACGACGACGATGACGATGACGATGATGAGGACGACGACGACAGGGGTCGTGGCGACCTCTTCGCTGGCGGCGAAAAGTCTGGGTTAGCTGTGCAGGACCCGTCCCAGGAGGGCGGTGGTGGTGCCAAGAAGATTATCAGCGACATTCTCGCCAAGGCCAAGGCGTAAGTTCAGAACGCAGGAGGATACTAAGAGGACGAAAAGACTGATGCAGACCACCAGGAACGCTTCTCGGCCAGAGACTGCATCACCCGCAGGCCCTTCGCGCTCCGGTGCTTTCCGCGGAAGCGGCACCACCTTGGGTGGCGAGGGCAGCGAGAGCCGCAGTATTCCCGACCCTGATGCCCAGGAGGGCGCGAGTGGCTCGGCGGGCGCGACTGGCGAGCCTCAAGAGCGCACATTGCACCTATGGCAGGATGGCTTCAGCATTGACGATGGCGAACTCCACCGATTCGACGACCCCGAAAATGCTATGGACCTCAACATGATCCGGGCTGGCAGGGCTCCCCTGCACTTGATGAATGTTCGTTACGATCAGCCGGTCGACGTTAAGCTTCATCAACACCAGGAGAACTACCACCCGCTGCCCAAGTCATACAAGCCTTTCGGTGGAGAGGGACGCCGGCTCGGTAGCCCCGTACCTGGCGAGGGCAGCTCTTCGTCGACCGCAGCTGCCCCCGCAGCCTCGGCCCCGGCCAGCTCCAGCTCGACGGGCCCTCAGCAGACTATCGATGAGTCTCAGCCTACTCTGACCCTTCGTATTCAGCTGCCCAACGGCACCAGGCTGCCTGCTCGCTTCAACACCACCAACACAGTCAATGACGTCTACGAGTTCGTCCAGCGCGCTTCTGCGGATACCCGCTCCAGATCCTGGGTATTGGCCACGACATTCCCCAACAAGGATCACACTGACCGCACCCTGGTGTTGGGTGAGATGCCCGAATTCAAGAAGGGCGGCACGGCCGTCGTCAAGTGGGCTTAGACCACGATGAGGATGGAAAAGAAAATGGCGGGAAACGGGCGGCGTTTGGTACTTTGGCCCGCATTATAGCCGGGTGGCTTTGGGTCTGGGCATTTGAGGCCGTTTGCCTCTGCGTGGAATGTAGACTTGCTCGAGAAATAGACATGGCCCACATGGAACAGTAACATCAGATCGGCAAATTTTTTTTTTTGCTGCCGCAGCACCTTATACTATGTGTACATGTACATGTCTGTTGTACAGTTCTGAGTCCTTCAACGCCCTTTTTGAAATGGTATCATTAATCATCCCTTGCCATACGCCGCTGCGGCAAACCATCTGTCGCCTATACGTATCATCCAACTTGAAACAAAATCTGCGAGGTCCGTCTTTTTTTTTCACAGTCCATCTTCGCAATACTCTCATGCCGTGCTACCACCGCCTTGCGAGATCATGGTGGCTGGGCCGTCTAGGAATTTGAAATGCTCAATCGCGATCTGGCAGTTGAGCATGGCGGCGTTGAACCTGGCTTCGCCGGGTGGCAAGATGACCATGAGGTAGGTATTCGTCGTGAACTTGAGGATGAAGAGGTTGAAGCGCGTGCCGGCCTTGTGCTCCATACGCACAAACTGCTCTGCGTTACGCGGGGTACCGGTGAAGCGACTGATGGTCTGCTTGAAGTGCTTCATGATGTTGGACATGCGCTCCAGCCTGTCCTCGGTGGGGTTCCGCTGGCCTTCTTCCGATGTCCAGGAGGAGACGGCGAGGAAGGAGGTGCGCTCGAAGAGGAGGAGCTCCTCTGCCTCGATGGCGACGCCGAGGTTGGCGAGGTTGCGTTCGATTGTGGCTAGGTTGGGGACGAGGTCGTGGATGATGCTTGCCCAGGCCTTGTACAGACTCTGGTCCCAGATGCTGGTCGCAAAGGGGGTGATGTCGAAGCCGCCGGTGGAGGGCGCGGTCGAGGGGCTGGTGGGGTCGTCGGCGGCGTCCAGGTGCTGGTTGTGGAGGTAGCCGATGCTGTTTGCGTACTCTGCGGTGCGTTGGCGGACGACGCGGACGCGGTCGTCGTAGACTGATTCGCGGTGGGCGGGGACGACGAGGTCCATCTTGTGGATGAGAACGTAGATTTTGGCTCCTGGGGAGAACTGGAGGAGGGCGGAGATGATGGAGACGTAGGTTGCGAGGTCGCGGTCAATATCGCGGGACTCGATGTCGAAGACGTAGATGAGGACGCCGACGTTGGAGAAGACGTGGACGCGCTGCTGGGAGAGGTAGTTTTCCATAAAGGCCTCTTGGCCGCCGCAATCCCAGAGGTTGAGGGTGAGGTTTCCGAGGAATTTGACATGGGAGAGGTCGATGTCTATTGTTGCGCCGCTGTTTGGTATGGGTGTTAGTGTCTATACGGTCGAAATGGACAGATGGAACAGGTTGAGGGGGGAGAGGACTCACAGTCTCCGCGTATCACGGGCAATGTAGTTGCTAAAGATGATGCTTCGCATACTCGACTTTCCCGAACCACTCTTGCCCATGAGCAGGACCTTCTTCTTCTTGGGCTTCTTGACCTCGGCCAGGGGGGTGTTGCCCGGGCCATTGGTGTAGCCGGCGTCAGCCATGGTGTGTGTAGGCTATCCTGCGCTCGCGACTTGGAAAGCTATCCAGCACGTGGTGAAGAGGGGTTTGTGGATTGGGTGTGTGGTATTTAGCAACTGGGATTTCGGTGTCGTCGGATACTTTGGTTACAGGGTTCGTTGTCGGGGCGTCTTGAGGGTTGCGTAGAGACTGAACAGCGCTGGGAATCAAACGAGTGACTGGTATGCGGTGCTAAAGAAGATCGCTCGACATCGATTGAGTTTGTGTAGCCTGGTTGCGATGTTGAAATACCCGATGGGATTGAATGTTGATCATGGCCGCCTATGGATGGGCGCCGCTACCTGAATTCCAGGAGCCGCGCAGTACGTACCTGGACGGTGGACGTACCGGAGCTTGCGCGCTCCGATAAGATAAGCCGCTGCCTGGTGACCCCCCACCACCAAGGAACCGCTGCACGACTCCCTTCGATTTCGCCATCCTCAGTTCTCCATCTTTCAGCCCGAGTTCCACTGGTTCATCCCGTCCATCTGTTGTTTTACCCGCTGAGGAATACGATGGCGCAAGACTACCGGCCTCCCATCCTCAATGCCGGATTTTGACACAATTTCCTGAAAAAGTCTGGTGTAACTTGGAAGCTCAAGGTCTGCACATCGAGCACTGGGAATGCCATCACTGGAACGGAACGAGTGCGACTTTGTCGTCGATGATACCAAGAATACCATGACTTACACCAATGTCAAGCTGCCTGCCAAGGAATCTCGTCAATGGGACAATGGGGTGACACGAAAGCACATGAGAGCGCACGATACACGCATCGGTTCAAGATGCCCCAAAAAGTCTATGCCGGCGAAGACGACATTGTGTAACGGCGTCCTTGCTGGGCATTCTCGACAGAGGTCGGCTTGACAACCATCGCACACTTCCCCCGCTACACCACCATCCATAATCTGATTATCAGATATGGCGGAATCAAATTTTTCTTATGTCCACGGGGCATGATCTGTCATCTAGCGATGCAGGTCTTGGCTGTTCGAACCCTGCCGCATAAGTCAACATCGTCATTTGGAGGATAGATCTCGCAGGCAAAGGTGCCCTGCACATGGTCTATGGTGTCGAGGCCCAGCCATCGAGGGAGTCCAACCTCCAGCATTGTGTCGAGATCAATGGAAGGGATATGCTAGAGCCTAGCAGTCCAATGGTCACTGGCAAAGCTGTCAAAAAAGGGACTGTTTTGGGGCGCCACGGGTGCCCCGCCGCAGGCTGGACTTTGAGACCTTGTCTTGGTTGTCGACCCTTAGACTCCCGTCTTAGTCCGTCTCGCTTCTCCCTTCGACCTCGGGCCAATGGCTGCGATGCAGTCACCGAGTCTCGGGATCCCGTCTTGCGCATCAGTGTCTGAAATGATTTTGACTAACGATGGGACTAGTGACAGGTTGTCTGTTGGATCCGACTCGTGCCGTCCGCCCTCCTGAGCATGTTCTGCTCGTTCATCCCTCCATAGCATGATGCTGCGGCCTGCTGGCGTACACAAAGCAAGCATATATGACTGTTCAGATCCCCCACCAGGCTGGCCCTGGTGTTTGTTGCTTCGTGAAATTTGTTTCGATGTACACGCTGTTCGTTTCGTGGTCACTTGTGTCTTTTCTTTAATGAGTCTTTCGTCACAGGCATAGTTGTGCTTGGTTGTGACTGCGGTATTCCGCTCTGGTGATCTCGACGCGTTCTCAAGACGCAAAAACAACAGGGATAGGAGAAAGAGACCATCGCAGCATGTCCAACATGAACCCCCTGCACGCGCATCCGCAGCAGATCCCGCCACGCCGGCCGGAACACCCATCCAGTAGCCGATCGCGGGGGACAAGTGTGCCAGGTCAAAGGACCAGAGTCGAAACGCAGTACCGCCCACCGCTGCCAGCCAATCGACCTACCATTCGATCAAGGTATACCTCGCCAGAAGATGCACCAAAGACTGCTGTGCCGCCAGTCCCGCTCCAGCGTTCGAGTGCCTCCTCGGGACGCGTCTACAGCTCGTCAACGAGACCTTTTGACCGAAGCCGGAGCCCGGTTATGACACTCCGCATATTGTCGCATAGCAGCGAAGGACATCGAGGCAAGAAAAGCCAGGAGGACCAAGAGAACCAGCTGGTCCATGACTCCTGGGAGTTTCCTGTTCCGCCTCGGGGTCTCGTACGATCTGGGAACGTCAAGCAGACCTCTCCCAAACGACGACGTCTGCCACTGAGAGACTCGATCCTCTTGAAGCGCAAAGACTCGTCTGACTCCTCAAAAGCTGGAGTAGAGACGTCAGCTAGTACGCCTCGCAAGGCACCGCCATCTTCGGAGCCACAGACGCCGTCTAGGCCTACGCACTCCATGAGCATGCCAGCCACCCCGTCAAGAGGGAGGATGCCGGACCAGCCTAGGTATGCGTACCTGTCGAGTTCACCACTGTGACTTTGGTCAGCTAATCTGGTGATTAGGCTTGGAGCCCGTCCCAAAGATCAACAACTGGGTGAAAGCCTCTCACAGAATCAACCTGCACGCCTGCCGCCAAGAGACTCCAACCTGGAAAGCTACCGCAAGGCTATCAAGGCGTCGAATGATGCTTTGCCAGATGGTGAGAAGCCGTTGGTGTCTCGCATTTGTTCCATGATCTTGGATGAGGAATTTGGCGCTGGCGCCGATAGGTCCTCGACCCCCCTCAAAGTTTGGGACACCGTGGTTAGATGTCTCGACGACATATCTCGCCTTGCAAAATCAGGAGGCCCCAACACTGGGGATGGGGGCCCCTCTGAGGCCCGTCTGGCTCTGGAATCGAAGTCACTCCAGGAGACGGTAGTGAGAGCGGGTGGTCAAATCAAGATTGCCGGGAGAGACGACCGCAACACGAACTCTTCCAAGCGAGACTCAGGGTCCAGCGGCGGGTCTTCAATTGTCGACTACTATTCCTCGAATTATCAAAGAGCAAGCAGTGGCCACGTTGAGACGCTTCCATGCCCCTATAGGCTGCGCAATCCGGCTCGATTCAACGTCAATGACAAGTGGCAATGCGCTAATGGGAAATGGAAAGACTTTGCAGACTTGCAGTATGTATAGTATCATGGAGTTAGTTGAAATGCGTGCTAATTTGTCCCAGGAAGCATATCTCAAAGGAACATAAGCGTTGTGGCGATTCTCACCTCTTTCAGTGCCCGAGATGCGAGGATGGGTTTTCGGAGCCCAACGCCTTCAAGCAACACTTGATGCTTCCAAGAGAGCACATGTGTGAACCAAAATCGGACGATGACGCTGGATGGATCGATCCTGAAGACGGTCTCAGCAGTGCTAAGGCCCAGAATCTTTCAGAACGGATAGGGAATGAGGCTCTTAACTCCTGGGATGAGCTCTGGAGGTGGCTGTTCCCTCTAGACAGAGTGGTGCCGAAGCCTGGTGAGTACTTCCATATCCAAGAATGCAAACATGTTCGCTTACAGACATTAGTTGTTCTGCCCGCCGTAGAGCTGCCACTGGTAGAACAAGAAGTCTTTGCTGCCGGCAACATGTCGAACCTGAAAGCTAGCCTGGAAGAACGTCTTCGGTTCCTCGCGTCGCAATCGGCCGACAGCGCCTCATTTTCTGCGCAGATACCCGTCATCACTGCGTCCCTATCACTTGACGTTGAAGCTCATCTCAGAAGCGTATTCATCTCATGCCGTAACCAGCCGCCTGTTCACACCGGGAAGTCATCAGGGCCACTAGATGCCGCGACTGGCCGAACGCGGAACCTGTCGTCTGCGTCCAACTCTAGCACAAGGAGTCTCCAACGGTTCCTCGGCCCTACCATTGCCGTGAACGATACCAAGCGTGCCGCATGGGACGGCCCCAGCCTTGAACGTCAACGTCAGCGCCAGAGAAGCAATAGTGATGAAGCGAGGCGCCAAAAACTGACGCGGGCCGCGACGCTTCCCGTCCCGACAATGCTGACGATACCGTTCCCGCGCATATCAGCCTTGACAGAGCACTCTGACGTGGGCCCCAGCCCAGTCTCGGAACACGACACCTCACCGAGAGCCCATTCGGACGCCGAATATTCCTCGGGCGTCGAGTCTACGCCGAGCAGCGCCGGCGGCCACCGGGAATCTAGCCACAGCAACACGACAGCAGACATCAGGTGCAGTAAGTGCAACATGAGAGAGAGTCTCCAACCGGGCAAGGACATCTTCTCAGACAAGCGCCACCTCAGCGGTTCCTCGGCAGCAGCGCGGGGGACACTGAAGTCGACGTGCAGGTTCTCCGATTCTGGGATCGGGATCCTCTGCAATAGCTGCCGTATGCTCGAGAAGCTAATTAATTCGTACTCACGGGCTTCATCGCAGGCGTCGGCCAAATCTGAGCGACTGAGTCTGCCCGTGGCTGGTGGTGGCGGTGGTGGTCCTACAGCCACCGCCAGGAGTACCGCCACGAGCGCAACCACCAACACGAGTTTGAACACGGCCCCGACGACGGCGCCGCCCTGTTCGCCGAATCCTTCGGTTTCGGTGGACGAGAGTGAAGAGGAGACGCTGTTTGACTTGATCCTCGACTCGGCGACGTATTTGGACCAGGACGGGCAGCGCAAGACGGAGTTGGTGTCGCCCATGTTTCCGCCGCCGCAGGTTGGATTTTCAGAGTATGATCGGTATGGAGGGCACGGAAATAATTGGTTTTGACTGCATGCTGTTTTGTTCTATTTCCTTGTGGGATGTTTCTTTTGTTATACCTCGGGTTGGGGGAGAAGAAATGAAGCGGTGTTTGGCGTTTGGGAGCCAGCGTTTCGCACTGCTTTCGGTTTCAGCCGATCGGAAGCAAAATTGTTTGATTATTGTTGTTATTTGATTACGGGATTTTGTTTAGGTGTTTGCTAGGTCATGTGGGATACCGAGGTCTATACTATCATGACACTGCAGATCATAACCACGGAAACCATGGATTTTTAGTCTTCCTACCCATTTTCCAACATCACAATTCCACTCGCCATTTGATATCCAAGCAACATTTCACCATGGATATCCCTCACCACATACCTCCAGCACAGCTTCCCAGACGGCTGTGTGAAACCTGGGGTTGGATACCCGCCGTGTCCGAGCAGAGGATCCGTCAGCCCATGTTCCTGGCCAAGAATGCAGGTGCTCGTCGATCTGCACGCGCGTCCCCGCAATTTTAGTTTAGTCGTGCGGATGAAGAAGTACCATGTAAGTCATCTCTCTCTTGGAGGGAGCTTCAACATGAGCCTCGAACATAGATGATGAGGGATTTTAAGAGAGGCATGTTCAGAAGACTTATTTAGTCAAGTTTAAACCCTCATAGAATCCTCCAATGCTGCTATAATAGTTCTACAGCAGTGGTAGAACTATTATAGCAGCATTGGAGGTTGTGAACTGAAGACTTGCTGTGGTACAACCCAGACACGCGAGACTAACCGCATCAGCCAATTCATCGGATCGGGACGCCAGTGACGTCGAGGAACAAGGGGCAACCCGCACTACCGCGGGGCAGACGTCATCCTTACAGCACAGCTTCAGAGGCAAATTGAGGCAACATTCCCTTGTACAGCACGCAAGCGCGGCAAGGTAGGTAGCTGTAGCTCGGAGCTTCCAGCTATCAGATGTTAGGAGTACCTACCGGTAGGTAGAGGGCCCAGGCACGCCGAATGGCAAGGGCAACTCGGAAACATGCCACCAAAGCTCGATCCGGAGCTTCCCCTCCTCCCTGATTACATGTGCCATTCAAATACTTTGTAACACCCCTTCCCCCTCTCTCTGTCATGCCTCCCTTTCTTTGGAAAGCTTTGTTCCTTACACCAATCTACGACAATTGAGCTCAATTCACAACCATCTAGAGCACAATGTCGGATCGAGGAGAGGGCTACAATGCCCGCCTAGGCGTCAATACGAATGAAATCCCCACGGCACAACACTTACCTGCGGCATCGGGTGCCGAACAAGACCGGTACGGCGGCTGGTTTGGTGGCAAAGCCGATAAAGCTACCGAGAAGATCGAGCATGCTGCAGACCGCCTGGGGGAGAACCTCCCCCGCGGCGCCGGCGCCGAACAAGAGCGCTTGGGAGGCTGGTTCGGCGGCAAGGCCGACAAGGCCACGGAGAAACTCGAGCATGCGGCGGACAGACTCAAGGAGAACCTCCCCCGTGGTGCGGGCGCCGAACAAGAGCGCTTGGGAGGCTGGTTCGGCGGCAAGGCCGACAAAGCCACGGAGAGACTCGAGCACGCTGCGGACAGGATCAAAGAGAACCTCCCCCGCGGCGTCGGCGCAGAGCAAGAGCGCTACGGAGGCTGGTTTGGTGGTGACAAGGGTGACCGGGCCGCCGAGAAGCTAAAACAGAACCTCCCGCGTGGTTCCGGGGCCGAGCAGGATCGCTATGAGGGCTGGTTCGGTGGCCACGAGCTGCCTTCTGTCGAGAAGCTTGGCGAGAAGCTGCCGCGTATGTCTGGTGCTGAACAGGATCGGTATGATCGCTGGTTCGGTGGTGATAAGGGACAACCTGCCGGCACCTGGGTTAAGGAGCATATGCCGAGAGCCTCGGGCGCCGAGCAGGATCGGTATGCTGCTCATTGGGAGGGTGTGGTTGATCAGGTCACGGACAAGATCAAGGAGAAGATGCCGAGCGGCGTTGGGGCCGAGCAGGAGCGTCTTGGGGGTTGGTTTGGCGGCGACAAGGTGCCTTCTGCCTCCCAGGTCAACGAGAAGCTCCCCAAGACGTCTGGTGCGGAGCAGGATCGTCTTGGTGGATGGTTCGGAGGTGACAAGTTGCCGTCTGCCTCGGACATCAAGGACAAAATTCCAAAGACATCTGGTGCTGAGCAAGATCGTTTCGGCGGCTGGTTCGGTGGCGACAAGCTGCCTTCCGGATCCAAGGTCAACGAACACCTCCCACATGCTTCTGGAGCCGAGCAAGATCGCTTTGGATCTCACTTTGGCGGCAAGGCCGGCCAAGCCGCGGAGGGAATCTCAAGAAGACTGCCGAGGGTCTCTGGCGCTGAGCAGGATAGCTACGGCTCGCACTTCAGCCTCCACCCGAGCAACCCCGTCAACGCTGCCACGACATCAACACTCGGCCTCGTACAAAACGCCCTCCTCCCTTCCTTCGGCCTCCACGCCGGCCTGAGCACCGTCGTCTACGCCGTCGCGCGGTACACCGACCGCGCCGAAGCAAAGGACTGGCTGTGGCCCTCGGGTCAAGTCGCCAACGCCTGGTGGACCGCCATCGGCGCGCGCGTAGTCCACGACGGCCTCTCCGTCCCCTCGGCATGGAATTCCCTCGGTTACACCCAGAAGCTCCTCCTCACTGGCGTCAGCGCCTGGGGTGCCCGTCTATTCTACCGCATCGCCACCCGTAGCGTGAAGCGCGGCAAGGACGACGACCGGTACGTCGCGTTGAAGAAGAAGGACCCCAAGTTCTGGGACAGGGCCTTCTTCAGCATGTTCTTGCCCGAGGCCGCGCTGCAGGCGCTCATTGCGTTGCCGTTTACGTTGCCATTCCGTGCGCCGTTGACGAGTGCGCGGTCGTCTGCTTTCACTGAGTTCCCCGAGACGTTCCATAGCTTGGCTGTCTTCCTCTTTACTGCTGGTCTTGCGCTTGAGACGATTGCGGACAGCCAGCTTGAGGAGCACTCTAGCAAGAGTAAGGAGATTAACCGCGAGGGCGTCTGGAGCATCGTCCGCCACCCCAAGTAAGTACTCCTCGAATCTAACCTGCTTCTTCATGGACGGAAGAGCTAAATGGTCACAGCTACCTCGGCGACGCCCTCGTCCACCTCTCCTTCCCCGTTCTCCTCTACAGCGCCGGCATGCTACACCCCCTCGCCGGCCTCGGCCCCGTCGTCAACTATATCGTCCTGCGCTACCTTGGCGGTGACAAGGTCACCGAGGCCAGCCAGGAGGAGCGCTATGCCAAGGAGAACCCGCTCAAGTTCCAGCAGCTCCAGGAGTACAAGCGTGACAAGAACAGCTTCTGGCCCAGCCTTGGAGAGTACGACAACAAGTGGGTGTGGGCTGTTGCTGCTACTGGTGTTGTTGGTGTCGCTGTTGAACGAGGCCTCCTTGCCTTCTTCAGAGGTTAGGTTTGTGAGAGGCAAGTGTAAGAAATAAATGTAGTGTATTACTATGCGAATGATCATTCATGGCATCTAAAATTGAGAAGATTATTCAAGGGCAAGAAAACTGCTGCATAGTACATGTCATCTAATTGATAGTGCCGCTCACGATAGCGCTTTCCCCCCGCCCCAATTGCATACATCGACGATCTTTATTGATAGCAAGCATTACATAACATTACTAGTAATATTACTTCATTATCATGTACTGATGCTTAACTAAGTAGGTAGGTACACAAAGCCAACTTTAAACATGCCTAGACTTCAGCAACTCTTAGTTGGCACCTGACCCTGATCTCAGCCCTACAACAAGTTCAAGTCAAGAACAATGCTCGGCGTGCCCTCGAAGCCCTGGGGCAGCGTGTACGTAAAGTTCCAGAACTCAAAGTCGCGAATAGGCGAGCTGGTACCCCCCATCGACCCGGCAAACGACAGCTCGTACGTCTCGTTGACGTTACCCGACACATTAACAGAGAGGCCCTGGACGTCGGCCCAGCTGGTAATGGTAGGCTTCTTGATAAAGGTGCCAACGACAAACGTAAAGATGGACTCGGCGGTGCCGTTGGGGTAGCTCAGGCTCAGCTTATTCGGCGCGACCTCGACGTCGAGCTCCATCTCGGTAGGGTACAAGGAAATGAACGCAATCTCGGCGCCCGTGGTCCACTGCACGACGGCCGGGTTGAAGGACTCCTGGTTGATGGAAGGGCCACCGATGACGTTCTCCTTGAAGGACTCGGCGCCGATGGTGAGGTTCTCCGAGAGCCAGGTGCTGATGTTGCGGGGGACGAGGTCGTAGGGCGGGTAGAAGGTCGAGGCGGAGAAGGTGCGGTCTTCGGTGCCGAAGGTGGTAAGGTTTGCGACGAGACCTTCGGGGAGGAGGCTTGTGTGGAAGTCGGCGAGGACGGCGAAGAGGGGGGCCCAGGCGTAGTCGGCGGCGTGGGACATGACTTGAGGCTATTCAGAGTTAGTTTGCTTCTATTTCTTTGACTCTCACAGGATGAGAAGACTTACGGCAGAGATGAGAGAAGAGTTCTCCTTTCCAATCAAGGTCCAGAACCACAACGCCATTAAACTGACGTAGCGGTTCATGTCATACCCGTAGGCGCGGTCCCAAGGGCCGGCCATGTTCTTCATACCCGGGTGCCACAGCTGCGCGACGGCCTTCCACGTGTCGGCGAGCATCTGTGGGCCCTTTTGCGTCATGACGGAGTCCTCGGGGAGGTACTTTGACCAGAGGATCAGCCCAAAGAGGGAGACGCCCGTGTAGGTGCCCGAGTTGAACTCGGAAAGGGTGTTGGCGCGGTCAAAGAGGTCGATGATCTCCTGGGCGTACGACTCGCCCGAAGCTGTCATGTTGGCATCGTTGAGGCGGCGGCCGGTGTAGCCTGAGACGAGTGCGCGCATGATGGCCTTGAGTGTTGTTAGTATCTGCACTGCAGCAGTTATGTAAGCGAGTAAGGAACTTACGGGATTGCTGTAGGCTGGGTACAGGTTGTCATCGTCGACGCCGCCGACGCGGTACTCGTCTCCCTTTGTGGTGTTGTGCAGCGACTCGAGGATGAGATCCTGGGTGTCGTTGCTCAGCAGGTGGGGGAACTCCTCCAACGCCATGACGAGCGTCGTGCCGACGAAGCCTCTCCAGTTGGGGTCCCATGAGTTGTAGATGCTGTCCTCGTAGTAGGGCGATCCCACGTACGGTTCTCCGTCGTACATTTGGTAGTCTCCGTACCTTTGTGTCGTAGTAGAGTCAGTATCGTGCATCCATGTCAGCCGAGGTCGAAAGTAGCTCTCACCATTGCTCCGAGACATTCTTGAACTGCGCGCCAATGGTGTTCTTGATAATCTTCTCTGCCTCGGCGGCATCGTCGCCATCGTTGCGCGCAAGCAGACCCAGGGCGTACCATACGGAGCTGCGCGTCTCGTGTCGAAGTGCGGACGCGGATCCAATGTCGTATAGGTACCCCGCGGAACGGTCGTAGTACTGGTCCATCCACGCCATGGACTCAGTCAAGAGGCCCTGGGCGTTGGTGGAGAGATTGGCGACGTACGGCGACACCGCCATTGTTGAGCTGGCAAGGGCCAGGATGCCCACTGCCTTGAAGGTGACGGCCATTGTGAAGGGAGGAGATGAGGGACCAATTGACGAATAACAGAGTCCGAGGGAGGGGATGGGAAGCTCAAAAGAGACCTAAGGTAGGGGACTCAATTGCGATCCCGAGGCGGTGGTCTGGAGCTACCTTAATATACACCAACATGTCGAATCTCGCTCTCTCTCTCCGCGGCCAAGACCGCGGCCAAGAGTTGCCCATATCGCGCTGGGCCCCGGGAGATCGTCGTCATTGCACTGATAGAAGCCGCGTGACCGGAGACGAACGGCAGAGATGTCATGTTCAAGCAAAAACCCCTCCACCGGGGTGCGCAATCAAGCAATCATGCAGGGCAAGCTACTTTAGCGGCAGTGGCTGGGGGGCTCCTCTCTCGACTTCGGGTCGGTGATGTTGGCCAGGTTAGGTAAGAATGCGGAGGTGATAACGAGGGTGGGAAGACATGGGAACCTTTGACAACCCTTTGTCCTAGCTTTGGAAAGGCGGGATGAGAGTCTAGAGACTAGAGAACATGAAAACAGTTCGCATTCGTAGACCTTGGCTCAGTGGGACGTTGCAATTCCCAAAGGCGGGAGAGAGAGAACCCCCTGTAGCCGAGGAGAGGCAGGATGAAGAAGCATTTCGGGGCATCCCCGAGCGAAAGAACAGGTGATGGCCCGGAAGGACAGTGGTATCACTAGGTTACGGGTATGAACCGGGGTCGTGGAAGAAGAAAGCCGGGGGAGATGCGAGATGCCCGGTTGGCTCTAACAAGGATCGTCCCTGGCCGATGACTCGGTGCCCCCTGGCTCGTCATTTCTCAGCACTTTTCGCAGTCCAGAAGGGCAGAAAAGAATTCAGATGGTGTGGTACGGTTTAAGGTCCGATGAACGGGGGCTTGGTCTCTTTGGAGAAGTTGGAGGACCCGGTCCGATGTTTACCGGGTGATAATCACATCCATCAACCGCGGCTCTCATGCCGTATCTTTTCCCCTTTACACTAATCAACTCCTACAGATACTAGCAGTATGATTTTATCTGCCCCATAGCTCCAGGATGGACCCGTCGTATCGGATCGCGGCAAAGCACGGCTTGTTTCCGGGGGACACACAAAAAACTGTAAACACAATCGTTGTCAATTCTCGATTGATGGGGTAAAATCAACTGATGGGTCTCTGAAGGACCCCGTTCACACTATCAATTGTGGACCAACGGCATTCTGGGGGCGAAAACACCGTAAGGGTCCTACAGTTCTGGCATGGATATATGTTTACAATACCGCCCGCGCGTGACAATGGCACGCGAGACACGACTCGCTGCGGTGTTCAGTCGAATATTGACAAGAGCTGACATTGAATTGTGAACGGACATCACTTGGGCAGTGTGCAAGACAGACATCATGACAGACGTCAAAACACCTACCGACATCTCGTCGAGTCCGAGGCGGAGCGTCGATGCTGCGCCGGAGAAGAACCTCGACGCAGATGAGATTCGTCTGGCGCAGATGGGCAAGTCTTCCCAATTTGCAGTCTCTGGAACCAACTTCTAATGCTTGCACCAGGCCACACCCAAGAGCTCAAGCGCCACTTCAGCACCCTCAGTCTCATCGGCCTCGCCTCAACGACGACAATCTCGTGGACGGGCCTGGGCCTGGGTCTCATCACCGAGATCAACGCCGGTGGGCCCGGCGCCGTCATCTACGGCTTCATCCTCGTCACCCTGCTGCAGTGTTTCCTTGGCGCGTCGCTGGCCGAGTTCGTCTCATCGTATCCCACCGAGGGCGGCATGTACCACTGGATCGCCGCCGTTGCGCCGAGGAGGTTGACGGGTGTCTTGAGTTTCTTCACTGGCTGGTTCAGCGTGCTTGGCTGTAAGTTCTCTTGAAATGCAATCACGTGTTGAGGAGGGGAGACTGACTTGCGTCCTATTCAGGGATCTTCACAACTGCGTCGACGAACTTGATCTATGCGCAAGTTCTCATGGCCTTGATCGCGCTCTATCACGGAGACCTCGAGATCCAAGCGTGGCAGACGTTCATCGTGTACCAGGGGCTGAACCTCATTACCGCCGGAATCGTCATGTTCGGCAACAAGATCATCCCGGGACTGAACAAGTTTTCGCTCTTTTACCTGCAAATCGGCTGGTTCGTGGTCATGGTCACCGTTGCAGCGTGCGCCCCGACGCACCGCAACACCGAGTTCGTGTTCCGTACGTGGATCAACAACACCGGCTGGGAGAACCAGGTCGTGTGCTTCATCACCGGACTGGTCAACCCTCTCTACAGTCTCGGTGGACTCGATGGAGTCACCCACATCACGGAGGAGATGCCGAACGTGAGTCTCTCCTTGTTCCCCTATCTCTCGACTCACCGAGCGTGTACTGACCACTTGCTCAGCCGTCTCGCAACGCACCCTTGGCTATCGCCATCACGCTTTGCATTGCCTTTGTCACGGGTATCACCTACCTGATCACCCTCATGTTCTCTGTCCAGGACTTTGACGCCCTGTCCACCACCAACACTGGGCTTCCGCTGGCTGAGCTGTTCCGTCAGGTCACGCAGGGTGCTGGGGGAGCCTTTGGTCTCACATTCATCCTGTTCGTTGCCCTGGGCCCCTGCGTGGTCAGCTCCCAGTTGAGCACTGGCCGTGTCTTCTGGGCTTTCTCCCGTGATGGCGCCATGCCCTTCTCCCGAATGTAAGTCGATCCTTACTCTATAACTGCATCGCAAGATCCATCGATTCTGACATATTCCCGATAGCTGGTCAAAGGTCCACTCCAAGTGGCAGATTCCCATGAACTCCCAACTCGCCGTCACCGCAGCTGTCGCAATTTTGGGCTGTCTCTACCTGGGCTCGTCTACTGCATTCAACTCTCTTCTCGGCTCTGCCGTCACTATCAACAACATCTCCTACATGTTCCCTATCGTCACGAACCTCTTGACGCGCCGGAAGAACATGCACCGCGGCGTGTTCCACATGGGGCCGACGTGGGGTCCCATCGTCAACGGCGTTACCGTCTGCTGGCTGACCTTTGCCATTGTCTTCTTCTCTTTCCCGTATGTGATGCCTGTTGAGCCCGCCAACATGAACTACACCTGTGTTGTTGTTGGTGGACTTACCGTTCTGGTCGGCGCATGGTGGTTCAAGGCTGGCTCGAAGTACAGCGAGAAGATGCTTCAAGCAAAGGAGGAGTAATTAGACCCAAGTCATGGGAATAGAATCTTCTGCACCTTAGAGATGATGGAGAGGTTTCTCGCTTCTGTTGAACTCTCGCACCAGGCCCTCAATTTTTTGATGGGATCTGGTAGAAAAAAAGGGGCACATAGTGTAAACTACGTAAACTGAATACAGAGCCGGATTTGACAAGTTCGTCCCTGCGGGTTTAACTTCGATGCACGTAACCATCCCATCAACCTTACGGTCCCACAGAACCAAATGTTAGGAACTACTGCACTATGCTTGCTTTGCATGGATGGAGCAAGTAATTTAGTGTTCAAAGTTGATGCCACCCAGCTACCGGATACGTGGGTTGAGCCACGTGGGGTTGACGGGGCCAGAGGACCCCCCTTTCGCCATGGGCCACCGGCCAAGTCGGAGAGCGAACACCGGTGGAAGGCAGGAATCCGGCGATAGCGACGGGGGGGATTGCCGATGTAATTTGTGAAGCTTTGGTTGTTCACTAGAGGTGTACTCGAGTTCACTGCATGTGGTGGTAGAGCTGGCTCGGGGCGGGCTATCATCTGACCTTTTGAAGATTCTTATACTCCCATTCACCATTACAATTTCACATTCACTACCTAAGCAATATCAACTTAGAGACATATCAAAATCCTTGGGGACTCATACACTCTAAGAAATTTCTTCCTATCATCAATCAAGTTGGTCAAGACGACATCAGACACGATGAGGCTCATCATCAGACCTGATAGTGTATCAGCATCTGCCCATGTTGCACACTACATCCTCGGTACGAGCGCACCCTGATTCGGGGCTATGTCGAGGAGCTCCATTCGGATTCTGACCCCTTCTAGACCGTATCAGAACCTTCGAGCCAACACCAGAGAAGCCATTCGTTCTCGGATTGCCCACGGGTAGCAGTCCGATCCAGATCTACGAGATTCTAGTTGCAGAGCACAAAGCCGGCCGCATTTCATTTGAAAATGTCATAACCTTCAACATGGTAAGTCTTCTGACTTGGAAAAGCCCCTGAATGTTGGGATTTGTCATCTTACCAACTTCCAAAAAGGACGAGTACGTCGGCCTGCCACAAACGCATCCCGAGTCATACCACAGCTTCATGTTCCGCCACTTCTTCTCACACGTCGACATCAAGCCCGACAATGTCCACATTCTTGACGGCAACGCGCCTGACTTGGATGCCGAGTGCGCCTCCTACGAGGAAAATATCAGAGCTGCTGGCGGCATTGACCTCTTCCTCGGGGGCGTCGGCCCGGATGGCCACATCGCTTTCAATGAGCCTGGATCAAGTCTGGCGTCTCGCACGAGAGTGAAGACGTTGGCTATGGATACGATACGCGCAAATGCCCGCTTCTTCGGTGGCGACTTGAACAAGGTCCCGCAGATGGCTTTGACTGTTGGCGTACAGACAGTGATGGAGGTGCGTGTTTCTCTTTTCCACCCGAGCCACTTCCCCAGGGATCGACAAGGTACTCGCAGCTGCAAAGAATGATTTTGCTGATAATTATGGACAGGCAAGAGAAGTAGTCATTATCGTGAACGGAGCCAGCAAGTCGATCGCTCTCCAAAAGGCCATTGAGGGTGGCGTGAATCACATGTGGACGCTGTCATGTTTGCAACTACACCCCTACTCAATGATCGTCGCAGACGAGGACGCAACATTGGAGTTGCAGGTCAAGACAGTAAAGGTATGAATCTCAAAGCGTCAGTGAGGTTCTGATCGATGATTCGCTAACTTGTACGCATCTCCAGTATTTCAAGAGCATTGAGAAGGTTGGACTCGGAAAAGGTTTCGAGCAGAAGCTGCCCTTGAGGTTGAGGACCACGTCGCTTGCCAGCCCTCCTCAGACGCCCCAGACACCGTCTAATGCAAAGACGACGTTTGACGAGGATCACTTGGTGGAGTTGACGCCAGATAGTATGTCGTCTCGCATCGCTTCATGGCCTGTCATCTGATTGACGTTGACATTTCGCGTGGGGTCATGGCTTGGGAGTGAATGGGTACTTGTCATTTGTAGACCCATTGTTGAAAGTGCAGATAATACCAGAATTAATCAGTCAATGAAGTAACAATTCCATTCAAACTTCACGAGGGCGCAAGTGAGCCACTCTGGGAAGACTAAATGAGTGGATGATTTTGAAGACTATCCTCCCTGATTCTCATACGACCAAAGCTCATAGCCTGCTTGTAGACTCGACTGGTCGAAGATGTACCACGAGTTATCCATATTGCGAATCTCTTGCTCAAACACCTCGGCATCTCCTGAAGCGGGGGTATGTAGACCCTGAAGCTTCTGTTCAAGCCGCGTAGCCAGAATACCTCGCAAGCTGGGCTTCGGCTCGTGCATCTCCTTCAGTTTCTGGAGATGAACTCCCACGTTCTCAAGATCTAGGGTAAATCTGATTAGCCGTGAACTCTTTCCATCGGCAAAGAAAGGCATAAACTCACCGTCTGGCTCCCCTACTCCGCCATCTACCCCTTGCAGTACGATGAGAGCGGCCCAGGTGATCATGACGAGATCCCAGTTAGACCATATTGAAGCATCGAGGATTTGGAGCTTGACTGCCGCCCTCGCTGAGACCAACAATTCGTGCTGCTCTTTCGGTGTCGTATTCGAAAAGAGGTTGCAGCCGCGGGCAGGATGGTAGATGGACAACACGAGCAGCCGGTGCAGGATGTACTGCCGGAACACGAGTTTCTTCTCGTGCTCCGACTCAAAGTCCTTATCGCTGAACTCGACAAGCCAGTCATCCAGCTGCCGTGCCCAGTCGCGGATGACTGCGCCGTCGACACCGCTGAACTGGACGGAAGAGATCTGTGACACGCTGGGCTCGCTTTCGAAACAGGACCATATCGTTGGCAGACCTCTGCCTGTGAAGTGGGTCAGGCCTGTGTGCATCATTCTCGAGAGCCGGTAAAGTTGGTCCTGTATTGGGATCTTGAGTCGGGGAAGGGGTGCTTCGATGGGTATGACAGGGCAGGAAAGGTATATTGAGGCATGCTCGAGGTCGACGATCTACACTAGGTTAGAAAGGTGCAAGCCCCCACTACATCGTCATTGTCATCTTACCTGAAGACCCGAGAACAGGCGCTGCCACTCGCGGGACCGCTCATCAGTGTTGGAGGGACAATGCTCCAAGATGAGACGATATGCGAGAGAAATCCAGACCCCTGTCTCTTTAACGACCGCTTCCCTTAGCAGGCCGGCGAGTATAATTCCCAAAACCGTTTGAAAAGCCCATTCCTCAGCCGAGGCTGGGTCATCCGGGGCTTGGCCGACTTCGCTCTGTGGTATGCATAGCTGCGAGATGGCACTGCACAAGACGCTGAAGTAGTCTGGTGCCAACACGGCGACCTCGGGCAGGCCTCGTATACTTGAGCAATAGAGCATCGAGGCCAGCATGAGTGGCCTCGGTGAAGAAAAAGTCTGCTTGGTTGGGAGAAAGTGAAGCCCTGGCATGGTTTCATGGAAGCTGAGAGGGTGTCAGATGTGTTGAAGCAACTACGGGGGAGGGCCATGGTGTTGGAAGATTGGAGGGCACATACGATAACCACAGCCTCTTGATCAAGGATTTCTCCCAAATATTTGAGCTCGCATTTGGCGAACACGTCCTTCGTAAGACAGACACCGCGCTCCAAAGGGCGCCGAGAGATGTTTCTCCGGGTGTCTCGTGCTCGAACGTTGGTACATCTGGGGAGGCGGGCGAGTCCGGTTCTTCCAAGTTGGTGAGAACTGGTAGACCCAAGTGGTCTTCAAGTCGCTTCAGCCGAAGAAAGACAGACTTGTTTAAGGCGGGAACATGCTCATTTGCTTGGATCAATGAAGCCAGCGAGAGACTTTCACGATGAGACGAGGACTGGTTCATTCGTCAGACACGTCTGGGGACAACGGGACGGTGGGATGACTGCCTACATTGGCTCTGGGCACGAACACGCACGGCACTCCTGCGCGGAGGCATCTTCGACATGTGGCCCCATTCTCAATTCTACATTTCATCTGTCCTCACGAAAGGCCGGTTAGACTATTGGTCTTCTCCGAAAGGCCAGCTCAAGGCCGACATACCTTTTGCCTTCTGCAGTTGACTTGAATAGGACACGTCCGTCAGCCTCCACGGTTGCATGCAATGAGACGGAGTCCACCATGTGCTTACCGCATGCCTTCCGGGCCTTGCTCGGGCCCGACTCATCCGGCCCATCGGCCGACGCCTTGTCCCTCACCTGGTGAGCAGACATTATGAAAGCGATTGTTTGTGCACTGATACTTTGAGCGTTGTTCGAGTCCCACTCTATCAATTGCGACAAATACCGGTGTCCACGGCCTTGTTCTCGGCCAGGTTTCGATTTACTGTTGCTTTCTTCGGCGGGTACCCGGTGAAACAGGTGGGATCGGGGCAGAGTTAAGATTCACCGGTCGCACCGGGGAACCGGTCTTTTTGAAGATTTGGGCGACGAGAGGTAACGCGGGGTCAAGGACCCGGTCCTCGATAGGCCGGGGGGTTGTTATTGGAGGGATTTCTGGCTAATTTCAACCGGTCCACCGAGCCAACCCGGTCCGTAATCACCGGGCATGCGATGGTTGTAGTAGACGGCACCAACTGTGAGTGTCAAGTTCTTAGTTCTTACAGTACAGTCCGATGAGATGACCTTCCTTTTCTTTCCGAACAGATGTTTCCTAGCTGCAGGAGTTGGTTCAAGTTCCGGTGCCAAAATCATCCTTTTGCCGCGGGGGCTTGGATACTTGATCGGTTGCATGCTGAGTGTTATTGATAGGCGTTGGCACCCATGAACCTAGCCCTTCCCACCAACACAACTGCCTACGACTAACATTGTCTGTTGGGAGAGTGTTGTGTTTCAATGTCTTTGATCGATTCTGAGCATGGCAGGGCGTCTGAGTTGATAGCTCAGGCCCGGAAAATCGCACATGACTTCGATTTCCCAACGGAGGATGTCCGTCGCGCCACAACTCACTTCTTGAAGCAGCTTAGTAAGTCTAGTCAACGTTGAGTTGTTGTACCGCATGCTGATATTGCAAACAGACGAGGGCCTTCAAGAAGATGGCACTTCTATGTGCCAAATTCCTTCATTTGTAACCAAATTACCCAATGGCTCCGAAAAAGGTGTCTGCTTGGCCATCGACCTGGGCGGCACCAATTTGAGGGTGTGCTCTGTTGAGTTACACGGAGACTCCACCTACTCCTTGACTCAGTCCAAAGCCGTCATACCCAGGCACTTGATGGCTGCACCAACCTACAAGGATCTATTCAGATTTATCGCTGTGCAGATGAACGAGTTCCTGGAGAAGCATCACCCAGAAGACCTTACAACATGGTCGCAACTCCTGAAGGAGGGAGATGCAATCACTGAAGAAATACGGCAGAAGCACTGCAAGAGCCTTGGATTCACTTTCAGTTTTACCTTTGACCAGCATGCCATCAACAAGGGAACGTTGCTGTACTGGACGAAATCATTCGGTATCGCTGATGCAGTCGGCCGCGACCCATGCGCCATGCTGCAGGAAGCCCTCGATGAGCAACACCTGCCTCTCTTGGTAACGGCACTTGCAAATGATACCGTTGGCACTTTGGCCGCGCGAGCATATACATCTCCGGGTCGTTCTAGTAACGTAGTAGGCGCAATCTTTGGAACCGGGACCAACGGAGCGTACATGGAGCGCATCTCTCGCATCACTAAGCTGCATTCACGCGCAGAGTTCTCAACCTCAGACTCGGATGCTATGATGGCGCTGAACACTGAATGGGGAGGGTTCGACAGCAAGCTGGAAGTGCTGCCTTCCACACGATTCGACCGAGACTTGGACCGAGACTCTGTCAACCCAGACGATCAGCATTTCGAGAAGCGCATATCCGGCATGTATCTTGGCGAGATACTCCGGCGGATTACCATCGACTTATCATCACCTGGTCAGAGCTTCTTTGACTTCAAACTCTTAGGAGACTCCCCGCTATATACACCGGATAGTATTGACAGCTCTTTGCTGTCGGCAGTTGTCAAGGATTCAACATCAACGCTTGAGACTGCGCGTAGGGAGATTTCAAGAGTACTCGGTGCTACAGACGTATCGACGGATGATGCAAAGGCAATACAGATTCTTTCCGAGGCTATTGGACGTAGATCAGCCAGGCTATCTTCCGTTGCAATTGCCGGAGTCGCTCTCCAGTCTGGGGTGTTTACACCCAGAAGCATCGTCAAACCAGTAGCGACAACATCAAGAGGCTTGGGTATCAACATTCTGAAACCCTTCATCTATGGAGCACGAAGTCTGTGGAACCTGCTTGCGAGTTGGCTTCATGTCAAAGTCCGGTTCACAGTTCCGTCAAAGGGCACATCGAGCGTATTTCCGGGACTCGGGGACGGAAGCAATTGCCAAGCGGAAGCTGATGGCGAGGACTCGAACGAAATCATTGATGTTGGGGTCGACGGTTCTTTGATTGAACACTTCCCCAACTTTGAAGAGAACCTGCGGGAAGCCTTGAGAGAGATTCCAGAGATTGGTGTTGTGGGCGACAAGAGAATCAGGATCGGCATGGCGAGAGATGGTAGCGGAGTTGGAGCGGCATTGATTGCATGGGCGGCGAGAGCATAATACATGGGGTCTGGTTGAATTAGGCATCAATAAATGGGCACTTGAAGTTCAAAGAAATTGACTCAAGTATGACTGAACGCTAAGTGCTAACTCAAAGATAATACTGCCTTCAACCAGTCCCATGGCTAAAAGTGGAGGTGACCCATTGCTTTGGTTTCATGATCAAGAGTGATGCGGTGTTGGATAGGTAACATCTCTATTCACAGTTCACTGTGAGGCCGAGTGATCATGCGAGTTGAGACGAGTCTCGCCTGACCTTCCATCCTCGATTCATTCACTATATATATATTTCAGTGTATCAAATGTTCAAGCTCTTGCTAGATATCTGACAGCAGAGTTAAAATTGACTTATTCCCAGAACTTTGATAATAATTAAGATTGACCCCTGCACTCTTTGGCTCCTCAACAAAGATAAGCTCATAATGCGTATATTATATCTGCTTGGCTTCACTTGCATGGCCGGCAAAGGTTATGCACACATGGCCATGACTAACCCTCCCCCAATCAAAGCCAAAGGGAACCCAAATACCCTTCCCGAGAACGCCGACTTCAGTTACACAACCCCATTATCCTCAAGCGGCTCCGACTTTCCTTGCAAAGGCTACTTGCATTTTCTAGGAACCCACGAGGCAGCGCCTGTTGACACATGGAATGCCGGTGGTAGCTACTCTGTCACGATTTCTGGCCATGCTGTGCATGCAGGTGGATCATGCCAAATCAGCGTCTCGGTAGACGGTGGCAGTTCATTCAAGGTCATACGCAGCTTCATCGGCGGCTGCCCAAGTGGCGATGCTACTCAACTCGCATTCAGACTGCCTGATGATATGCCGTCTTCTGACCAGGCCATTCTTGCTTGGACGTGGTTTAACAATCTTGGGAATAGGGAGATGTACATGAACTGCGCCGTAATCAGAATTGCAGGCGGAGGTGGTGGAGGAGGCCACGGTGAAAGTTTCAACCAAAGACCAGAGATCTTCAGGGCGAATGTGGGAAATGGATGCAAGACGGTAGACTCGCAGGATGTCATGATCCCGAATCCGGGGCCGGATGTGGAAGTCAATAATTCCGATGCTGTGCCGCCGATTGGTGACTGTGAGTGAATCCGGGCCCGGGGCGACTGCGGGGTCTGGTTCGGGGTTAGGATCGGATAATGGGGGCAACGGAGGCAGCGATGACGGTAGAGGAGGAATTTACAAGCCTGGCAATGCCTGGCCTGCAGACTTCAACCCGAATTCCGGCAGGGTTGTGGCGGATGAACAGATACCAGGTCTCATTTGCACTTGCTTTGCAGTCATTTCTGTCTGTTTATGTTGGGATTTGTGGATGATCGGCTTTCTCGCAGGCTTAGCTTGGTTAAGACACTGATCCCTAGTACGTTACACGGAAACCAGGAGTATGAGCGCGAACGCTGCTGCTAGTCAGTTTGGAAAGGAAGAAGAAAATAATCAAGCAGAAAATCATTGCAATTGTATCAATGAAGAATCTCAAGGCACCAAAATGAGTGCATCCGATAGATGATGGGAGTCAAAAGGGAAAATGCCAAAAGATTGAGGTCGTGCCCGGGTTCGAACCGGGGTCGCCGGAAAGGTTCGATTTTGATGTTATCAAAATCCGGAGTGATAACCACTACACTACACAACCTTTGATAGAGGACGTGCGGAATTGGCGCAACCTATCATCCAAGGCAAGCGGAGCAGTGGCTGTTGTGTGGCAAGCGATGACTCATCACTGTCCCCTTTCGCTCCCGCGTACCACAGACAGGTCAGTGAGTTTGCCTCTAAGTTTTCCCTCTCTCGAGATAATTGTTTGCCTACGCTATCATCACAGTCGCCCCGTGGACCTCGATTCCACAGCGATGGAGAAGAAAACCCGACTGATGGATAATGTTAATGACATGTTTCAGATGCCTGGCAATCCACCATGCCTGCGAAATTACTGCTTTACGACAGACGCGTTGCGCTTTACTGGATACGTGAGCAAATCCGCCCAGGCAATTTCGGGGCGTTTAACACGAACTCAGGTAGATGCCCCGCCGATAACGGCTTTTGTGGGGGAAATCGAGAGCAGTATCCTTCCATATCGCTGAATCACGACGTACGAAAATGATGAAGGTTAACATTTAGAGCACGTCGAACCTCCCGGATGACAAGATGCATGAAGCTACCATGGTTCCCCACAGGCTACTTGTGAATGCGACTCCCCGCATTTTACCCCGGAGTTGCTGAGGTTCTGGTGCGTGGTGACATTCCGGGGATCTCCCAGGCCATGAACTCTCGCCGTTGCACTCCCGGCCCGCAACCTCCCCCGGGCCCGATGATGATGGAGTTAAATGTGTAATCCGTAGACACCATGAAATAGCTCAAGTCATCTCAGCTAGTCGTGGACTCATGGGACGGAGCTTCCAATTCCACGACTCAGCATCGTTCTACTCCAAAGGCCCGCTTACTGGCGCTGTGTGTGACAAGTTGCAACACGAGGAAGGTACCTTGGCCCCACCGAACATCTACGGATAGTTGTAGTATGCTCACGATTTCTAGGTCTTCCCATCACTGTCAGCTATGCCATGGGTGGCCATATTCACGCAGTCATGCTTTGCCACAGTAGCCGACATTCCTGGTATTTTCGGGCCAGTGCCAGTCATATCTCCGTCTCCCGCGGGTGATATTTCAAAGTACCTCAAGAGCCGACCAAGTGACTTCGTTCATCCTGGTATCTGGCACACGCATGAGGATCTAGAGCGCATTCGCAATGGAGTCCTCGAAGACAAAGATCCCTGGGCGTCAACCTATGCTGTCTTCAGCAAGGACAGCTACAGCTTGGCGACGTACGAGATGAAAGGCCCGAAGCCAGTCATCTCGCGCGGCAGCGTCAGCAACTACACATCCTTCGCCTCCGACGCCCGAGCTGCATGGCAGAATGCCCTGATGTGGTACATCACAAAGGACGACGCCCACTGGAACCGTAGCACGAGCATCTTGGATAGCTGGGGTTCCATCCCAGTCGACATCATCGGGACGGACCGCTCCCTCCTCATTGGCCTTGACGGCGATCTTTTCGTCAATGCCGCGGAGATCATGCGCTGGGAGGGGAACTGGACTGAGTCCAGAGCACGCTGGCAAGGCGGGTCTGGATTCAGCATCCAGCTCTATTGGTTGTTTTCGAGCCAGTCGATCCCTATTGGCCAGGCGAACTACGGAATGGCTAGTATCAAGGCCCTCTTGAGCTTTGCTGTCTATCTCGACGATGTCACCCTTTACAACTATGCCATCAATGAGTACTTGAACAACCCCTGTGCGGGGCTATACTCGTTCTTCGAACCCGAGACGGGCCAAAGCTCGGAGTCTGGCCGCGATCAGAGTAAGTTCGCCTCCATCTATCGAGGATAATCGTGGCTGACAAGTCCCATAGGCCATGCCATGTCCGGTCTGGGATGGGTCGCTCAGGCTGCACGGGTAGCCCAGAGTCAGGGTTCTGACCTCTACAGTCAAGGTGACAACCTCCTGCTGAAAGGTGCAGAGTATCCCATTGACTGCTGCAAGACGCCAAAAAACGGGTGGTCCATAAAAGCGCCCACTTTTATCCCGCACTTCAATCGGTACAAGGCGAAACATCATTTACCCCTATGTTTTTTTACCTACTATCACTACCAAAACCATCATTTCAACCAATGTTACGATGTCTTCTAGTGATTCTGATGCTTCCGATGCCTCCGTAGCTACCGATACCTCCGTACGGAGCTGTATATTCGTTGAGCTCCTTCCCGAAGACCTTAAAGTCGGCTGTACTGCCGACTGTACCCCGGAGAAGTGCGATAATAGCACAGTCCGGCCCCATGAGCCTCCGGCTGAGCCTGGCTTGCCCGGCTCTTTTATACCCTTTAATATACCGGCCCGGGACCGGCAAATACGGGACTTACCGGAAACGCCGATTAACCTTTTCCTCCGATACGTTCCCCGGAGCCTTGTTGAGCAGTGGGTCCGGTGGACAAATGCAGCGCCGATATCTAAGGAGGGCCCTCAGCCTAGACACTCAAGAGTGTATAAGTGGAAAAAGACCTCTATAGAAGAGGTATACCTCTTCTTAGGAATCCGTATTTATATAGGGATCCATAAGGAGTATGAACTATCAAGATACTGGGCAACTCAGCAAGAGAAAGAGGACCCTATTCATCTATTTACCCGGTTTATATCCCGTGACCGTTACCAAAGACTATCCCGGCAGCTGCGGATATTCGATACTTCTGAGTTCCCTAGTCAGTCTAGCCATGGCCGGTGCCGACGCCGGCCCCAGGATAATTCAATACCGGATACGTATCGGAAGGTTAACGGGTGGTCGGCCCATATCCAGGATACCGGGGACTCCTTCTATACGGCCGGCTCTGACCTTACCGTTGACGAGGCTATGGTCCGATTCACAGGCCGGTCCCTTGAGACAACAACAATCCCGACTAAGCCGATCCCGACCGGCTTCAAGATATGGATTCTTGCCCAATCAGGCTACTGTCTCCGGTGGCTCTGGCATATCCACGGAAAGGGCCCGTACGGGCTAGTCCCACAGGCCCGGTCAGCGCCGGATGACGAGGCGGCAAAGCAGGCCCTTTTAACGCCGACGCAACGGGTTGTAACGACCCTAGTTGCCCTACTTCCGGCTGCAATCTACCACGTCTTTTTAGATAACCTCTTTTCTTCTGTCCGGCTCTTTAGGGCTCTCCGGAAGCAGCAAGTCGGAGCTTCTAGCACCTGCCGGAAAGATAGCGGCATAGATAAGATCCATATTGCCGAGAAAGCAACTGAAGGACAAGATATCCCTTGGGGCAAGATACATTATATCCCTTGGGGCAAGATACATTATATCCCTACTTTAGATGGGGAGGTATAGTGTTATAGACTACCTTCTAAGGATATCTCTATACTAATCAGTTCTTCTAGGTTAACCAGTTCACCTGGAAAGATAATGCTATTGTACTCTTCTTGACAACAGTCTTCCGGGAAGGCCAGGATATTATTCGGAGCCGGCGCCGGCCAACCGGAGATACTGCTGTAAAGCGGGCTGCCGGGAAAGTCTTCGGCGCCGACGTCCGGAAGAACCTGCCAGTGCCGGCACCAATAGACGAGTATAACCATAAGATGAACGGCGTTGATGTTAGTGACCAGATGAGATCCTATTATCAATGGGGCCACCCTATCCGGCGAGGGGGCTGGCAGGCAATTGCTTGGGACTTCCTGCTAGACCTCGGCCTGGGCAAGCTAAAGATAAAAGGAATACCTCTATTCCTTTTGGCAACACCATACAAAGGGATCGAGAAAGGTTAATTCGCGGTGCTCTTATTGCAGCAGTAAAGGCGCATTATCTCGCCGAACTGCCTTATCCGAGGTATCTGGAAATAGCCTTGCGCAGCCACGGCCTAGATACACAAGAAAGGGCTGCTTAGACTGCAATTTACCGCTTTGTATCAACAGAGATTGCTGGTACCTCTGGCATAACCAAGATAACTAGAGAATAGAAGTACCGGAAATCCTAGCTTATCATTGGATAGAGTATATGAAACCACAAGCCCTTATTGGCCGTACCCCGCATGGCGTCTTGCAGCAGTCAATGGGATACAGCCAAGTTCAACTTGAATTTAAGTGTCCCGTATGATCCAAAGTGGTATCGATGTGAAGCAGTTCTTGTTAATGGGCCTTGGGCAACCATCTCCCAGGACAAGCGAGGTGTAACGGCCACAAACCCAATATGGGATATCCTGTACTACCCGTATGCTGTCAAGAGAGTTGGAAGCGCCTTGGGTCACAAAGGCCAAACAGACTGTGGGGTCCGAGGGTCGCATGACCAGTAACGATCATCCTAGTTGGGGAGGGTTGACATGGGCTTATTGAGTTATGCCAGCTTTTCTTCCTACTTAGGTAAACTAGCAAGAGTAAGGTACCTAAAGATTCTAACAAAGCAACGATGGTGATGGCAAACCCACAGCCATGATCAAACTTTGCGTGTGAAATTCGATCGCTGGGGGCACACATGGGCATGTTTTCTTGTCAAAATGCATACCATCCGTCAGAAACCTAGAGTACTTAGTAGGCAGGTGCATGCAATCTATCTAGGAGCTAGCCAACATAACTCAAGGCTGTCAGCTGCGATAAAGTGCAGAACGTGTGCGCAAGACGACGTGTCATGGTATGGACATGAGTAATATTTGAGTATAAATAAGAAGTAAATGTTATCTGAATGAGAGTAAGGAAGAAAGAAAAGAAAGAGCAGTAAAGCTGGCTACGTATTCGCTTAGTGTGAGGGACTGTGAGGGCACGGGCCTGGGGTCAAAATCAAATCCGAACATATCCTCTCTGATTCCTGAAGAATAGTCCAGTGGAAGATCAACTATTCCCAAACCTACTCCAACCTGTAAAGGAGTGTACCAAAGCCCAATTGGTCGTATCCGCCACTGGTCGTGCCGTAGTCACCACCACCTCCCTCAGCACCACCAGCTTCCTCGACCACGTGGTCGCGCATTTGCTCGGTCCAAGAAGCATTGAGCCCTTTGATGACACCGTAGTGGTTGTAGAGAAGCTCCCAAATAGGTCGAAGTCCGCCACGTCCAGCTTCACTGATATTCACAGCCGTGCCGTGGCTGTTGGTAAAGTTGGTAAAGGGGACGTCAAATCCGAGGTTGTACTTTGCGGCGTACTCCGATCTTTATGCCATGTTAGTATGCTGTCTTATTCTTGTGATAGAAATCACTTACCCTGCCAAAATTCTGTTGTCGAGATACGAAAACAAGTCATCGCCCTGGTTGTAAGACTGTTGCGCAAAGACGCCCAAGAAAGCAAAGTCCAGCAGAGCATGCCCCTGGTCACGACCGGCCTCCTGGCCCTGACCAAGGATCTTGCCCGAACCTTCCTCTTCATGCAACTCCCAAATAGCTATCTCGATGGCGCCGTTACCCGCACCGTTCTTGAAGTAGTCAACGGCTTCGTTGTACATGGTCTTGTTATCCGTCAAAATTCCGATAGCCTGCATAGTGCATATATTGGCCAAGTCCCAGTTGGCCCAGTAGTGGTCGATGGAGGCGCCATTGTGGTCGATCAGAAATCTGTGGTTCATCGGGTAGAAGACTCTCTGCAGCATCTCGGCCATCGCAGACAAGCCGTCCCAAGCCTTCCACTCCCGCAGAATCTCGGCTGCGTTGGCGAGCTGGAAGCCGTAGATGCCCGACGCGAGGTACTTATCCGAAGAGCCGTTGATGTAGACGAGCGAATCGCTCCAGGCGTCGAGGATCCGAGCCGACGCGTTGGCGTGGGCCTCGTCGCCTGTGATCTTCCAGGCAATAGCGTTGTTGTAGGCGGCGTGAGCATCGCGGTAGAGAGATGGGTAGTTTTCGGGGTTACATTCGCGACCTGCGCCGCCGCGGCAGACGGTCTCCTTGGGATTGGGAGTGTAGGCTGTGTTGGCGCGGGTCTTGAGCTTGCTCCAGCCGGTTGTCCATGGCACCTTCTGGGCGTCGACGAGGCCCGACATGCGGTCGAAGTCTTTGCTGGTATGAAGAAGGCCGGGATGCTTGAAGGTTGATCGGGAAGAGTTGGAGCAGAGCGCATACGCTTCAGAAACCAACAAGGAAGAACTCAAGATAGTGATAAGGTTGCTATAAACAGAGTTGAACTTCATTGTGAACAGATATGGTGGTCTGAGACCAGCCCAAAACTACTGAGTGAACGGAAACTCAAAGAATTGAAGGTGCGAGGGCTTGCTAGAAGCTGAGGTGAAGGCCGAGTAGATCATTCGGATATATAAGGTGGTCGTCAAATCCTTGAGCAGAATCGACCCATTCTCGGGACTCGTTTCGATATCTGATATGAATTTACTGCCCAATTCTAGCGCCCGGGACTTTTCCCGACCATTGTCGCAGTGGGTATTCCGTAGACAAAAGAATGCGAATGTGATAAAGAACACATCAATATTTGTCGGCCCCTGAGTACGAATAGTGGTGGTCGACTCCGACAAATCCTTGCGCTCCGAGAACGAGATTTAAGGGGTGTGTCAGCTGAGACCCAAGGCCTAATGTGTGGAGTTGAACGTAGTGCCGAGCAGGCTAGTTGCAGATCCCATGTGGCTGTCAACATCATTCATGACCGGGGTCGTACGCCGGAAACTACCCCGGACAAAACTTCGACCGTATATCTGACATTTAATAAAAGGCTACTGTAACTGACTGCATAGACGCTCAAGTGACTGAATACGTTCTGTAGGTTCAATTGTCGCACCTACTAGAAGCATAAAAAAAAGCTGATGTTTATGTGGCACCGAGGCCGGGAAAGATGAGAATTTGTGGTTACATACTAGTTAAGCAATCACAGACCACCCATTCACAATCAGATGCTTTGGTCTATCAATATCATGCGTGAAGAACATTAAGCCAAAAACAGACAGTAAGTAATCACTGATCATGGATCCATGATGTTTTGGGAAAACGCGCGTGTTTTAATTGAGTCTACCTGATGGCGGTATGATGAATCGAAGAGAACCAAGGAAACCATGGGTGAAATATCTAATACTGGTACAAGCCAGAGCCAAGAAGTGCAGAAGGTGCCAGATGAGAAGCCGCTGAGTTCAAAGTTCCAAACTTTTCCAGGGCTGCCGAAAGAGTGTTGTGAGCTGGCTGGAGACCACCGTCTACCCAGCCACCAAGGAACGAAGTGCAATCACTGTTGATCAGAACCCGCGAATTCTGGGTCTGGTTGATTCTCTCCCAATCGCAGAAAAGAGACTCAATGCTGACATCTTGCCCCGGGAATCCCAGAGAGAAAGCACCGTACGAGTAGCGGTCAAGAGGCCAATGGATAAGGTAAATGTCGTCGTCAGTGACGGGCTCGAGAAGGCTCGCATACTCAGGGAAGTCGGAATCTTGCATGATTCTGTCAATCTGCATCTTGAGCTCCGTGAGAAGCTCCTTGGGATCCGAGATAGCCGTCATCTGCAGAGAAAGGTCCTCCCAGGCATAAGTGACGAGGACCATGCCGTAGTCGGGGTGTCCGTATTTCAGGGTGTACGTCTGCGGCAAGTTCGTGTCCGAAAGAATAACTCGAGGGAATCCAGCCCCTTGAGTTTCCCAGAACTTCTTAGTCCGGATGAAGAGCTTGGATGAGGCGGTCATATGGAGATCGTTGATGGCTCTCTGAACTTCCAATGGCATAATCGGGTCCTCGGTGGTCTCCGAGACTGGAGTAAAGGCGTAGTTCATAGCCCAGTTGCTAGTTGCGACGACGACAAGTTCGTAGTCGATATTGGTGGAAGCACCTCCAGAAGTCTCTCTCACACCAACAGCAAGGCCGCCGAGGGCATCACCGCCGCCACTGGTGACTTCGGCGACAGTTGAGAACTTGGTCTTGACACCAAGCTCGGTCGCCTTTTCCCAGATTGTCTGGGCAAGATCCCGAATACCGGCAGGTTGCAGGCCTGAGTCGGTAACCTTGGCAAAGACAGCTTGGTCTGACTCGAGGCCGTTGACGACCAAGCGGAAAACGGAGTTGAATCCGGCAGAGTAGACAGCGCCAAAGCCGCCAGAGCCGATTCCCAAGGTGCCGAAGCGTTGGAAGTCATCATCGGTCCAGACCTCGCCGCTCGGAACGTCCCATTCGTGACCATCGCTGTTGGATCTCTGAGCAGTCGGCAGAAAAGATGGATCTGGAAGGCGGTATGGGCACTTACAAACGGCCCTTTCACTTATATACCACTTCTAGGAGATCGTGGGCTCTGCCCACAATCTCCTCCTTCCACCTCCAGACGCAGCAATAATAGACCATTATTGACACTTCGTTCCAACCGTACGGTTGCCCTGCTGACGTGTATACCAACAATCGCCGAAGATACGGAGGAGACCAGTGTAAAAGCTGTCATCACCGAAAGTGTCCAGGTACTTTTGCCACTCTGGGACTGCAAGGTTGCGTGTGGCCGTGTCGTTGGAGGAGAGCCAGGTTGTAATCTGACTTCCTGCGGCCAAAGTGCTGCTGCCACCAGTCAAACCCTTCGAGATGAGCTGGACCCAGCCGTTGTTGACCTTCTCAAAGCCGGTCGGGGCCGTGTTGGAGTCGGTCCAAGAAGTAGCCTTCTCTTGGTAGTAGACCATGGTAGGGACCTTGCCGGGGTCAGGGAAGTTCTGGATGAAAGTGTAGTTGAACTCGTTGGCGTAGTAGTAAAGAAGGTCTTCCGAGGGAGGAAAGCGCATCGCACCCATCTCCGCCACGTTGACTCCGTCAGCCGTGGGGAGGGATCGAAGTCGGCCTCCGACGCTATCAGTTGCCTCAATCAAAGTGACATCTGCGCCGGCCTTGGCCAGGTTGAAAGCCAGAACCACGTTGGTGATTCCGGCGCCAACGAGGCCGATCGAGAAGTTGGAGGGTAGGGTGCCCAGAGGCTGGTTGATGTCGCCGGCAGCCTTGTTCCACTCAGAGTAGATGAGCTGAGGAGTGTCAACCCAAGCTTGAGGACGAGCCTTCTGCTCGGCAGCGCCGGAGGACTGCCGCTGAGCCAGACGGGAACCAGAAGTGCTGCCAATGGGAGAGAAGGGAGTGCGCTTGTTGGCGGAAGCAACAGAGGCTTCCTCAGTCTTGAAGCTGAAAGAAGGGAGCATTTTGATTGAGATGCGTGAGTTATTGAGATGCTGAGGGCCTTATGAATGAGAGTGATCTGAGTGAGACTGTGAAAGCGATGTCCTCAAAAAAGAGACTGGAAACTGGGTGGGCAAAGGCCTACTACTTATACATCGTGAAAACCATATCGAACTCCAGGATGTTCTGACAAGAACGAGCATGCCGATTGAACTGCCGTCTCAACCGCCGGCAACATCTGTCTGTGACCCGGATGCAAGAGATATCGCCAACATGCTTCCTCACCTGCGTGCAGCTTGAGTTGCAATGCAGTCCACATCAACATGGGAGAGGCAAGTTTTGACACTGCCGCCTTCAATGGTACACCGAGCTTCTCATGAAGAAAACGTAACGTTCTCTGAATAATGTCATTTTTCTGCCCATCGTGGCTCAATCCCAGGCCGCTCGTGCTCCGACAGAATTTTCGGAATTTGGTTTGGCACCGAGTCATTCTAGTTGAGCTATGGAGTCAAGTCAATGTTCATTGAGGGAAATATCTATCAAATTCACAGGTCATTTCGCTTATTGGAAAGTTGGGCTAGCGACGGGAGTCTTTCAAAGCTCAGGATGGCTTTTCGTGATCTCGGCTTACAAGTGGAAAGGAGAGTACAAGTCAAGAGGTATGATCATGACACAGATGATCTCAATCCCAAATTGTTTTCTTGAAGGCATTGATCAGTATCTTGTCGGTATTATGACCAGTGCATTTCAACTGCGAAGCATACCTGACTAGATGAATATATGCAACATATCTGGGATAGCAAGACTGAGAACCTAAATCAGGTCGCATAAAGGTTTATCATTGCATAAATTTGAGGCAGGCAAGGCTTCAAAACTTGTGGACTTGACCCTCTGTGATAGCTTCGGTGATTTCACAATGCGCAGTGACGTGAAAGATATTGTCGTCCTCTAACTCGTTGGGCTGCAAGAACGGCTCAGCCTAGTATTGTAATTTGCCAGTGCAGACAAATACTACATTGAGCAATATATTCGGCCTGTGGAGAGTCACTTAAGGGTCGAGTTGACAGCACTTGTGGGAATTTGTGAAAGGGCCTAGCAGTTGGGACCCTAGCCCTTGACATGGGTTGCTACTGATCCATCTGCCACATCATGAACATATGCCAGTCTAGACATCGTTCGATGTATGCTTGGAAGGTAATTCCGGTCGTCTGACTGCTCAGGAGCTGTTGCGTTCTCACCTTACACTTTGGGATGTTGCAATTCTCTTCTGAACCCTGTCATGCGATGGTCTGGGCGTCGGGATTGGTGAAGATACTGGAAGAGAATGAAAGTTTAGTCGACCTTACGACGAAGCTCGATCCCCAAGTCTACCCCTAGTCTCTTCGATCGTTTCCATATCGCTTGTGTTAACTCACAATTCATGGTTTGTTTCTCACTGTGAGCGAACAGCGGAGTAACATCCCGAAGCGAGCGGGGCATACCTACGCAAAGTCTAGGGGTATGGCAATTATAAGGCGGTTGCTTGTTTGCCCATAACAACCAAGAAACAGACATGTAGGAATGGATGTTATCCAGATTAGGGAATTACGCCGAGCTGTCAGATAACTATGTCTAGTTGGACTTACATCCGGGAGGAGCCGTTGCGGACCACAAACAAGGGCACCATGTGCGTGCGAGAATAATAACGAACAGAAGAGCGGGCCCGCCTTCCACCTTTCCCCGACACGCGCGCGGGGAGGTTCAACTATTGAAGGACATCACGGAAGCTATTGTTGCGATTTTGGCTTGAAGGATGTTTCGTATTTCAAGAGACCAAGAACATTCTTGTTATGCTCGTGCGTCTCGTAGGCAGCTCAGATTCAGACCGAAGAGGAACCAATCGCCTCCACACTTGAGTGATTAATCCTCAGGGTGAATGCCATGCGCTTTCCCCATGTCCACTTCCGAACCCCTGGCGTACATCGAACCACTTGATTCTTGCACCAGAATTGAGCGGCTTGAGATGCTCTCAGGTTCCTTAGAAAGCGAGGAATGCAAGCATGAACTTTTGTTGCATTTGTACATCCCGACATTTGACCGTGGAAAGATGAAATGCCTTGAACCCAGGCCGGCTTGGATTGGATAGTATCAATGTTGCGATGGGAACATTCAAACATCTACCTCTCACGGTTACCCGATTGTAGTAACCTGAGGCTAAGTACCTACTTATTCATAGGTTGGATGTGAGGCTGTCAATGTTTTTAAATATCCAAAACGGCGACAAAAAATAGAAGCCAGGAAACGAAAGGCATGAAGCTTGTTGTAGGAATTCGCTTCTTCAGTAAGTTTTAGGAGACATCTAGTGTGAATCAATTCGGTGTTTCAACAACAAGTCTCGTTCGTCGAGATAGAATTTCTCAAGCCAGGGCTTTCAGCAGCATCCAAATACGAGAACACCAAGTGATTGAGAGCAATGTGTTCACAAACAGACGTGCATGGGTGCGTGCATCAGGTGAATTGGTTGATTGGCTGAATGAATTTGATTGATTTGAGTCCAATAGTTCTGGCGATGCCAGCCGGGGTTGAGCATTTCTAGCCGTCGCCACGCAAGCCGCGTCAACATGATGACTGTATGCTCGTCGTTCTCTATTCTAATGGAACTAAAATCTATGGAGCCACTTATGAGTGATTTTTGATCTAAGAAGCAAAAGCCTGCTGTCCTGTTGAGACCGTTTTTAAGATGCCCTTGTCGGCCAAGTCGTTGACCAGGTTGAATAAGACAAAGTCGCAGCCGCGCTTGGCCACAAGATTGACAGTGACAGGCATAATCTCATCCTGGAAAGTGACATTGCTGAAGTATGAGACTTGACCAATGGGAATGGTGTAGTCTGCGTCGCCAAAGTAAGAAGCCACAGTCGATCCTGCTTGAGGAGTTGTAGGGTTCACAGGGGTCGTCGAACCAGGGTCGCTGTTGAGGTCCTGAGATCGGAAAGTAGGAATACCGCCAGTTCCGACATCATAAACGAAGATGGCCTCAGAACAGGATGTGTCGGTGGAGAAGAGGGCCTTCTCGTGCCACAAGGCAGCATCGCGGGTCCGGTTCGTCATTGCCGCCTTGTAAACGTTGTCATCAACGGTTAGGGAGTGGAACGCCCCGCGGTATGGCTCGTCAAGGGGCGAAAAAGCCGGAGCATACTGAGCCAGGAGGGGCTGGGCAGTCTCCGTAATCAAATCGTGTGTCCACAGAACAAGCAAATCTCCGAGGAGTTGCAAGATGGGTCGTCCGGTCACGTCCTCGATCGTCTCGGTAAGGTTGACCTTCTCCACAGTGGCGCCAAGAGCTGCTGATGCATCGCTGAGAAACTTCTGGAAAATGGTCTCTGCGGCGGGGTTCTGCAGCGGGAGATGGTCGACAGGGTACAAAATTCGCTTGGGGAACGTACGATCGTCGGAGACGGAGAGAGCAGACAATCCGTTCAAAGAGGTGTCTTGATGGAGTGATGGGTCATACCATGCCTTTGCAAACGAGGCCCATTTGACAGGATCGCGACAGAAGACGCCGGCAGTATCGGCATTGAAAGTGTTGGATTCACAGGTGGAAAAGGAAACTAGTCGAGTATCGTGGGTAGCAACGATCACCGACTGTAGTGGTGATATTGCTTGTTCTTGTTGTTCTTGAGTGGAAGTCTAACCAGGTGCCAGCAGCGGCAGGAAGTCTGGGGTATACCACCCTCGTGTGGCTGAGCCACACGGACCACCGTGGCTGGAACGGACCGCGGCAGCAACCTCCTGCTGCCTAATGTAGGCCTATTCCAACAGAAAGCATTGGTGATAATATTCTCCATGAGGATCATGCCCTGGGAAGGCCTATTGCCGTAGGTCCCAGAAAATGCAGCCGGCTGTCTCATGGAAAGACCGGTATCGGTGCCAATGGCAAAGTTCAACCAGTCGTAAGCAGCGATGGAGCAGCCAGCCCCAGAAGACGAGCCTGAGCAGCTAAGGAAAGTGTCTCCGCGAGGGCTGCGGGGATAGAATGCATCATTCCAGTTCCAGGGGCTCTGCGGGGAGGCGAACTGGGCAGTCTTTTGCTTGCCGACGACAACGCCACCGAGATCGATGATTTGCTGGAGAGCTGGCGCAGTCTTACTTGCGACATCGTTTACTGCAGCATAGGCTCTGCTCCCAGCAGTCGTCTGGATTCCCTCGAGATCATAAATGTCCTTCACAGCAACTCGCTGGCCCGCCATGGGCCTCGTGTCGTCTGTGCTGTAGAGCCGGGAAGGAACTGGAATCATGGCATATCCCCAGTCGGCTTCAGACTGAGTGAATGCCTTGTATCCCCCGTTCGACTCATAGGTACCAGTCACGAACTTTCTGTACGTGTCAATGTACATGCGGAGGACCTTTGTCAGAGCCCTCCCGGATAGGGGCTAGTTAGAGGTAGTAAGAAGTCCAAGCAACAAAGGAGCAGCTCAGATATATATACAGCGCAGGGAGTACACGTCGGGGGAGGAGCAGATTTCAGTAATTCATCATTCTACCCCTAACTGCAGTTGGCCTCTGAGAGCTTCTGCACTGCGTCAACACCCCAACTTGACACCTTGCTGAGATAAAGGCTGTCTCCATCTGTGATAGCGAATAGAGGACAGGGAACAAGTGTAGAGTTGCCGCAAGTAGATGGACCGTCACCACCACCGTAAATGATGTTGGATCCTTGGCCCTCGAGGTAGCTGATGACTGAATCATCGAGTTCATCGGAACCACTTGCGCTGACAAGGACATTATTGAGGAAACCTTGAACAAAGACATCGTCTTTTACCAAGGAATCCTCGATGACCTTTTGCAGTTCATCGCCGGTGGTTGTGGAAGAAAGAGCTGAGATGTAAGTGAGCGGCCCTTGGGAGGGGTCCAAGACACACGAGACAGTGAAAATCGGATCCGAAGTGACAGCCAAATACTGAGCATCTTCAATGAGAAAAGCTTGATCTTGAGTGTCTGACACAAATGTGGATTGAAACAGAGTGCCATTGAGAGGCGTAAGAGCTTTGGCTACCTTGAGGTAGAGTGCCATAAGACAGAACGTGACGAGGAAAGCTGGGAGCTTCATGATTGCTTTGATTGTCTTGGTAAGATGATCTGAAATCTAATAGTGATCTGAGCGACTTCACCGTCTCTTTATACCAAGTTTGAGACGTAGATGACCGCTGTGTTCTCGTTGCGGAGCTCATGATGATGCTTCAAAAATTTCTGCTCTAAGTGTATAGCAGTATCTTCCGACAATCTTTCGATAACTTCATGTTCATTATTGTGACAGAGACTAGACTTGAGATTCTCAGTGGGTACAGGGTCAGGAGTAGCGTGGCTTGCATAACTGCTTTTGTACCGTATGTGCGCAGCACAAATTGGTACAAAAGTATATGTGTATTGTCTTTGGAATGAGGGAATTATCGCGTCGTGGTGTCCCCCCTGTCAAGCTTGGTTCCACCTCATTCTGCCCGATCTCCATCTCCAAAGATTACTCACTGTGAGAGAACTCAATGTTGCAACCTACCCCCTTTACTTTCTGTCGACTCAGTGTAGCAAACACTTACATAGACGCAGAAACTGAAGCAGTGCAAGGCTCTACCAGTCTGGAAGGTGACATGTGGAAGATGAGTTATCGAAGTTCGCCCGTTCTCGGCAAGCAATCGATAATCGTCCAAGATATCGAATGTACGGAGTACTCCGTAGTCGTGTCGCGTCTTCTAACCCGCCAAGATGACTCGCGCCAACGTTTGGACCCTGCATAAGGGGCCAAGATGAATTGAGCTTCTTGCAGAACGAACCACGTGGAGTCTCCTCCATGACAAGGACCGAACGGCAATCATTTCGATCAAACCCTTGACTTAATCTTTCAAGGTTGACTAAGTACGAAGGCAGAATCGCTCTCGATCCATACGGATGTGTAAATACGTAAAAGCCCCGCGTGCGTGCGAGAATAACAACGGAGTTGCGCCGAGCTGTCAAGATAACCATGTCTAGTGGAGACTTCGGGAGGGGCCGACATGGACTGCTGCAGGTCGGGCGGCTATCATCATGATATATCCACCTTTGACGCTTACGTGAGAAGTTGCCAGAATGCCTTGAGCTTTATAGGATAGCGCAAAGCTCTTTGATCTGGACAGAGTCAACCACGATGATGCCCTGTTGTTCGGTGCCAAGAGAGGGAGCGGGAGACGGCATCTTGCCGGATGTTACCTACTCAATTACAGTTTCTTGTGAGGTCTTGAAAACGGTGCGGGATTACGTGCTCTGTGAAGTGATTTTTGAGGTTGGACAGCAGAGACTGAAGATAAAAGTGACAGTAATAATCGAGAGGCGGGGAAGGCGCTAAAACTTTTATTCTTGTACAGAGAATAACGTACTTGATAAGCGAGCTGCCCAGACAAGCGAGCTGCCCACCCAACCGCGTTCATCCTTCCTCCTCACTTCTAATGCGTATCACGCCACAAATAATCATGTCGTCACAAAGCAAAGAGGCCCAATTGAACTTAGTAGTCGAGGCTATCCAAAAAAAACCCTAAACTCAGCATTCGAGCCGCAGCAAGAATCTATTCAGCCCCCCCTAGGACCCTAGGCACCCGATTAAAAGGCACACCTGCACGACAAGATACTATACCTAACTCACGCAAATTGACGGAGCTTGAAGAGGAGGAGCTAGTTGAGTATATCCTCGACCTGGATTCCCGATCGTTTCCTCCCCGGATCAATGGTGTGGAAGAAATGGCTAATCGATTACTCGCCGACCGCGACGTGCCCCCAGTTAGGAAGCGCTGGGCTTCAAACTTCGTTAAACAATAACCATAGCTCCGGACGCGCTTTTTTCGCAAGTAAGACTATAAAAGGGCCCAATACGAAGATCCAGACGCGATAAATACGTAGTTTCGGCTTATAGCAAACACAATCGCGAAATACGGCATTATAGACTCCGATATCTACAACTTTGACGAGACTAGGTTTATGATGGGCCAGATTGCATCCGGGATGGTCGTCACGAGTGCCGAAAGGCGTTCAAATACAAAAATGATGCAGCCTGGCAATCGTGAATGGATTATAGTCATTCAGGCCATTAGTTCGTTAGGCTACAGCGTTCCGCCGTACATCATCGTTGTAGGCCAATATCACCTCTCTACCTGGTATATAGAAACAGATCTCCTACGCGACTGGGTTATCGCAACGTCTGAAAACGGATGGACAACAAATGAAAGAGGCCTAGACTGGCTCCAGCACTTTGATCGGCATATAAAACCGCGTGTAACTAGCAGTTATTGCCTCCTCGTCGTCGATGGGTACGAAAGTCACTACTCTGCGGACTTTGAGATATATTGCAAGGAAAACAATATCGTTACACTCTATATGCCGGCCTATTCGTCTCATCTACTTCAGCCCTTAGACTTTGGGCGTTTTGGGCCACTAAAGACGGCTTATGGTCGACAAATTGAGGATAAGATGCGCCGGGGTAATACCCATATTACGAAGGAGGACTTCTTCCCTGCATTTCACAACGCTTTCACGCAAGCCCTAACGGTAAAAAACATCCAGGGAGGCTTCAGAGGGGCCGGGCTTGTTCCTTTAAGTGCCGAAAGTGTGCTTTCGAAGCTTGATATCAAGTTACACACTCCAACACCCCCAGGGTCCCTACCAACAACACCCCCCGCGTGGACTTCTCAGACGCCAAATAACCCAACAGAGGCCTCTTCTCAGTCCGAACTCATCAAAAGGAGGATCTCCCGCCATCAGAATAGCTCCCCAACTTCAATTATTGAAGTTGTAGAGCATTTATCAAAGGGAGCGCGGGGATTTATGCACCAGATTGCCTTATTAAGGTCGGAGGTCCAGATCCTCCGGGAGGAAAATAACCTACTTAGCCGACGCAGGAGGGCTAAGAAAACACGTCTCAGACAAGGAGGAAGTCTTACTGTAGCTGAGGCAGAGGACATTCAGTCGCAGAGAGAGGCTACGGCCCAGATTGAGGAGGAAACGCGCCAGAGTAGTGGTCGTCGGCCGAGGACAGAAACAGGTTAACGGCGATGTAGCGTCTGCGGAAACACTGGCCACAATGCGCGAACATGTCAGTTCAATGAAGAAATATCTGAGGAATAGGATTCAGAGTAGTCTCAATTGATTTTATGTTTTTAGTGTTGCTCCTTAGTTAGATTTATAATGTGATCATGGTTAGGTGGGCAGCTCGCTTGTCTGGGCAGCTCGCTTATCAAGTACGTTAGTCTAATCTAGAGTTGGCTCCTCGGTGGGAAATCGGATCTCGGTGTGCAAACTCGGTGAAACTCCGACGAATATGGGGCCTAATCGGCGTGGAACGGCCGAGCAAGCCGTTGCTTCGGACCCCATCCAAGGCAGATCGCGTACTCGGAGCTCCTGAGTTGAGCGAGCCGCATCCAAGAAGCCGGTCTCCTTGACATTCCAGAAAACCGGGACCTTGTCTAAGGTATTTTAGTGGACTGATCTAGGCACTATCAATCACGCAGCCACTTCATCTTCATTGCTGCGTGCTTAGCAATCTGTCATCCGTTCTCTAACGTTATCAGCCAGATAGCGATACCCACACAAGGGTGGCCCATTGAGTAATCCGTCTCTTGACGGCGATGGTGCTACGGATTGAATCATTAGCAGCCAATGGCGAACCAACTGAAACAATTGACTTCCTGGGTGCATGAACTCATCCGCTGCATTGTGGTCCATGCTGAGGGGCGCAAAACGTCAGAAATCTTCGTTATGACTTGCAAAGATATATCGAACTGAGTCTGACTCTGAGTTAAAGGACAGACAGGGACGGACTAAAAACCACCTCCTTCGGCGACTTGTTGCACCAGACGAAGTCATAAAGGCACAATAACGATTCCAACTGGAGACATTGGCTTCCTATTACAAAGGATCACTTCCGTCGGCCACGAGTTACGCCGCCTTTAGTCACTTATCCCACCGGCTCGCCGCTAAATATTTTCCGCCCCTACCAGCAGTGCCACTGTACCACAGGATCTACAGACTAGACCTAGGCGAAATATTCCAGGTTCCGACTCTGGAGGCAATAGTAGGAAACCTGAGAATTCCAAAGGACGGCTACAAATAAGTAGCAATCAAGGCTTCAAAATGACGAGAAGACGAGCATCAAACTCATATCAATCGATCAACATGGCACCTAAGACTGTCTTTATCACTGGCGCAAACGGCCACATTGGCAATGCCGTAGCCCGCAGTTTCGTGGCCGCAGGATGGACCACCTATGGTCTTCAGCGGCCCCGCAAGTGCAATCAAGTCAATTTTGACCCCCATACTTGCGGTTGATGAGATTTTTCTTGGTGTTTTTGATTAGTTGGCTAACTTGCAAGTTATTCAATCAATCGCCATATAAAAACACGTGATCTACAATTACCTAAGCGGGAGATATATGAAGCTATTCACGATAGGCCCAGTAGTCCAAAGCCGTTGTTCTGCAGCATAACCCCCCTCTTGAGCCAGTTTTTCGACAGCTGGAGAATTTCTATAGTCTCTGGCTTCATACTCATCCGTTGCGACGTGAGGGTTAACTTGGCAGTACTGAAAGCCCTCTCGCAGTCGGCCGCCATCGCTGGGACGGCGAGGATGTCGATCGCGAGCCGAGAGAGGGTCGGGAAGGTATCCGAATGGTCCAGCCACCACCGTAAGGGCTCGGAGGTCTCCTCCGGAGGTTGACGGAGGTAGATATCGAGCTCATCCATCCGGGGTGGGGTCTGCCGGCGCCGGCTATTAACCCACTGCCGGAAGTGACTGTCGTCATCATCTCGAGCGCCGGGGTCAACGGCAAGGCCTCCGCGCTGCCCTCTGTGGCCGGAGATACTCTCTTCCGGGCCGTTCTGCCGATACCACTTATCATAGTACTCTGTGAGGGATTTCTGAGCCTTGTCGACCCATCCCTCTTGGTGGTCATCACTCCATACATCTCGTAAGTATGAGATCCCATATGACGGATGGAGAATGATCGCACCAGAGAACAGTGGTGACTCCCCTAACTTGTCATAGTAGTAAAAGAGCTTTTGCCACGACTGCTCAATACTACTACGGAGGAAGGATTGCCACTTCTCGTCGAGAGAGTCGAATCGTGAGGCGGCTCGTGAGGCTGGAGATGCCCAGTCTTCACGCACGTGATCTGGGAGGGCCTGGTGGTTATACCGACGACGACGGGGCCTTCCGGATCGGGTTTGAGATGGCTGCGAGTCCTCAAAAGGATCGTCAACTAGAGGAGAAATCGTGGAGTTGTAGTAGGTCTTCCAGTCGACGAGATGCGAAAGGAGGTACTCTAAACCCATAGTGACCTCCCACAGTCGACCATGCCCATCCTTAACCCCCCAGCCCTCACACCTCTTCGTCTGGCGATAAAAAGGCTCCAGGATCATTTCCATCTCGGCAAGAACCTTCCAGTCGTCGGAAGACAGTAGATCCGCTTCCGGTATATGCTGTTTGACGTCGTCGTCGTCGTTATTCGATAGTATAAAAGCCTGGATCTCATTCTTCTTCTTGATGACTCTCTCGATCATGAGATACGTACTGTTCCAGCGAGTGTCGTTATTAGTCGCGTTGTCGGAAATGTTACTCCGATCCGGTTCCGGATCTTATATCGACTGACGACGTTAAGGAGGGTCTCCGAGAGGGTAATACCGCTATGATCTCCATGTTGTCGAGAGAAGCCTAGGAGGCGTGACCGTAACGTGCCGTTGGCATCGATGAAGTGACACGTGACGCCCATAAAGGCGTAAATATTGGGCGACGACCATAGATCGAATGACAGGTGTATTTTCGATACCGCTAGGTGGAGCTCCGTCGTCACTAGACCCTCTCCGCGCCGGCAGAAGTCTTGGTGACGGTCCCGAATAGACGTATAACCCCATGGGACCTCGTTGGCGACCTCGTTACTATGGTACCGTAAGATCTGTTGGAGGAAGTTGTTCTCAAAGTGGGTAAAAGGGAGGTCGGCGGAGACAATGGAGGCAACGCAGAGATCCCTTAGAGTCGTGATCTTAGCCTTGGGAATATTACTGTTGTTGAGGCGCACCCTCTTATATGGAGGAGGGGTCGATGGGTCTGATGAGGAGGGTTGGGTGTCAGCGTCAGAATCCTCATCTGAGAGGGTTGAGATCTTGCAGATGCGATGGACACTTCAGCCTCGTTAGAGTAGACTTTATATGAGCAGGAAGCTTAGGATAACATACCGAACTAAGTGCTCTTGCGCAGCAGTAGTGGCAGCAGCGCCAAATACCCTAGGGGACCCCTTTAAGTCGCATCGTCGGCAACTCCAAAAGGAGGGCCCAGCCTGGCCCTGAATAACCTCAACAAGGAAGTCGCCATGATCTCGAATCCAGCTGGATCGACCCCGGCCTTTCAGCCGAGCTCATTGCTGCTCGAGGATGTACCTCTTACTGCCCACGACGATGTGATATAGGTCGTTAATCGTGGGATTCGGAGGGATACGGACAGTGAGGGCCATCTCGATCTGCGTAGAGATCCGCAGGCGCGGGGCGCCTAGGACCGCATACGCGTTGGCGGAGGAGGAGGAGGCAACAGCAACAGTAGACATCGTGAAGCTCAGTAAGGTAATTGGGGTAAATGATGAGGGTGATGTGTGATAATACAAATCTTTTCCAAATAACGTCCGATCATAACGTTAAATAAACCGTTCGAATCACTATGATCTTATCTACCTGTCATAAACCTTTCAGGAAGATCCGCCTTCGTCTGGTATGGTGAGGGTAGTCTGAATAACCTCCATAACATATGTGATGGCGAGGTTGGCAATATTGGCATGTTTCAGTGGCTGGGCATGCCCAAATAAATGGGGCAGGGGCTGATCTACAGCCTCCTATTGGCCAGTATATAAGACATCAAGTTATTCAACAATTCTATGGGGTGTCGACTTACTCGATTGGGAAGTGGTGATGGCATCCCTTTGCTTGTTGGACTCGAATACTCTGTTGATTAACTTGCACTTGCGGTGGCGCTGATGGTCTTGTTCGCTCGCTTTCGGCGGCGACAAGTCTGGCTCAGGAGGAGATCATTCCTGTCATTGGAGCTATCGATGACGTTGACGCGCACGCCAACATTCAAAGTCACCTCCCAGCAAAGCTCGATGCCATTGTCTCAACTACGGAGAACCCAGCGGACTACATCCCGCATTATCAAAACACCATTAAACTGCTCCGTACCCTCGGAGCCGCAAGTCTGTCAGCCGGCACAAAGTCGATCGTTATCTTCACTTCCGGATGCAAGGATTACGGCATCGGCCCGCATTTCGACGGAGCCCCGGGCCTGGCCCCACACACGGAGGAGTCCCCCATCGGGGCCGTCTCCATGCTCACCAACCGGGCCACGTACGCACAGAAAATCGTTCAACACAGCGACGTCTTCACTCCGGTCCTCGTCCGACCTACTAACGTCTACGGACGTGCCTCCAGCTACTACCAAGCCTTCTTCATCGTCGCTTCCAAGGCGGCCGCCGAAGGCAAGCCGATCGTCTTGACAGCGCCGCCCAAAACGATTCTGCACGCTCTTCATGTTGACGACTGCGGAGATGCCTATGTTGCCATCGCCTCTCACCCCAACGTAGCCGAAATTGACGGCCAAGCCTTCAACATCTCGGCTCAGAGCTACGAGACACTCGACAAGGTGGCGCAGGCCCTGGCCAAGGAGTACCAAGTCAAGGACGGTCTCAAGTACATCGATGAGGCGGACACGAAAGAGGATGAGATGTGGCCGCCATCAATTATTAACTTCCCTCAGTGGACAGACTCCACGAAGTTGACTAAGCTTACTGGGTGGAAGCATCGTCGTTCTCTGTTTACTGAGTCGATGCACGTCTATCTCCTGGCATACGAGGCCACCAAGGCGGCTGGGCACGAGAACATCCTCAAGGTTGATAGCCTTTTGGGAGCTTGGACGAAGAACAAGGCGAGACTGAACTTGAACTCTGAGAAGATGGGCCAAGAAGGAAGTTCAAACTCGAGAACAACCTAAGGTCGTTCCTCCACGCCGCGGGGATGACCTTCCCGCTTCTCATGTCAGGTTCTTAATACCTCAGTCAGCTGAAGGACTTCAAATTCCATCAGATAGTTTAGATATCCGGCGTGATAAGCAAATTTGAACTCACTTCACGACTCCAAACCTTGAGAAAACATCATCATGCCTGAATCCTTACTAGTATCAGTCGAGATACCAAATACTAAAATTCCACAACGATGGATCTGATCAGAGAGGCAGAGAACGTCTAAAAGTTATAAGAAGAAGAGCAGTACTAAGTAAAAAACATATCTAGCGATGTCGGTCTTAGCGTATTTTGATTCATATAAATCACTTACAGGTTCAGTCAACCACTACTCAGCGGACCTCGTTTCCAGGGATCGAAGGGACTGGTAATAGCTGGCTGAACCGCATTTATTCGATACGAGGTAGAGCAAGATGAAGGAAGCCATCCTAGATACACTGCGATAGCTCTGAATGATGCTCCAGTCATGACGGTGTGTAGTTGAGCCTGAGGTTATAGCTCGTTGCCACAACTTGCATGCTTTCCTATTCCCATTTCCAAAGTGCAGTTTGTAAGCATTCTCTGCGATCGGACGGTAATGCAGTGCGAGGTCCACGAAATCTTATGAATGCATGATGTTTCTTTCTCCTCAGGTACGCGAAGACGCTTCATGCGGGGTTGCCCTCCCCACCCTTGTTCCCACTTTAGGACGGATGCTCATATTCCTGGGGGAATACATCCACTCTTTCTCTTCCTTATCAAAGCCACATCAGTATCGGAAGATGCCCATCGCACAAGTTCGCAAGTTGAGATGAAATAAGATGCGGTATAGCTGGATGCGCCTTGCGATGGGCGTAAAAGTGTGAGCCCAACGTCACGGCTTGACTGAACAGTGGAGAAGGTCCACCCCCACCGCCCGAACACGCGACACTTTCTGCTTCGAGTGCCAAGCACTTTTGGTGTCTTGTATGCGATTCTCGTAAAGCCTCAACCACAGTTTCTGTCTGGAGGGCGCGGCACGCGTATTTCACTACATTCTAGCGATGATGTAAGGCGTGCATCATCTCTCTAGGTTTCTGGGGGGGGGTTGAAGACTTCCATAACAGAATCATCTAGAATAGTTGTCGGCGATACTGTGTTGTTACTGAAAGAAGTCTATCAGAAAGTTCTTGGAGTCCTTAGCATCGTGAAGGTCAAGAGCGAGAAGAGATGCTTTCGGACATCAACATGATAGGTTATGATTCCTTACACATAAAGGGTCCGGAATACAGAAATAAGGACACTGTCGTTAGCAATAGAGACTGGATATAACGACTTGATCTGTAAAGAATTGTTCATCGCTTGAGTTATCGGATTCAATCTCCACATCATGATAGTGTGCGAACGACAGTGTGTCTTGTAAGTTGTTGCAAAATACGCTAGCGGATTACGCGTGCACGAACTGAGGCTGGATATCGGATTGTACCGGAATCAGAATGCCTGATCCAAGCTATGGCGGAGTCGAGCAGCTTACAAACCACGTGTCTCATGAAGCCGTGATGCGTCACTGGCTCAGTTAACCGTTCCCCGTGGGCCGGCCGTTGGAGACAAGACTCATGCACTAGGATTGAGGCCCGGACATGCTGCGGGAAAATCATAGAGTCCAGGGGGTTCCTCGTCATCGAAAAGCATGGACGTAAGACCCTAGTGTCGAGGAAACAAAGGCCGAGCGACCAAAAATTCGAGTCTCAAGTTGCCCAACTAAGTCCGATAGGTTCATGTTGACTTGGCAAGTCAGGGCAGGTGGGGCTGTTGCGATGGCGCAAGAGTGAGTTCTCAAAGGTGAGATGGCAGTTCTGTTGTATCCGTAAACTCGTATTTGAATCATCAGCGCAAAGCCTCTCTTGGCCATGGACAAGCCGTCGCATCTCGGAGGTGAGGACGTAATGTCGACGCGGCTTTATGGCTGCGACAGGCTACAGCACTGAGCGTGTGAAAGAGCAGAAGAAACTGATACGGCTTCAGCGTCGATCTCTCAGAGTGATCTACTCGGGGTCCTGTCAATGTTTTCAACTCTCGATAAGGGGGCCCGCGGGCATTTCAATACGGCCGAAGCGTGCGCGCTGGTCGGAATAACGCCGAGTAAAATGTTCTTCGTCTCATCTTGTCTTCGTTTCGTCCGGCGTTGTGACCTGACTACGCGGCAGATTGAGGCCTCTTGGCGCCCTGCCGACGCTTACTGCCGAACCATTGACCTATCCTGAATGCTGAAGGATGTCAAAAGCCTGTCACTTACATACTGACAAGCCAAGACAAGCCGTCGCAAAGTTCAAGAGTGGAGTAGACTTGTCGAGAACTCTTGGGGTGTCCGTCACAGAAAAGTCCGAAAGAAGGGTAGAAAAGGACTCTGCCAACGGTGAATGGGGTGACCTGAAGGCGAGATGAAACATGGAAAGCTGCCGAATGGCGCCCCCTACCGGCTCCATGCGCCCACTCCGGCCCCACTGACATCTCAACTCGGAAACGCAGACTTACGCCATCCCATGAGCCTCGGTGGGGAGAACAGACGGCGACGATCCAATCGACATGATTTCCCGCTAGATCGTCACCCTCCCTGTGAGGCTCTGACTTCCCAAAGAGGTATCGTCTTATAGAGCCTCAAACCGTCACGGAACATGATCAGACGGCTTGGCAGCACGAGCCTTAGCGATGTCCAGCATCGCCAGTTGGAAAGAAGTCTGGTTGCGCGAGTTAACGTCTAGGAGTGTCTTAGACCTTCGCATTCTGCCCCCCACCTCCACTATCTCTCGGCACTTCATCATCATTAGTAAAGCCCCCTAAAGCCCCGGGCAAGAGCTTCTCATGTCTTGGCTTCGCGGGTTTTCCGATGGCAAATATGTACTACAGCCGGTGCTAATCTAATTCAAAATTTAGACTTAATCGAACTCTAAGTTCTGTCTCCATCTACATTCCTTCATCTTTTCCTTCAATTTTCCTTCAGTCAAAATTCCTCCTAGCGAGGTCAAGCCGTGATTTCTGTCAGGATCGGCATTTCCAGTCATTTAAGCATTTTAATCAACAGGGGAAAGTCACTGCTGAGCGGTGTTCGCTTCATTCATTTCAAGAATCTTATCTTCGTTACTTCTCTTTCACTGCTCAGTATGAGAGTCACTTCGGCTTGGGCCCTTGTGGCAGCCGCCACGGTCACTGCGATGCCTCAACCAGTCTCTAAGAGAGATCCTTTCCCGTCGGACGGCACTGTTGTGGGAGGTGTTCCCCATCGCCCTTTCAGAAGTATGTTATCTTCACCTTTCGGCTTTCGGCTTCCAAGCTCTAACCACAGAAGCATAGTCCGAAGACAAGCCGCCGCGCCAGCGACCCCTCAAGGCAATCAACTCATCCCGGTGGTGGTTGGAGGAGCGCAGGATACTTTTGTTCCGAACTTGATCATGGCTCAGGTTGGCGACGTCGTTCAGTTCCAATTCAGCAACGGCAACCATACCGTTACGCAGAGTGCCGAAGGCGCCGCATGCCAACCTCTTCAAGCTCAGGTTCCGACGGCTATTCACAGTGGCCATGTGCCCTTCAAGGACGGACAAGCCATGGTTGGAACGTTCAACATGCCGATTACGAGTGCCGACCCGATGTTCCTCTACTGCGCTACAGGGCCTCACTGTCAAGAGGGACAAGTCCTGGTCATCAACCCGTACGTCATGGCGACAAAGATTGGATATGAGATTGAACGCTAACGTCGATGAGCAGCACCAATGCGAACCAAGTCGTCCAATACTCAAAGTTAGCCGCTGCTGCGAAGGCAAACGTCGACGGAACCACAGTGAGCGGCGGTGCCGTTGGACAGATTCCCCTGGCAAACGCAGCCTTCGTCCCAGCACCGGCTAAAGGAGCGGGCGGTGGCGGTGCTCCCGCTGCAGCTCCGGCGGCTCCGGCGGCCCCAGCTGCGCCACCCGCAGCAACACCCGCGAACCCGGCTCGGGATCCTGCGGCGGCACCTCCGGCCGAAGCGCCCGCCGCTCCCCCAGCAGAAGCCCCGGCCGCTCCTCCGGCTTAGATGGTAGTGTCTGATTCGTGGCCAAACTCGGGAAGTTCGGTCCTAGCGACAAACAAGGTTCGCCTGGTCGAGCCAGCGTAGATGCCTAACTGCGCACTTGACAGAATTGGGGAGCGTGCAGAAGTCGCGTTTTGTCGATGGAGGAAGGAGTAATCCATGTGTATGTAATAACAGTCTTGTACATGCTATTGCCGTTTGCGGCGGGGGTTTTGCCGTTGATTGGTGTTGGTTCATGAGGATATGGCAGACGCAGGACGACAGCTGTGTTGCTGAGATCGAGAGGGAAAAAATATATACAATAAACGAATCAACGAAGCTACATGCTGGAAAGGTCTGATATTTGAAAGATGCTTCACGATTGACGATTTAATTATCACGGCTATCATGATGCCCTGCTTTCCCCCTTAACCGCAGAGGCAAGCTTCTTATCATCAGGGACCTTCATGTTGGTGCTCATGGCTCCACAACAACCTTCAATCCACTGACTCCCTTAAATAACACGTCCACAGCCTTGTTTAGTCCAGCTAATCCGCCATCAATCTTCTGAGATGGCAAGCCGACAATCTTGTTTGCAGCGATGGCCTGAGTGAAATACGTTTCAAACGACCACTTCAATAGCTCGGCATTTTTCTCTTCTGCAAGCGGTGCCGACCATGACCCAAAGCTGATGGTCACGTCTTTCGGGACACTATTGGGATCAGTGGGAGGCACCAATGCATATACCTTGCCTCCGCCCTGAGCAGCCAGAACTGCAGTAGTGATGGCGAATGTGGGCTTCAATGAGATAGAGTCCACAACATATTCGTAAGGTCCTTGAGCAACCAATTCTTTGACAACAGCATCGTGGGATTGAGTGTGATCAACGACGTGAACGGCACCCAACTTGGCTACGAGGTCCTTGTGCTGAGGGGATGTGGTGGTAACGGCGTTGTATCCGGACTGAGCCACATATTGTGTCGCGAAGCTGCCAAAGCTAGATGTGCCGCCGTAAATCAAGATCTTCTTGCCCTTGGAGGGCAGCTTCTTAACGGGATCGGGCCGTTCCAGGCCTAGATGCTCATTGAACAGGCCGACGACGGTGCTGAAGTTGCCCAGAAGGCCAACGGGGGTGTGAAGGTCGACGCTGCTCGGCACCTTGATCGCGGTGACGTCTCGTGATACGACGGACTTTTGGAAGCCGCTGTACTTATTCCCGTTTGCACCGCCCGTCTTGACGGCCGCCACCTTGTCGCCGACCTTGAAGTTGGTGACGTCGGAGCCGACAACCGTTACGGTGCCTCCATAAGATGAGCCGTGAATGGCGGGGTACGGGATAGGAAAGATGGCGAGCTTTGCGATCTTGGTGTCAATAGGGTTGAGGGCGACTAGCTCGTTCTTGATGAGGATTTCATGGGGACCCGGCTGCTCAGTGGTCACATCTTGCACCGTGAGCGGGGCTTTCGGTTCGAGTTGGACCGCGGCGGAGTGTGACATCGTGGAGATCGGATGGTTGTGGATGGTTGTGATGTTAGATGTAGCCAATAGCTGTGCTGCGGGTTGCGGGAGCTTGTTGCTCTGATGGTGTGTAGGTAAGATCTGATAAGAATGAGACCAATTTCCCCTGACTTGGCGAGACGTTCGATGGGCTTAAGTACTTATCTTTGCTTCAAATCGGATTTCTACCATCTCGGGGAGATTGGCCGTGGACCTGAACGCTATTATTCCGAGCGATTTCTAAGCGTACCTGATGGATGAACGCAATTGAAGGCGCCATATGCAACATACTTCACGATGAATATTGATTGCTAAGCTTGAAAGGGTAGATCCCCACCACCGGCACATCCGGATGTGGCGTAGCCTTTCGGGTACACCAAAGCGGAAACAAATACCGAGTGTAGATTCAGATGCCGCCTACCTACTTACCAACATGCATGTATGGTGACGAGATGAATTACGCGGTGCGGTAATACTTCATATTTGTCACACATAATTGAGTGCTTTTTGGCGTGCGCTTAGACCCCGCATTGTGCGACATCTTTGGGCTTTCATTTCGCGCAACATTGAGTTCGTCCTTACAGCGTCAGCTCCGCTCAAATTACCACAAACCACCTGTTCGACGAATGCCATTGAAACGATGGCGAACATTTTGGCCAAAACCATGTCATCTGTAACCCAGGGTTCTAAATGCGATGTCATTGGATTAGTCTGAAAATCGGACACTATGGCCAAACCCTATTCGATGCCGTACTAACGGCATGGACCAAGAGTTCTCATAGTTGACATGGGTGTCTACCATCAGCATCGAAGGGTTGCGTGAGCATGAATTGCTTAAAATTTAGCCTTTGGTAACTTGAAGTGACTGAAGAAGGTCGAGCTACTTAGAGTCGAATGAGACCAGCGCCTGGTTAATGATGGCCAGTGAACGTGATGTGGTCAGTGTTATAGTTTATCATCTGCATATCTGGAATTAGTAGAGAGACGTGACCGGGGAGCGAGATACCAGACGGTAAGGCGGGAAAGTTTGGTATGAGAGCTGGTGACTCCTATCTTCAATTCTTCAATAAGCATTGATACGATGCAACTAGTCAGAACTAGATATTGTTGTCTCTCAAAAAATCCTCCAGAGACGTTGCTCGGACATCAAGCTCATCATTGTCGATCTTCGCCATATCCCAAGTACCATTATTAGTATAAAACTGATAGAAGTATATCACAAAGCGAGGTAGCAAGTGGAAGACATGTATAGTAGAAAGTGGCTTGATTCCTCTAAGTGGAAGATCCGTATGGGGGTCATATCTATATACCGTACAAGACGGGTAATCGGCTTGTGGAAAGCGGTATCGTACGGCAGTAACCGGCAGCGCCACGTGTGGCGCTGCGACAAAGTACGACATATACTGGAAGAAGTCCCTCGGTGTAGCTGCCTTACGGGCCTCGAATGCAAGAGCCTTGAGGTCTTCATCAGTACCCCTGATCTTGAAGCTGACCTCTTTTCCCTTTACCCTTTCGTACACTGTGGCAAGCTCCCGGACGGAATGAATACCGGAGACTGTATTCCAGCATCCACCCTCCTCGGCGTCGTCTCTAGAAATTATTGCAGCCGTAAACTCAGCTGCGTCTCGCTCCGTGGACCATGGCATTGGCTTGTCTCCGTTGCCCCAGAAACTCATGGACTTGTCTCTACCATCCCAGTAGCCATTCAACTCGACAGCTCCAAAAGGATGATCAGGGAAGACCCAAAACACCTCGGCCAAGACACCTGTGAAGATGTAAATCGACTTGATGGGCGAGCTTAACTCAGCGATGCGGCGGAAAGCAATAAAAGGGTCGTAGCTCTCGTGCATGCCTAAAGGATCTCGACTCCAGTCATTGTTCCATGTCGAGAGAACAAATCGACGAATGTTGGCGCGCTCAGCCGCCCTGAGGAGGAGAAGTTGCCCGTCAAATTGTAGCTCGGTCGGTAACACTCCATACGCACAGATGACTGCGTCGGCTCCCTTGCAACCTCGATCAAGGGCCTCGATGTCATAGTGGTTGCTGGTAAGGATGAAATCTTCCAATTTGGCGCGGCGGGTAGCCGTAAGTTTCCCGGGGTTGCGGCCTAAACCACGGACTTGATGCCCTCGAGCATGGAGAGCATCGACCAGCTTTTGGCCGATGTTGCCAGTTACGCCGGCGACATGAACAAACATTTCAAAGACAAAGCAGACTTTTTTGGTAGTTGATGTTGTGTGGAGAGTTGAACTTGCAAACGGGGACTGTGATAAAAGGGGTTTCGGTGATGTCGAGTCCTTCGAGAATGATGCAGGATTCCAGGAGAGTCTTCCGCATCAGTGCGGGGTTTTGCTGATCAAGCGAACACATATCCTAATTGATGCAACTGTAGAAGAAAAGTGGTTACCATTGCATGAAAAGATGGAGTATCTCCGGGCCCTACGCGTCACTCCGACATCGTGTTGGTGATGGACACTTGATGTTTGCATCAACCCCATGTCTAGCGTCGGGCAGCAGGCCTTTTACAGCATAAAGAGCCGACAAGACATTGAAGAAGGGGATAATTTATAATTACTGACTTAGGGACATTCCTGGGAGATGGGAGAGGCTTTTGGGCTCCTCTAAAGAATCCAGGCTTTGCTTGCACTTGTGCCTGGCGAAACAGGGCAGGGCCGAGTAAGGCACTAGAAGAGGTTGACATTCCTTCAAAGGAAGCTCATTGCCACGTGCTGCATCTTGATTTAGAGCAATGATGAGCTGATTGTGTTTGATGACATGAGCAGAAAGAGATCTCGTAGGGTGATTGAAGAACGATTGAAGGCACCATCCAGTTACCGAGGTGAATAGGACTTATCCATCGATATAATTAGAGCCATCGTGGTAAGGTACATAGGCAAGACAATGCTACAGTATCGACAATAGTTCACTTCCATTACGCTCTCAGAGTATTGAAAAATCCGCGAGAGGGGATTATTTCCCTGGAGTTGCAACATTTGCGCAGCTGTTCATGGTCGAGAGGTAGAGTATGCGGGAAGCTCCAATCGATTAGACCCGTGTAATGACAGGTTGGCTGTCGTGTCATCATATGAAATCTCCAGTGTTCATTACAGCACATCTGAATGAATGATAGGCAAAGTGTGCATGCTTGATCTAGCTACCTCATGCACAAACAAGTAGGTAAGTAAGGTGTTACACACATGCATCGATGTAGATAGGATGATTCCGCCTTGAGAGACTTTAGTCAGTGGTTCCGATACCACAATCAATTCGCCAAGCCTCATATTTAAGACTTGAGCCGGTGAGCTATGACTGACAGGATCAATTGAAACATCATCGACCCATCTTCATCCCTTTATAGCGTCTCTGTAATCGGGCGATTTTCCAGTCTTTCGCACGAAAAGACGTCTCACGTCCGAGGATGTGACTCTGCTCAAGGCAATTTCGTAACCTAATTTGAACAACTTTTTTTTGGCAGACTCTCTGGATCATGACTATTGGTCCTCGGCTATGTGGTATCACTCAAAATATACAGTGTCTAGGTAAGTAGCAAAAGTAGGCTTCCACTTTTCCGACACTGCAGGGAGCCGGAAAGCAGAACATCTCCTCCCAAAGTAGGTTGCCACCTAAAAAGTGCATTGAAGGGCGGTTTATCTAGAACAACAATAAGACAGACGCGCCATACTCACAGCATGATTATGCAGCTCTGACACAAACAAAACAGTGCAAGTGGCAATGGAAACATCGAGGCAAAGAATGACAACACCAAGGTTGAATGGATAAAAAGTTGGACATGCTAGTGCCATGCACCTCAGAATCTAATCAATGCAGCTTACTATATGCATCAGTCAGATTTAGATGAAGAACAAACACCGAAGAAAAAGCTCTGGTCTACGGATGTCGCCGCGAACGATCACTTTCCCGTCTCGCACATTGGCAAATAGGAAATCCAGGTGTGGAATTGACGGTTAGTCAGGGTGGCCAGCGGAATATGCATATATGAGTGAGCAGAAAAGAGCGTCTATTCGTACTCAAGAGTGGAAGGATTACCACAGGCTTATGGGCCTAATGCTACCTTAATATAATACGTCTCTAGAGCTAGGACCAGGTGGAAATGACAGTCTGGCCTGTTTCAGTATGTTTAGACCATTGCGAATGGGTTATGTGACAGAATTCGGAATTGTACCGTTGCGCCATATACAAAAGAGAGATCCCTCTACTGCATTTAGGTAGTTGTGGGTACATATAGTTTCCGTCATTATGCATATGACTCGCATATAAGCATGCATGGATTCTGTCAGGAATCCTAAGCGACCAAGGCCAGGCAAACATTTCTTTTTTCAAAGGAAATGAAGGGGATGGATCCTCCAAGCCCTACAAACCGGAACAGATCCGAGCTTATCTTTCCAATAACCTAGTTCCATGTCACAAATTTACAGTTGAGAACTCGAGCGGTGGCGGGGACTGTTGATTCAAAATGTCTCTTGATCATTTGCGTGGAAAAAGAAACCCCGAGGCCGCTAGTGCGGGCGGAAACAGAGATTTTCGGTGATTGCAAGTCTATGAAGGGTATTTCGTTTCCTCATGTATGTACAAGGGTGTGCCAAACATCTCCCGGACCACCCAATTAATCTCCCCGATTGTTGCTTATGGCAAGGAGAGATTACTCAAGCTTCTCAATCTCAGCGTCGTGGGGAACCAAGCTGAGGTGGTGCAGGTTGCCGCGAGCCTCCTTCTTGACCCAAACGGCGTTGCGTCTCTTGAACATCATCTTGGGCAAGACCTGGTTGAGGCAGACGTCGACCTTCATGCAGGTACCGCCGGAGCAGCAGCTCTGCTTGATGCAGACCTCGCCGTTGCTGCAGTCGTTGGTAGTGTTGCAGGACGGGCTGCAGTCATTAGGCTGGGCGCAAACCTTGCGGCCCTCGACGGTCTGGAAGCAGACGCAACCGTTCTCGCTGGAGCAGACAGGGATGACGCGGTCGCCGCAGCTCCAGGTGTTGCTGCACTCAAGAGCCGGGCGAGTGACATTGACGAAGGGAGCGAGGGTGGTGGTGGAAACGAAGGTGACGGTCGAGGTGACGATGGGGGTCGGCGCGGTGGTCGTGGCAGCCGTGGCGCCGAAGCAGGAGCAAGCGGAGCTGTAGCGGCTCTCGTCGACGCAGGCGGAAGCATAGGCCGGGATGGCCTTGGTGGCGGAGATGGGAGTCTCGGCGGCCTGGCGTTGGAAGATGGTCTTGGTGGAGTTGGCCGTGATGGTCTGGATGCTGCTCTCCGTGATGTAGACGGTGCTGTGGCAGGTGTGTTAGCCTGTATGGTTAGAGCGACACTGCTTCAGGAAGCTTACGAGGTGGCCGGAATCTGGGTCACGGCGAGGAACGAACTGCACTCTGACATGCGAACGTCCATGGTGGCAGTTCCAAATCGAGTTGCCCGCACGGCGCGGAGGCAGTTGTCAGCATTGCAGCCGTCTTGACGACCAGCCAGGTTGGCAACCTCGGGGAGGGCCGCGGCCGCGGCGGCGAAAGCAGCAACAATGTAGCACTTCATCTTGAAAAGAGTGAGTGAGTGTGGTGTTGTAGTGACTGTGATACTCGTGGTCGAAAACGACAAGAGAACTTGAGAGCAAGTGAAAGAATGAAGAATGAAGATGTTACTCTGTGTGCCTTGTCCTATCTCAATCTCGAAAAGAGAGACGCCAACACGTCCATCTTATATATCTTCAGTTTTCCCTGGCTTGAGCTACCTTACCGCGTGGGATGTCAACCTTAGGGAAGATAGAACACACTATGCAAGGGGAAGATGGGTCTAGTAGCGCCTCGGCAACCATCGAGAAAAGCAAACGGCTCTCAGACCTCGACGTCTTAGGGTTGATAACATGCATGTCGCCGTCATTAGTCCCGTGTCGAAACAAGCTTAGATGGTTTAGGAGCAAACAAGACATTGGGAAAAGCATCTGATTGCCCCTTTTCATTAGTGGGATAAGAAAAAGGGGGAATACGTCTAACCCCTCCTCCGGAGCTTGAGACGGCATGCTGCATAACTGACGGGGAAGAATTCGACTCCGAGCCGGAATGGGCGCCGGGCGTTATTTTTGCCATAGTGAATGGTCCGAGGGCGTGGAAACCTGCAGCTAGGTAACTTACATAAGAGCCTCACCGCTGAGCTCATGAGCTCCTCTGTGGTCACCCCTGGCTTGCCTGGCTCGTTCCCGAAGTAGTGCTGTTAAGTTGTATGTTTGGAGGCTCACGTTTGCCAAGGACCTACAGTAGCGCGGCGCATCGATGTCAACGGCGCCGTCGAAAGCCCACCGAAGCCTCCTCCGAATCACGTTCCCGCGCAACCTGGACTAGGAAATCCTTTTTCACCGCGGTCTAGGTATAATGTATAAGCCACTAGAGCTATCAGTCCTGGGTTATGCAACTTGTGGTATAGTCTGCCGGTTTTGCATTTGACTTGTGCCCCTTCTCCCTAGTGTCTCTTAATCAGTTGATTGACGTCACTTCCAATGTTTCTTGACGAACAGAAACATTGCTTCCGACTTTGATCGAATTCCCTTGGCTTTTCTGTCGGCCGCAATGACTGCTTCGCATCGCGGGCTTACCTGCGACTCGGCGACTTGGCACTTTATCTACCCCGGTATTATTTTAGGTACCATTAAGCTCGTGGATCTCAAGAGCCCCCAAACTAATTACCCCTGCAACGCCATGGCCAATACGCAAGTGCCGATGTGATCAGCAAGGAGCCCTGCTTACCTTAATTCACGAACAACATCGACCTGCGCAACCCAAACCGGAATGCAACCCTTCAATACTACACCACAAACAAGACAAACACGGAAAAGGCCGCTTATGATGCGGGAACAGACGTTCGTATCGAGCGCAACTCCGGCAACGCGACAGCACGGTCCAGAACAACCAGAACGATGCCAGCTGGAGGCCCCCAACCTGTCCAGCTTAGCGCGATTGTGGCTGATCTAAATCCGAGCAAAGCCTACCGACTTGGCGAGAGACGGTGACCATGAGCCGTTGTGGCTTGGTTTTAGTGTCGTTGACTAGCATCTCCAGAGGTTAATCACGAAGACTTTCCTTGGCATTTGGAAGCCAAGCATAGAGGTCGAGAGTTCCGTGTGTTACGGGCTGGACCCGATTAATGGATCCAGGCCAGCGCCCGGATATTCTGCCACGATTGACCGCGCGGGCTCCATTACGCTTACGCTCCACCTCCACGGAAGCTCCACTTGTAAATCTCTTCTCGTCAGCTTAGATTCTATATACAGAAATCACCCCTACGTGGCCACACGAGGGCTGGGCTCTTAACACCGTGTGCCATGTGGCTACGCGCTCGTTCGACGTCGGTTAGAAGCTCTAGGGTCGCTGCTGAGAATGATGGCATTGATGCAAACTTTCAACTGTAGTTGGGGCCAAAGTCGTCTTGGCAACCAAAAACTATCGCAACACTGAGTGAATGGTATTCGAATGGGATGGAACCAGTCGGCTGTAAGGGGCATGTCCATTACGGTCAGTATCAAGATTGCGAGATTGACTGAGTCATGGGTATTGTTTCTTGCAGACAAACAGTGGAATCCGAAATACATTTACGATCCTAACTCACTGTATCGGGAAGAGGGTTCAGGAATCACTCAGCGTGGGAAGTTTCACATCAAAATGTCTTTTAGTTCAATTCTAAACTACATAGCCACGTGCAGGCTCAAGCTGTTTCCGTGCTTAGTCTAGAAGGAAGGTGAGAGGCGCTGCGGTAGGAAAACGCTGCCGCATGAGCCTGGGCCGGTGAGAAGGGCCATGGTAGCTCAGCAGGAACCCTTCGCACTTCGAAATTCAGACCATAGGCGGAATGCGACTTGGCGGCATCGACCCATGCCACTTTTGTGGCTTCTTCAATCTCGAAGTCCCATGTACTTTCCCATATGAACGTTGCGGCACCGTCTTCCCCAATAGAGTAACGGAAACAGCCCGCCGAAAGGATGTATTGCTCCCGAGCGTTCCACATTTCCATCACTCTCAACTTTGGCATCCGTCGGGCAGCTCTAGCGGCCGATAACAGGAGCTTGTTTGTCATCTCGGGTGCCTTGTCCCAGATAGAATGAGACGTCAGACTGATGAGCCGCAGTTCAGGCCAATCAGGGAGAACGGTGCTGACCTGCGAAAATGTGCTGTCATTCATGGGCTGGTCCATCATGGGGGAAAAGAAGTCAGTCGCATCTATGGCGAACGATATGCATAGTTCCTCTAGCCCACGGCTCTTTTGATACAGTTGCTCAGGGATGCCCTGATGCGTACGAATGTATTCGATCCAATCATGTTGCGTGTTCAAGTTGCTCTGGTCGCAAGATTCTCGGATAGTCAGCGACTTCACTTCCACCGGAGCAATCTGCCAATCCGTGAGAAGGCAAAGCTTGTGCTTATATCCAGGGCGGCAGCCGATTTCGTAGTTGTATTCCACCATGTCCGGACCGGGGGCAAGTCCGTTCAAAATAAGGTCGGCAAGCTCGGGCCCAGTGCTTCGGAAAATGTATGATTGTGGTTTCACGATGCGGAGCGACCGCACGCAACCGATTGACCACGTTCGCTGCTGCAATAGCTCTCCTCCGTACGTGAGTAGCGGGGGACCGCAAGGCCGGACTTCGATAATTTTGAGGTCGATCTTGGCATCTTCCGCCTTCCAGGTCTGCAACAGATCGAACAAGGCGACTACCACCCCCGCAAACGCCCTCCTATAGCCCTTGGAAGTCTTGGTGGCGTCATAGTCGATGCGGACACGGAGTCGCTTGAGGGCGCTCTGGCGTGGTTTGGTGAGGATTTTGCGGGCTTGAGAAATCTTGCGGCGGCTTGAAGTTGATTTTTGTGAATGAAGGGAGATGGATATCTCTTCAAAGACAAAGGGCTCGATGATTTTCTGCCATTCAGAAGAGATGGAAGCGTATGGAGCTAGTGGTTGACCCTCATTGCTGCCGCACTTGAGCAGATGGCCCCAAATTTGGTTCTTTAGCTCATTGGGTAAATCATGCCACCAAGCCATTGCAACAGGAGAACTTTGTGAGTGGGAAATCCAGGGGAAAGATGTTGCCGAGTCTGCAGACATGCAAAGAAAGAGTATTGGAGGTGAAGGGATGACAAGATTTGAGATCCAAGCCGTGCCAAGCTGTTCCATGGAAGTTCAAACACGGCCACTTAGCCGCCGGCGGTCCAAGCTCGGCCACTCTCAGGTATTACCGCTGTACCGATTGACGACCTGTGCAGTATTGACTACCAGTTCTCTGAATGTAGAAGGTTGCATGTGAGCAAACTCTTGACTGGTGTGTGCCAAGCAGACCCAAAGCAACTCATGTTCTACTTGTCGTCTTCATGAGTGTAATCTGTTTGTGTCCAGCTGTTCAGAACACAAAGACAAGCTGAATGTTTGTGGGTGTTGGTGCCACTCGCAAGCGTCATGCATATGTGGGCAGGACAGTAATTCAAATTTCCTTTTAGTACCTAGAACAAAAGAGTACGTCATAAGATTTTGTCTCCTGCTTTGCCTCTTAGTTACCTACCTAGGCACCCACCGCCTACAAACATCCAAGTCAAGATGCTGTTCGCCAGAGTGTTGAGGAATAGCCACCTTGTCAGTCTTTGATCCCTTTCTCAGCCTGCACACCATACCAGTCAGCCTGCTTAAGGGGCAGCGCAAACACAAGTTCCTCGTTCCCGGGCTTCGTGGGTGTTGGAATAGGCCTACTGTCGGAACGGCCAGGCTGATAAGGAGCAATGGGCAGGTATCATGGGCTGGCTGGCGCCTGCCCTGGGCGAAGTGGGACAACCGGCTTAGTCATCACGGCCGGTTAAGGTGGGGCAACCACCCAGGCCGTCCCCACCTACTTCGATCGGCCCCTGCCCACAATGTAAATAGGAAGAAGAACAAGAACAACAACAGCAATTATCACGGACATCGACGTGATTGTTGTCGAAGATACACCCTCATGAGGAAATGTATCACGCCTGTGATACCAACACCTACATTAGGCAGCAGGAGGTTGCTGCCGCGGTCCGTTCCAGCCACGGTGGTCCGTGTGGCTCAGCCACACGAGGGTGCTATACCCCAGACTTCCTGCCGCCGCTGGCACCTGGTTAGACTTCCACTCAAGAACAACAAGAACAAGCAATATCACCACTACAGTCGGTGATCGTTGCTACCCACGATACTCGAGTATTTTCCTTTTCCACCTGTGAATCCAACAGTGGGCTTCATATGGACATGGCCACTTTGGGCTCCAAGTCTGCTCTGTATGATCAAAGTCAAAGACTAAGTTCACTGAACGTCTTGCTCAGTTAACATTGTAAAAGGTCTTATTATGCATAATGACATCACTGTCCAAGAAGCTGGGATCACAGAGAAACAGTAACTCCATGTGACTGCACGGGCTTTATCACCGCCACATGCGTTTTACCACAACTTTGGGGAGACAAGTAGGTGTTCAAAAAGGCTCGAAAGAAATTTAACTCTCAAGTTCTAGGTGGCGCAAGTAGAGTTCTGGGTCCCAAATGAACAAAAACATTATTCAGGGTTGTGGTTGAATTAGCAGTCAGGTTTGAGAGAGTTGGCGCTAAAATTTTGATGCCCCTAAAATTGGGGATTCTCTTATGACACCCTGCCTTTCTTTCTCCTTCACTTTTAAAATCCTGCAAGATATATTTTGGTCTTTTCGAAGCTCACACTAGCTTCACAGATCATATCTCACGGTCATCATACCTGACCTGACGTAACTCCTCTGAGGGTCTATCATCACCATTATTCTTCTTCGATTGGGACACCAGCACTCTGGCCTTTTGTGAAGCCGATAGTAAGCCCCATTTCTTACAAGACCTAGTTCATACTGTGGGAACAAACGGCAATCGCTAGGTATACACGGAGCCGAGCTATGTCACGTGTCTTCGGCACGTGACACACCTCAGCTCCCTCCTTCCATATCACGAGCCTTCGCGTTTAGATACTCTCCTTAACAACAATAACAACAACAAGAACACCAGATTAACCCAACGATATTGCTACCGATCGCGATACCAGGAATACCTGTGTGACTAACCTGTGGTACACGCAAACCAACACATACAAACTACGAAAAAGCTTAGCTTACAAGACTCATTATTGGAAGCAAAGTGCCTTCTACCATAGTACAGCATGGCACTTTATAACCCATTCCGGAGCGCCATCGGAGAAGATTATTAGGCACTCTTGACAGAAGCACTCGATAAGGGACAACCGAAACGTACTGGAGAAATAGTAGTTGCCGATGGAAATAACATCCGCCTACATATGAATAGCATCTATGCTTACTTCGGAAAGAAAAGCGGCGATCGATCTATCACGCAGACCATGGACCTTTGTTATGATTTGATTTACAACAACGACTCGGCAGGCTTAATCATTCTCGACGACTCTCTCTTACTACCTTCCTCCATGCCGTTTATACGTCCTCCCTACGTCATCGCTGATGGCCTAGGTATGACTCCACTGTCGGCGGTCTGCTATCAGATAGTTCAGACTCTTCGAGGTGCTCAAATAAAAGCGAGCAAGAAACCAGAGGTCACAAACACCACCACCCTTGTCTTCTACTGCAATAGACAGCAGAACACGCAAGACACGGGTACAGCCTTGCTCATGATACTTTCTCTCATGAGCCAGCTCTTTGATTACATCAGGGACCATATACCCGAGTTCAGTAAACAGAAGTTGGAGTTCGGTCACAACTTTCGGAAAACCATGGAGACGGCACAAAATGACCTCAATGAGCTCTGCAAGATGTTCGAACAAGTGGTCCGACTGATCCCAATGGAGGTGGTGTCGGGGCCAAAGCGCAGGATAATCTGTTTCATTGACGGTCTGGCTTCTTGCCAGAATCTCGGGGATGCCTGTGGAGTGGCGTTAGTCATCCAAACCCTACGCAATCTGGTGTCTTTAACTGACGCTATATCGTCCACCATGCCATTATTCAAACTGATCTGCATAAGCCCTGAACCGAACGAATGGGTCAAGGGATTTTTCAATGATAACTGTCTTTTCAAATGTGTTGAAGACGCGAACGCATCTCCCCTAAAGATCGTACCGGCGTAGGACAAGATACACCAACAACAACAATGCACGAAATTCCTAATTAAATCGAGTCACTATGTCGTCAATCTCAGAAGTCTTCAAATCGAAGAATGCCTTAGCTATTCTCTCATCGTCAGCGGTATGGTAGTACCCAGTAAATACAGTCTTAGTTACTTCCAATCTTTCTTAGCATCTCCTCTTTGGAACTATGTCCATGTGTCTTTGAATAATTGGGTCAAGTAATATGAGCAATGATCAAGTCACAAATATCATGGTAACTTACTAATCAGCCCTCCTAGACGAGGAATCTATGAATGATAATTAATTGGCATGCTAGGGCAAATTTGAATCGATCTACCTTTTCTTTGTCAGGTATGATGTGATCATCAATTTGAGCACTATGCTGCTGATGTGGATTCTCTTCACGACTGGCTATTTAAAAGATGTGGAGAGTAAAGCTTGACGTTTATAATTGAGGATGTCACGTGCAATTCTTTGTTTCTAAATATCTTTGAAATGTGTATAGAATAATTGTTGATTTATCCTTTTAAGAGAATAGAACATAACGTCGTCATATTTTACTTACGGCTAAGTACCGAATTTGAGAGAATTAAAAGGTACGTTATGACGTTTTGTCTTCTACTTACGTTAATGCCGCCCACAAACATTTAACAGAAGAGGCTGTTTACTACTGCGGCAAAACTTCAATAGTCCATATTTTGGCCTTTGTTCATAAGAATCCATTTACCAAACTGCTTGAGAGGCACCAAATACGACTAGCTTCTCTCTACCCCCAGACCTTGAAAATATGGCAAACTTTAGCTTTGGATTTAATTTGATTCACTCTACAGTCTACATGGCTTAGAGCAATGCCTAAAGTTGGAGGTCTAAAGTAGATAATTCTGTGCTTACGAAAGATCTTGTTCCGTCTATATCATTACTTTCAAAGGCTTTGATACTACCCTATGGAAAGACTCCGTGGAATACTACGGCAATAACCCTTTTGATCCAGGTGTCTTATCACCGCCACTGGCATTTTATCATATGATATATATGAAACGTAGGAGAAGATACTGTCTCTCGGCGTTAGGATAGCTTTTGCTAGGTAGGATCCTCGACGTACCTTGGCTTTAACGCAAAGAATATGTTCAGGTTTTGGACTGGTGAATATGACCAACATAAGGCACCTCAAAAGATAATTCCCTATCATCCATGTCGTCTTTGGACTTTTGGAAGCTGAGAAATCATTTGACCACTTTGGTTCTCGGCATTCACGGCTCATAGCTGTATATGTCATGTACTGCCATTCTAGGTTTTCATCATGCTTATACTTGATACCCTTATAAGCCATCTCGGTAATCTCCACAAAGTATAACACCTACATCCTAATTTCTTAGATAGCCGGGTTCTTATCCCTGATGATGTTAGATACTACTACTACTACATCCTAATTTCATCGTGTTACAAATCTAAGCCGGTGCTGTAGGGAGAGAAGCCCTCGAGATCGCTCATCATGTCAAATAATATGCCCGGCAGATGGCATGCCTACTTCAAACCTTTGCAAAATTGAGCTCACTACCGACGGTTTGGACGTTGAGGGAAGCAAATCTGCCTTGATTTTGGCTCCCATTCGAAAGGTATATTCTGGGATTCTGGTTTTGTCTTTGGCACTCGTACGCAAGCTGCTAAAGAATGTGAGAAACTGATCGAGGAAACCGTCAAGCTTTGTCAAGAATGGCTTACTACGGGCCAGCCGGGCAACTTTGGGCAATGTCAGCCTCGTGTACTTCTGTAGCATTTACGGGGGCGAAAACAGATCGCTCCCAGGATACATTCTCATTCGGGCCCTCGTCTGCAAGATGCTTCGGGACAATATGGACTACTTCACAGCAGCTTATTTGGAGTCAATCACGGGTGGCTTCACGGGAAGAATTGAAGCAGAAGATGCCGAAACCCCTGAACTATGTAAAAAGTTCGACGTAGCAGTCCAACTAGCAGAAGTCGAGCTTCAGCGCCTCGAAAAGAAAATGATCAGCATCATTGACGGACTCGTTTCGAAATGGGATCCTAAATCGAGCCAAGGCATCTTCCTCAGGGTCCAGCCTCTCGACCAATCTAAGATGACAAGCGCTGTGCTGGGAAATAGCATGAGCTTTCACAAGTTTCGATTACGTCAACTTATCTGTTTCTAAAAACCACAAAAAAAGAAGAGAAGAGAAAAGAAGTATATATTTATTGATGCTGATGGCCACCCTGCGCTCCTAATATAGAAAAGTACGATCTCGAGTTGCGACATTACTCGCAAGCAATCGCCCCCGAAGGTTGGGTTCATTCTTTTCGTTAAGTCGTTGCCTGTATGAACGCGCAACTTAAGGCGGGGATGAGTTGAATCATCACAAATCCAAGTGAACCTCATTTATCACTTCGTGTTCTCATTTGGTCGGTTCACTTGACTGTGGATGTGGTCTTTGAGAAGCAAGCCAAGGGACCTTGGTTTGCAGAGATTTTCACCTCCGACCGTCAAAGTTGATGCTTCAAGACGCTGGCATGAGAGCGAGAAGATTTCATTCAGAGTCGAGTAGAATGTCCCAGAGATACGGCTCATCCAGTGATACACCGCGCGCACTGATTGTCTCGAAGATGCCGAGTTCCGACAAGGTCTACGATGTTAAATCCATCTTAACTAGATAGTACCCAACGTGAGGCCTCTGGCGTTTCTATCTATGAGCTATTAATAAGCATACATTAAGTTAAAGCCAGAGCTCAATCATATTGCGACGCGTGGCGTGTGTGTCATCAGGAGACTCCAATTGGCCGAAAGGTATAGATTCTTCAACCTTGACACAAGCAAGTAGAGGATGATCGTCTTCCATGATCACGAAGCTAGGTAAACTATAAAACCCGCAGGAGAGGTAGTTTGATATGGAACCAGTGATATTCAAAAGGCACAAAGGAAAGTCATTACAAACTGAGGATCAAACCCTGAAGTGACGCCCCCCTCACCATCGCGGCAAATTGTCGTCCTTAACCACTATGAGAAGCTGATCTTCCAAGTACCTAGGAAAACACCTTCTCTACAATTCACAACCGCACTTAATTGTCCCGGCCTCTGGGGATTTCAAATCCTTGATTATCTCTGAACATGGAGCGGGGCGTCACGTTTCCCGCCTCCCTCATTGGCACTTCCGACCCTCGCATATCATTCTCCTGACTCCTACCGCGATAGCTGTAATGCGACTTTTGGCTTTGAGATGAGCGATGTGCCAATGGAGAGTTGTCGTAGTTCAGCCCTGGTCGTACCAGTACGTCTCCGCCCTGCGCCTGCCGGTAGCCTGCCTGCGGGGAATCGAATGACCGGCTTTGTTGCCTTACCGGCAGGGAACGAGTGTCCGGGGAAGCATAATGTCTCTCCTCTTGTTGCTCATATGGATTTGAATGACCAGAGCCTCCCGGATTCCCCGTTGACCCTTGATATGATTGCGGTCTACTTGGCTGTGGAGGATGTTGATCATAAACTTGTGGTGATGGCAGATTGGCATGAGGTGTAGATGGGCGATATTCTTGGCGGTATTCCTGACGATGGTCCTGGGGATAGTCCTGGCGATAGGTCTGTTGAGAAGTTTCGGTCTGCGTGCTATAGACGGGCTGCGACATGTCTGAAGTGCTTCTCTGTGATTGGAGATGCTGAGGCCTTCCACGATGACCACTCATAGATCCTGAGTCCCCGCGTTGAGAAAGAAGGCTAGGTCTTGTCTGCCACGGTGTATCAGACCTTGCACGCAACTTGTAGTCAATGGCTCTGCGATCGCCCTGCGTGCCACGAATATCGCCAAGATATTTCCCAAAGTCCAAGTAAGCTCTTTGAACTGTCCTGAAATATTTGAGTTGCAACTTAACAACGGCCTTCCTGTCGATTTGGCTGTCAATCTCCAGAGCTCCATCTTGCGCATCGTACTCTGCGAGTGCCAGCGCAGTTTGGCACGCATTGCGGATTTGGCGTCCGTTCCATCGATGGTATTCGTGTTCGTGGAAATGTTGTCGCGCAAAATCTTCAACTGACGATTCATCGAACTCGATGATCCGCCCCTGCTTTTGGAACCGTTGTTTGATAAGTTCGAGATTGAGATGGAAAACCTTGAGTGTCTTATCTTCGTTCAGCGGTGGATAGTACAGACTCATATGAATTCTGGAGGCGAATGCTTCGTCAAAGTCGCCGATGCGGTTTGTTGTCAAGAACAAGATTCCAGTGTAATACTCCAAGATACGTAGGAAGACTATATGATAGTAATTTTGTAAGCGCAGAATCGAAAATCAGTCATCCGTTCGACGGCCATGATCGACTTACCGGCAACCAAACCATTTCTGGTGAAGTCGGTCCGCTCCCGCGCAGACAGAAATACATCTGCCTCATCCAAAAGCAAGATACATCCCCATCTACTTGCCAGGGCGAAGTTCTTTTCTAGCTCGGTCTCAACCTCTTTCGCAGTGGTACCAAGATCTCCTACAGCAGTGAATCAGTGCATTAGCATACTTAGGTACTCCAGAAACAAGCTGCAAGTGTGGAACGAGCAGGCCACTCTTACCGCACGTGATCTGAAATAGAGGTTTCCTGAAAAGTTCCGCAATCCCCTCTTATCAGATCTAATTAGCACTGTACCCAAAATAATCTTTACCTGCATCCACAAACCTGCAGTGGTGGTTTTGCCGACACCGGGAGCTCCATGCAGCAGCATAATCAGTCCTTTGCCTGGAGAGAGGAGGTCCTCTGGTCAGCAGTTTATTTACATCAGGTTTTCAAGTTTGTCAACCCGTATGAATCATAACAGAAATTCGGCATTCATACAAACCTTTTCCTTGGATCAAGTCAGTCTGCTCATTCTTGGTGAAAGCTGACTGTTTAGTGCGAAAGTGCTGAACAACCAAAGATTTGACCATTTCCCTATGACCTTCAGGCAACTCAAGTTTCTCGAATGCATGAACCGTTAGATTCCTTACGTTTGAATTCTCGTATCGTAGGTACGTGAGGTCAAGCTGGGCTAATGTTGTGAAGTACCTTAGGTTAGCAGATATATAACAAAATGATACGAACATATGATGCGTGTAAAACCAAAGTAGTTTGTCTATACGCATGATGATTATGTAGTGCTGGAGCAGCTCTTACCCCATTTTCTACTCCGTAGAACAAACCCAAAAACGCGGTAGGTCATGATGAGCAGTTCTGTTTCTGTCAACTGGCCGCCATAGTTACTGGTTTCTTCAAAAGATCTCGGGGACAGGATGAGTGACGGTGCTCTCAGTGAGGTGTCTGGAATTAGAGTTCTGATGAAATCCTGAGTCATCTTCGTGTCTGTAGCAGAGCCGTCTCGTATTGACTGCATGTCACAACACTTTGCTATGCAAGGTTCGTCGTCTTCCTGGTGGTCTGGGCCGGTGTTAATGGGTGCTATCTTCGGCTCCCATTTCTTCCTAGCTTCATCGGACAAAGCCTCGTTGAAGTCGATGACGACTTGACTGTCAATCTCATCTCGCTTGTCCAGAGTAACACCCATGTAGTACATAGCTTTGAACTTGGCGACATCCAGTAGCATCTTACTTCTTTCGATGATGTTCTGTCGAGACTGCGTGTTCTTTGCGAATCGTAGAGGGTAAACAGGGAGAGACCGGATTTGCTTCAATTCGCCAAATGGTGAGATTTTGAACTTCCTGGTTATCGGGCCAAACATTTTGCCATCGAAATCAATGTAGGCACAGAAAAGAGTGAACGGGTTCTCGCTTTCATCTTCCTCGCCTTCGGAGTCCGAATCGGAGTCAGAGCTTTCTCCCATTCGTCTGTTCCATCTTTCCCAGGGCTCTTCAATCTTGTGACGTGGATTCTGTACACGTAACACAACATGCACCTGCTTCTCCTCCTTATCAATGACTAGGTCTCCTGGTTTGAATAGAAACCACAAATCATGGAAGTGTATGTGAGTACAGTCCTGACTGTTGATGTACTCTTGCTTAGGTTTGATCTCACTGTCCATGAAGTGCAGAAGGCAACGCAGGTGAAGCAGCGTGGTGATGGAATTTGACATGTTGTCTGGGTCAGATGGCTCCGCGTCCTCCTCTTGACCACTTCGACTAGTGGCTTCAGTGGGGTCCTTGACTTCTTCGCCCTCTCTAATGCTAGCGGTAGGCTGATTTGAAGATTGAGGAGGTGCAGCGGTGTTCCCGGTGTCATCAGCGCCTTGGACGGCCGAGCGGGGCGGTAGACTGCTGTCTGATCCGTCGTAGTTCACGAAGCGCTTTTCGAAGTCGTCGAGTATCTCTCGCAGCGTTGCTTCGTGATACTGAAGCTCTTGATACGGTCGTAAAAACACCAAAGAGCCATCCTCTGCTGGGCTTACAGGAGCACCCTTGAATGTCTTCGCGAAGACCCACAAAAGCGGCTGGGAATGAATCCTGATTCTTTCAGGCAAGGGCTGCCGCTTGAAAGATTCGGCGTCTACGCCAGTCGGCAAGACCCTCTCGAGATATCGATATACATGAGATGTGGCCTTCTTCTTGCTGTTGAAGACTGATGCGAGCTGTATAATTTCTTGAGGCTCCGGCTCGCCAGAAACAACCTCAAGCGGTGCCAAAATTGAATCCTCGCTTTCTCTTTTGAAGAAGATGAAAGTTACCCAATCGGCCATCATGACTTTGAGTGGCTCTCCATTCAGGAACGCTTTAAGGCTCGCTTGCCTCGTATTTTCCGTTTCAGGTGCGCGTTCCTTTTTGGCCTTAATAAGAGCTTGATGCTTCGACTTTCGAATCTCCTCCCATCGATTGAGGCGCTGATGTGACTCGCGGATCCGACTCATGAAGAACATCGCATCTCTGTAGAAGTCCAAATGATTCTCATATCTAACAGACTCGTCTATCCAGTATTTTGCGTCTGGAGGGAAGCCGTTCGAGTGACTTTTCGCTGACTTTGTTGATTCGTGAAGGTCGTACATCACGTCTACCAATTTCATCTTCTCCTCCACGGCCTTGAATCTCTCCTGGAAAGGTGACTCCGGGGACACATGAACTTTCGAAGATTCTAAAGCAAGCGAATCCGACCGCTCGTCTTCCACTAAATCAATCTGTGCTTGTGGTTGCGCAGGTTGATCGTTCTGACTGGGGTCATCTGGCGGAGTGGTGATACCATGGTCGATGGATGTGACATTAGCCCTCCCAGGGCTTATTAAGCCTTCGCCGTCCATTTCTTGATCGCGATCCGTCACCGAAAACGCTTGCAAAATGAACTGAGATCGGCTTCCGGTAGTCTCGGGGTTCCTGCCACTTGTTTCTTGTAATCAAATGCCAGTGCTGAGTATCGATTATGTCTATGCAGAATGAAAGGTACTTAGGCCAAGATACATCGAGATACGTTGATGGAAAAGGTATTCAATAAGAAGAAGAACCGGATTGACTTTAACGCCTTCATCGGTGAGGGGTTTTCCCACCAGGCAGGCCAGGCAGCATTTCGGGTTTTTGGTGCTTACTGACACAGCCCAAAAGCAACTGACATCTGTCCCTCCAATTAGAGACTTTAATAAGCGCTCATACAGAAGATAATGAGCCTTCGGCCAATGGATGTCGCTTTTGTCGAGATAACGAGGCCAGCTGACTTCATAATGGTATGCGTCCAGGGGTGACGCTGCATGAGTGCATATGCAAGCATGACTGCGAACATAACTCAGCCTGATCTTACCACACTCCTCGCGGGCACATAGGAGAAGACCAACATATTCAGAGGGGGTAGTAAATTGAGTATTTGGTCAAACTATCCATTAATGTTTGGAAGATCTTCTCGATTCATTCATACCACACACAACTTGGCAAGAGTTTATTGACCTTGATTCAATGGCCAAGCACAACCCGACGACCATGGATGATGATCTGATTACACAGATCACTTCGACGCAGCCATCTTTCACCCTGCACTCTCCAGCTATGGACTTCATTGAAAATAGAATGCAACAATATCATCCAGCTTTCGATGCACGCCGTGTACAGTTCGACCCTGCCGAAGGCCTCTTTAGACCGCGGTTCCAAAATTCACTCGGTGCTGTCATATCCCAGCAGGCAACGTCAGCAATGCTTGATGTGACGCATTTGCCTTCAGCAACACAGCGATCAGTACGTCCCATGATGAAATCTGTCAGCGACATGGCTTTCTGGAAGGCTGTTCTCCCCAACTCAATGGAGCTGCTAAGAGGAGAGACTTCCCCCTGCGTCATAAAACACCCAGAGTGGGGAATCCGGCATTTAACAACATGGCCTGATGTAGAAGGAAAGTTGGACTCGGCCAGGCAAAAGTACGAGTTTCACCAAGGCCACGCTCATGTAGGGAAATTCAGAAGGAATTTGCGGAGCATCCTAAACAATCAGACATCGACTATGCACCAAGTGGTAAGGCTTGTTCCAGAGATAGACTTTTCGAAACCGATCGTCGGCGCGATCAAAGTTGTTTTGGATGTGAGTGTGACCAAGATCCGTCGTTCCAAGGAAAGTTCTGACTGATTTGACAACAAGGCTTATCGCCAAGTGTCTCAGACGAGGGAAGATGTAGCGACACAATTCGAGGACTTGCCTGAAGCATTCGAGAAGATTGACTTCTACCTTCAAGCTTATCCAAAGGACGAGAACATTCTAGCTGCTTCAAATGGCCTTGTTTGTGCGATTTTGAAGGCCATAGAGTATTCTATTGCGTTCTACACAAGCCATCAAGGTGAAATTTATCACCTACAACTACGTTATGAATGCTTAGGCAGAATGTTGCCAAACTAACTATTTTCGACGACCCAGCAAAACGTGCCGGCATGGCCCTCATCTCGGGTCCCGAGTATCAGAAGGCCTTGTATCAGAGTCTTGAAGACGTCAAGAGCCGGTGCAGCTCGTTAGAAAGTCAAACCAAGATGTCTCTAGCGCATCGTGTCAGCAGCGGTAGGTTACTAGGTATAATCCTTAGTTTCTTCCATGAATTAATTTTGTTTCCAGATAACGGCCAGATAATGCAACAGAACGACTCAATTATGAGGGACACAGCTCTGTTACAAATTGTTCTAGGGTCAATACATCGAGATGTTCAGATGAATAATGCTGGCATGGCGTTTTTTGCAAACTTGTTCAATGGGGTTCTTCCGCTACTCAACGATCTTGCAAGCAAGTTAACGATACACTTCCTGGTTTGAGTCGCTCACTAACTCTTTTCGCAGAGGAAAGACAGTTGAGATCACCTCTGCTTCGGACACCATCACCGCTACCACAACTCATCGAGGAACAACAATTCTGGCTGCCCCGAGACATTTTAGTCCGTCTAAGAATTACAAATATAGACGAAGAAGATCTAAGGCACGTAGCTGAAAGCACGGAGTTGGTACTCCACGAGGACAGAGGGAGAGCGCAACACATTCTAGGAACAAGCCAGTTCCGTAACTGGATGGCAAGTAACCACTCCGCTAAGTTACTCATTCATGGGGATTTCCGCTCTTCCATGGATATCTCTCCGCTCTCGGTGATCTGTACCCTCCTGACTCATACGTTCCGCGGCTATGGCAATGGCTTCATTGGCCTTGTCTTCTTCTGTGGCCGTCATATGGCTTGGAACCAGTACCGGGGCGGCTTGGCTATGGTGCGATCTCTTATTGCGCAGATCATTCGGCAGTTTCATTTCCAGCATGTCAAGCCGGGTCCAGGGGTTTTCCTAGAGGACATTGAAAGTGATGATGTCAGTATCTTGTGCGACATTTTCAGCTTCTTGATCCGACAATTGCCTCCAAAGATGGTGGTTTTTTGCTTGGTCGATGGTATCTGTCTATACGAAACCGAAGAGTACTTACATGGGATGGATGCCGTTGTTCTCAGCTTGGTGAGACTGGTGGAAGAAGGCGGATATGGCGGTCGACCAACCATCAAATTGCTCATCACGAGTCCGCAACCGACCGTCGAGGTCAGGCAAGTCTTCGATCAGGATCCAGAGTCGCTGCTTCATATGCACGAATTGCCTGTATCTGGGGATGGGATGAGTTCGGCTAGCTTACAAGAGCAGTTGGCCCAGGGATTTTTCTAAGGAAGCGAAGGCCGAAATTTCCCATCGTGAGATAAGCTACAGGCTTATTCAGGTGTAATTACGAAAGCGAAACAAGATTAGCCGGGAAAGTTAATGGGAATTGATCAGGGTTCGGGAATAACGCCTTTGTCGTGATGGCTTCCACCATCTGTGGCCTCACCAATCGTCACGTGACCTTTGTCGGTTGCGTGATCTACGAGACCTACTCTCGCTCGCAGTGCCTATTTCAGCGCGAATCTCGTTGCTATTTCCTACTTCTTACACACAACCGGTCTTACTTCGCATCTAGATGACCATATGATGACCATACGACAGCCGTTCTATCTTACATGGGAGAGTTGAGAGGTTCTATCGTGCCTTACCTTATGAGATAGAAGGCTCAGGTAACCGCTAGGCCATTTTAAGACATCAGAGAATCAGACGTATGGATCGTTGGTGATGAAAAATGCCAGTGCTATCTTCAAGTGGAAAATCTCAGTTTTTGATTCTGATCGAATCACACGACAGCCTGAGTCCCCGTAGCGAGCAAAGCAGCTGCATGTAGGTTGGTGCTCACCCATGACTCAAAGGGAAGGAATCCTTGAAGAGGGCCCAAGGTGTACAAAGAAGATGTTCAGGGCACTTCCCCGAGGACGACATTTACTCTAAATTTATAATGAATCAGTCTCCACCTATCGAGAGGCATGTTTTTGCTAGGGAAGAAGACGTTATTACTAGAAAACTGTATACAAAATGGATCTTCCTTGGGCTCAATGCACTGAGTCTTCCCTCGTTCTTCAGCGACCTGCCTATGTGAACACTTCCCAGCCTTCCCACTGCTATACTTCACGAGATTCAAGTCCGATCCATTTCGACACAGACTTCGCAATGCTGATCTTCTAGCTGGTCAAGCTAGATTTAGTGGCAGACTTCTCACATTATCAGACATCAGGTCTACCAAAGTAACGGGATCACAATTCGCATTATAATTACAAGCACCAGCCAACGCACGACCAAATTTCCGAATTCCGCGAAATTCAAGTCTGGATGGCTGACCTCAGATCGTCAGGCTTGCTGCTCCTCGATGGCAATTGGGACCCTACCGACGTATTAGATACAGGTTCAACTCAACTATCGCTATGGTGTAGAAAGATGGTTTTGGAACAGAGCTCGCTCATGCTCCCTACCACCACTCAAACGAGATTTGATCGCGAAATGGCAGAAGATGCTGCTCCCATCGGCCAACTCGTTTTCTTCATACGGGGATGTGTGCGCCGTAAGCAAGTGGGGATCGTTGCCTTTATCACGATGGCATCTCTCACCTATCAGGTTATCGAGCGTTATGTGAAAAAGGACTACGCAACGGGAAAAAGTCAGAATTTCAACCCGGACAACTTTCCGAATCCCGAGTCTCCAAATCTTGAATATGAGCATCTCTACTACCTCTGCGTCTTCTTCAAACATATCGTTTTGTTGGTTGCCGAGAAGAGGAGGTTATTTATCTATATCGACTTTCTTGACATGTTTGCTGGGGGGGCCAGGTTTGACATTGTTATGAATGCCTTGATCGATTTGGCGGCGGTTCAGGTCGACCCAAAGCACAACCCGATCATATTGATCATTACAGGCCCAGGTCGTCCAGGCTGCGCGCTCTCAATTAGGGAAACGCTAAGAAATCGAGTTCACCCACAGGATAAGGTTGATGCTACGGTCTATTACTTGGACTGGGATCGCGATCGTTTAGAACCTGAACCTGCACATGTCACTATAGAGGACTAGACTTCTAAATACCTCCCTGAGACTCCAGATAAACGTGCTGAGAGACTGGGCAAAAAAGGAAACAATTAGGGTTTTTGTCTCAATTTTACATCACAGAGTCGTCAGGTATCATTAAATACACTAATACTCGAGGCTTCTTATCCAATAGTACCCAGGTAGATGCGCTATGATTTGTATCTTGAGGTTCACCTAATGCTAATCTGTATGACAACTCTAGCCTTGATGATCACTATTGAATCTTATCACAAAGCAAGGAAGCAAGTGGAAGACATATATAGTAGAAAGTGGCTTGATTCCTATAAGTGGAAGACCCGTATGAGGGTCGTATCTATATACCGTACGAGACGGGTAATCGGCTTGTAGAAAGCGGTTTCGTACGGCAGTAATCGGCAGCGCCACGTGTGGCGCTGCGACAAATCTTAAACGTGGGCGAGAAGAAATCATAGGGAGAAACAAATTAGTTATGTTACTGCCCTAGCAATAATATACTAACGCTAACTAAGGTAGCACTCGATGTGAAAACAAACTGCAGGCTTTTGAACGAAATCTATGAAACATTGCTCATGACTTTTGAATCGGTCGGTCTTTCTTGATTCTACTCTCAAGCTCAAAGACAGCAAATAGTCGAAGAAACGTGTGCCCAACGTGACAATTTGTGACGTCGAGCTCCTCGAGATACTTAAGTAGCCAACCTGAAGACATCAATAAGCCGAAAAAGTCACTCAATTTCAGAACATTGTTAAGTTCCATGACGCAGACCTGGTACTTGCGTAAAATGGAAACAAGCTCATAGCCTCATACGGACCTTGAAAGAGACTGGAAAGTATGGAATGATGGACATTCTCAAAACTTATAGTGTTGGAGTCTCAGACCTCCTGGGTCTAAACTTTCTGGACTGAGCCTTCCTCGAACAAATGGTGTATCTAAGCCTGTGATGTCCGAAGGATAAAATCAAATGGAAACCCCGGTTGCTAGTCCCCTGTCCTGGTTGATTAGACACAGCGATTGAACGAGGCTCTTAGGCATATCCTCTTCTACTCATCAAACCTTGTTGAAGGCAGGGATATCGGTTTGGTGAGGAACATATCATGGCGCCTCAATCTTACAAGACAGGTGACAGCCAGGGTAACAGTCATATTGTCTAGTCTCATTGACGAGTGAAGTCAAGACTCATTGATGCAGGTCTGATTATTCATAATCGGCAAAAAGAATCAGGCACACAAAAATGTGTATTATGTAGAGAAATAAAGGTGGTCAGCCCTTAATCTAGGCGTTGATATCGCAAGACTCCACCTCTTCAACTTTCGCCTTTTCATGGCGGAATGCCTTTCTCAACTCACACTTCCCAACACTCTTACCACCAGCTTTGCACTCGCTGCACACTTTGCCATGCTTCACAAGAAGGATGTGAAGCCCATACTTGTCCTCATCTGGAATTCTGACGTCAAGATGAGCGTGGGTTTCGTCCCGCGACGCGCTCTTGGGCCGCCACCCCATGAGACCGGTGATTCTCCACACATGAGTATCCACTGCGAACGACTCCCTCTGCAGACAAAAGAGAAGTACACAGCTGGCAGTCTTGGGCCCGACGCCCTGGAAACTAATGAGCTCCTGCATCGCATCTTCATTGCTAACATTGAAGAGATGATCGAGAGAATACGAGCCGTACTTCTCTTTGACCTGGTTGAGGATGCCGACAATGACCTTGCTCTTGACTTGGCTCAGCCCACCGCACTTGATGGCCTCTTGCAGCTTGGGAATACCACCCTCGACAATCTTCTCCCACTCATCGCTGCCGCCGTAGACGTCGTCCATGCTCCTCTTGGCGCGGGTGGAGTTTGTGTCGCTCGTGTTCTGGCTCAGGATGGTTCTGACCAGCGCGTCGAGGACTGAAGGCGAGTCTCCACAGCCGGCGCGGGTTGAGGATGCCTTGACCTCGGCGGGCCGTTCCCTTTTCCCGTGCAGTTTGGCCAGTATGCCATGGGCTAGTTTGCACTCTTCCGGTGTTGGGTGGAGGAAGTCGGGGAAGGGTGACTTGTCAGCGTACTGAGAGTAGGCCATGAGCTTCTTGGACTTCAAGTCTGCCGGTGACTTTTGGACCTTTGCTTTCGTGTCTGGGCTTTCGGACTTGATGTTCTCCTTCTTGAGCGGTGTCAGGAGTGGGACGTTGGCGAAGTCCGGGGATGCCGTATGGTCTGCATCCTCCGTCTTGACCTTCTTGGCCGGTGTTGAGTTTGCAGCCTTGCTTGTTGTCCGTTTCCTCTTTTCTGGTTGAGGCGTAATCTCCTTGTCCGACGAAGTCTGCTTCGTAGATCGGCCTTGTTTTGGTGTGCCATTAGCAGCACTCAAGGTCTCTGCCGGTTTCGTGGCAGTCGAGGCCAAACGAGCACTCGAACGGGTTGCTCTCGCCATGGCAAGCAAGACAGATCGCATGCAACAGCGCGGAAAGTTGTTAACAGGTAGCTTTGATGTAAGTCGTACAGAAAATAATCAGGGTGAGTGGATAGGTTGAAAGGTGAGTTCAACGCTGCATAGGTAGCCGCTGTCGCTGATCCAGGGGTAGAGAGCAATGACGATGCAGAAAAGCACGTTGCCGACGCCATCGCCGCGCCCTCAGTGGTGATGTCAACGAAATGGACCCACCGAGACCCACCACTCACCCGCCTGTGAACGAGATCGTTCCTGGCCCGTGCCTAGTCGATACGCACAGACCATGCGATCATGGCCCTTACCGCTGCACCTTCCTTTGCTTTCGTTTCTGAGGTGCCTTAGGTAAGGTACGTCTCGGCCAGGTCCTACCGAGGATAGGGGAAGAATCCTCCGGCCTCCGGTACTTGTTGGAAGTACGTACCTGTGCTTCAAGGCTCTCACCCAGCTCCTCTCTCTCCTCCTCCAATCTATCCAGCAAATGAATCTTTGCTTTTTCCTCTTCGCGCGACCAGCACTTCAGACTTGGCGCATTCACGGCCACGCTGCCGTCGTACTTTTTGAGAAAATTTCTGCCAAAGAGTGCAACATGGGCCGCAGCCCCCCAAGCCTCCGAAGCAGCCACTCGCATCTCGACGAATCGCCCTCGTGCCTCTCCCAGCCCTCCTTTGCCAACACATTCCACCTTTGGAGCACGACCTCTCGACGCACGCACGGCATCGTAAGCGCTTTGGGGTCGGAATTGATACCTCACTACCCGTGATTACAACCGGCGACGGGCCCGGAAGGCATTCCCCGTCCTTGCGCCGTGACGGTCTCCCCGCATCTTTACATCTCTGGGCCCTGGCACATCGCCCACGTGCATAATGGCCCGCCCAAGTGGACTCGCCTCCATCCTAACGGACGTATCTCGCCCAAGAGGGTGTGCAGCAGATGGAAGAGCACTCGAATCTTCCCTAACCTGGACATCGTTTTGCAAATATTCAACCAACCTGTATCAGATGGCATGGGTCTTCCATGCTATCGGCCGAATACTCAACTATTTTCAAACCCACCCTGAAGATCAAAACCGTTTCTTCTCGCTTCAGCATACCGATTTCCAAGGCGTTTGAAGATGTCTCGTACGAGGCACGCGTGGTAGAGGATCGCCGAGGACGCCTCGGCAACTTCGCTCTGCAAAACCTCCATGTCTACCAGATCGATGGATAATTACCTGACCTACCTATGTCGCCAACGGGCTACGGCCACCTACAAGGTGACCAAACGTCCGAATCGCGCGAATGCGCCGTGTGCGGATCCGAAGTTAGACGCGCTACCGCAAGGAGAACAAAAGGCCAAAATGCCAACGTCCAACTCTAAATGAGCCGGATCTTTTGGCGCAAAGCTTCGCATTCGAGCCGACAATAAACAGCTTGCTAGTCCACTTAAGCCAGCGAAATCAAGCACTCGCCCTCGACCTCGTCAAAAGTAAGCGGAAGAAAACACGACCCGCAAACGACGTGCTGGACGGTGGAAAGAGGGCGATCCCCCCCTCTCATCAGCTGGCCGGTTCGTCCCGTTTCGTTTCTACTTCCACTTCGGCATCTCTGCGTGTCGCAGGTGAAAGAAGAAATCCCACCTAGTGTAGCTCAACAACGCGGATGCCAGCATGCCACTCTCATCCACCTCAAATTATTGGACAGTCTTCATCACCCCCAAGGGAACTTTCCCCGCCACGGACTCAGAGTTGCAAATACGTGCTCTTGGCGGTGGTGCAATGCAACCTGGGAATGTCTTGGACACATGCGGATCACACCTAGCAGAGTCGCCAAGATCTGGAAGCGGCTTAGAATGCCAGCCTAGCTTGTATTCGACCAGCGTCGTGGGCGCAACAAAGCGTGCTACACTCTTGAATGAAAATGCTGTCGTTCCCTCACCTTCCAGATGCGCTTTCCATCTACTCCGTACTCCAACACCCATTTCATTGTCGGCAGTCCTTGGACCAAAGACAAGCCATCACAAGCACTTCACAACGCCCCGGGAAACCGTCGAAGCCTCACCCAAACGCTCGGGTCCGCCAACGAGATATGCCACTGGCGATCTGTACAACATGAGTGTCAAGTCCGTGAACGTCGGCCGCTTAAACGCCGTGAACAGCATAGCAAGCACGAATAATTCGGAACCAGAGGCCAACCAACATGGCCACTTCACTCTTTGGCAGTCAATCAAGAAGTGGCGTCGCGTCGTTCTCTACTGTATCGGCATGACTTCCGCCATCTTGATGTACGGCTACGACTATGTCATTGTCGGCACAGTCTCGGCAATGCCCAGCTTCCAGTAAGTTCCCTCCTTGCCATTTGCGGCTCTATGTCCTTGGCATCAACACGTTGGGCTAACAGAACCTTTCAAGGCATGACTTTGGTCAACAGCTTAATGGCATGTGGATTCTGCCTTCACTTTGGCTCGGCCTCTGGAACTTCGTCAGCCCAGGCTGCTCCATGATTGGCTCTTTGATTGGAGGTGTCTTCCAAGACAGATATGGTCGTCGAGCGTCGCTTGCGTTGGGATCCTTTCTGTCGGCCATTGGTGTTGCTGTTTGCTTCATATCCAACCTCTCTCCTGATATCCATACCCGGCGCATCATATTCCTCGCTGGTAAAGGCTTCCAAGGCGGGGCCATCGGCATGGTCATGACGACTTCCCAGACGTACATGTCGGAGATTCTACCGCCGAATCTAAGAGGACCGCTCCTGGCCTTTTTCCCAATCTTCACCCTTCTTGGCCAGTTGACTGGTGCCGCTGTCATCTTCGCGTGCCTCAACCTGGCCAATGGATACACCATTTGCTTTGGATCTCAATGGCCGTTTTCTGCCCTTCCGTTGTTGATGGCATTCCTGATCCCCGAGAGTCCGACATATCTCATCCGGAGGAACAAGAATTCCCAGGCTCACAAGGCTCAGGCGAAGCTAGATCCGGCGGGTGCCGACCCTGAGGACACTCTCGACACCATCCGCCGCAACATCGAGCATGAAAGGCGACTGACCAATGCGACCTACGTTGATTCGTTCCGCGGTGTCAACCTCAGGCGCACCTTGATCATCATGTTCTCCAACTCATTGCCAAACATCTTTGGTCTGACGTTGCTGTCAAAGTCGAGTTACTTTGTGCAAGTCGTTGGTTTGAAGGCCAACTTGAGCGTCATCGTTCTTATACTCGGCCTCGTTTGCGGTTTGATTGCCAACATCATGAGCGTGTGGGTCCTCTCGAGGGTAGGACGCAGGCGACTCATCTTAAGCACGCTATCCGTCTTGTCCATAATATGGACCGCCATGGGAATTGCGGGTTGCTGGTCAGGTCCAGTGATACCATGGTACGTTAACAGCAACCCCGTGGCCGTGAGAACCATCCTAATTGACTGTCACAGGTACACATCAATGACTCTGATAGCGGTAGTTATCGTGGCGGGTCTGGGAGTTTGGCCGGCCTCACACGTTGTCGGTGCCGAAACCTCAGCGCTGCATTTGCGGTCCAAAGCCCAAGCTATCGGTTGGTTTACCGCGGGAGCAAACAACTCCATCTTTGGATTTGTGCTGCCATACATTTTCAATCCCGACAAAGGCAACCTTAAAGCCAAGACCGGTTTCGTGTTTGCTGGTCTTTGTGCCCTCGGGCTTGTCATTGCTTTCTTCGTGGTACCTGAGATGAAGGGACGAACGCCGGCTGAAATCGATCGCATGTTTGAGATGAGGCTGCCGGCACAACAATTCCGCCACTGGACCAACTCAGCCTCGGAAGGGGAAAAGAATGGTTCGGCTAGAGTTGAGAATTCTGCTGCGTAGTATTCGGTTGCTTTCCGACTTACCCTGAAATGAAAATACCTGCACTCCCAGCGCCATTCGGCGACTACAATGAATACCAAACTGCGCCTCGTACTCGCCGGCCCCACTGACGCTCACCTCAATCCGTAGTGAAACCTGTCTGCACGCACTGGCATGGCGTTGCTTTTCATCTGAAGATGCCATTTGCCAAGCTTTGCGCACCGGCCTTTGAATCATCTTTGTCTGTGGCCATGAGCTTCTACCCAACGGCACTTTACCCACCACCATTGTTGACAAGGTGCCCGGGTCGTTTTACTGACTTACCTTACTCACATCTATCATCACATTTGGACTGGGAGAGATCGTCAGTCCTGGGGAAAACATCAAATCTTGGGGTAAAAGAAACCACAGCTCTCTCACTCGACAGGTCAGAAGTCATGCACCGTCAGTCGAATATAAAGCCCGCCTCTGACAGCGCTAAACCTCGACTAGTGTCCGGGCGCCCGAACATCAGATCAACATCGTAGGTATGGCTTTCGAAGGCTAATGGTGCATGTTGCCGCGCGCACGCTCGAACGACTGGCGACCGGGGAAAGTAGGACTTTCTGCAGGATCCTCTCGCTCAAGCAGTATCAGTGGCTGTGTTTCGTTTCTGAATATCAGTGACGTGGGACGACATGGTCGGGCATCCACAGTCAGCAAACACGTTTGCGAATCCCCAGAAATGGACGAAGCGAGCCTCAGTTTGACTGAAAGAATTGAGCCGCACATCAACCTGCAAGCTGACCGCCTCTTCCGCTTGACAGGCGCCCGCTAACAATATTTACCAACCAACAGAGCCAAACACCCTCATTTATCTTTCTTTGTACAACTTACCCGCATCTACCCAAAATCTCATCTACATCTAGGCAGCCACGTTATCATCGAATAAGCGCACGGAAGCGACCGCCCGCTCTTTTCAGTCATCCGCCGTCCATGGTCCAAGCCACATTCGATGAAAAGGCACATGCCATCAGTTCTCACCTTTGCCGGTAATCCCATGCGGCTGGTATGTTCCAAGAATGTCTGTTCGAGATCCCGGCCCGATCGTCTGATATCGGAGACAAAAGAACAACAGTCTAGGCCGACATGCCGACAAGACAGTTCGCGATGAAGCACCGCCACTTGATAGCTTAAAACCAATATGCACCAACGAGGCACGCACGGGTCCCGTCTGTCGGGTACGGATACGACATCTCTACCCGGGCTAGCACCTTTACGCCCTTCGAGGCCATATCCTGATTTCCAGGTCCAATGTCGCGCTTACACTGGTGGGCCTGAAGAGAGTAGCATGGATCAGGATGGCCGCCACGCCACGGAAGAAGCACCATGCTTCTCGACAAGGGTACGCTGGTGTCACCGTCAGCACTCTAAGAGATATTCAAGAACATCTGCAGACAGAGCAAACTGTGGTTGACGTGGGTACAACTTCTCAACGGTTATTCGTGAGAAATCAGCTTAATCTTATCAAAGCCTCCGAGCAACCTAATCTCTAGGATCCTACCAGACGCTCAGTGGCCAGAGTCCGAGGCCTTGGAATCAGGATTTCAAACTCTCTGATCGCCCGTACCAGAACCGGCGGTACGTCCTCTCACACCCACAGCTACCGCCTCCCATATCAGTTTCAGCCCTGGGCTGTCCATATGGTGTCAAAGGGCGTTGTTTTGCACTGATCAACGCGGCGACAACCAATGAAACAAGAAAGCGACGAGTGTAAACGACAGCAAAGTACTCGCCGAGCCGCAGGCAAACAAACTCGCAGCCCGGCGACGGTGGCCCATAACTCGCCCCCGAGGACCCGACTGCCCTTTGTGGCCCGAACTGTGATACTCTGTGAGGCTCAAGATTCTGCAGTCTGCGGTGGGGCGTAAGCCGTTATGTACCTCGCCAATGTGGGATGCAGATGCCAGCGCACGGCAATCCGGGCCTTGAGCTTGGTTGCCACCTTGGGATGCGAAGCAAGCACCAACTGGGCATGTGCTGCCCAAGATACTAAAGAAGGGCGAGCACCTGCAGTCCTCTGCTCTCTCTTTCCCTCGTCTTCAGCTTGACAACTCTCTCGATATTCTTTGCAAGTTTTCGTGCGGCATTGGTCTTGAGCACGACTGCCCAAGATGGCTTACCGACAACAACATGACAGCGTCCTCTCGACGTCGACGTACTCTTCGACGGCGTACGATCCGGCCGCGGCTTCGTATACCGCCATCAAAGAGCCGAAGGAACATGATCAGCGAGGAATTTCCGATCCCATGCTCGTCGACGAGTCCGACAGCATCCCAGAATGGAAGCCTTCCAAGCATCAGATGGTCATCATCACGACGTTATCCATCATGTCGTTCGTCATTGCCTTGGATGCGAACGTGATTGTAACGTCTTTGAGTGTAAGTTGGCTTTAATGGCGACGGTCTTTCTGGCAGGTCGATGCTAATACGCTTCTCTTGCGCAGTCCATCGTTCAAGATATTGGGGGAACGTCTACGCAAGCTTTCTGGGTTGGCACGTCCTACCTGATATCCTGCGCGGTTGCAATGCCGTTCTTGGCTTCTCTGAGTGACATCTTTGGCCGGCCCATCATCCTGATTGGCAGCTTGGCATTCTTCACCGTTGGAACCATTCTTTGCTGCGTTTCAAATGGCATCGGGGTTCTTCTCGGCGGTCGTGTCATTCAGGGCATCGGTGCCGGCGGCATGTATGTGCTCAGCTTGGTAGTCTTTACCGACATTGTGCCACTCCGCCATCGCCCCAAGTACTACGGTATCATGTGAGTAACGATCTGTCCCGCGTATGCGACTACCACTGACACCATCTCTAGCCAAATGGCGTGGGCTATCGGCTCCCTCACCGGCCCCATCATTGGCGGTGCTGTTGCCGAGCACACTACTTGGAGATGGATCTTCTACCTGAACTTTCCCATCTGCGGCTACTCTCTGCTTGCCATTCCTATCCTCTTGACCTTGAAGCCTCCTACGGCGACCTTCAGCGAGAAGCTTAAGCGAGTCGATTGGCTCGGAGGCTTCCTGTTCATCGGCTCCATGGTGACATTCCTTGTCGGGATTTCCTGGGGCGGCAACGACTTCCCCTGGCGCAGCGCGCAGACCTTGGTGCCCGTCTTCATTGGTGCTGCTGGTTTGACTGTGACTCTGTTCTACGAGCACAGCTATGCGAGATACCCGTTCTTGAAGAAGATTCTCTTCACCGACCGCAGCGCCATCACCGTCTACGTCCTCGGCCTCCTTCAGGGTTTCATTGTATGTGCATCACACAAACACATCTCCGATGATCATTGGCTAACTTCTCGCAGCTCTATGGCCAGCTGTACTACATCCCATTCTACTTCCTGTCCGTCTCGCAGTACAGCCCTACCATGGCTGGTGTAGCCATGTTGCCCGTCACCCTTCTCCTTCTCCCCGGCTCCATTATCTCTGGCATTCTTGTCTCCCGCTTCAACGCATACCGCTGGTCTATCTGGATCGGCTGGGCCCTTATGTCAATTGCCTCCGGCCTCCTGATCTACTGGGACGTGGACACTTCTCTCCCCGTCCACATCGTCACCCTCGCCATCGGCGGAATCGGCCACGGCTTTGTCCTCAACGCCCAGACATTCGTCACCGGCGCCATCGTCGAGCCCGAGAACTCGGGTCACGCCGCGGCCATGTACCTCTTCCTCCGCATGCTCGGCTGTGCCATCGGCGTCAACGTCGGATCTACCACGTTCCAGAACGTTATGGCTCTGAAGCTCGAGCGTAAGGGTATCGCTCAGGATATCGCTCAGCGCGCCGAGGAGTACCTTCTCGTCATCAAGGGCTTGCCCGACGGTACCTTCAAGGATGCCGTCTTGGAGTCGTATGCTTTCGGCTTCAAGGGCGTGCACGGTGTGTATGTTTCGCTGGCTGTGATTGCCTTCTTTGCGAGCTTCATGATCCGTCACTATGATCTGAACAAGATTCACGAGACGGTTCATACGTTGCACCAGAACCGGGTGTCGAGAATGTTTGAGACCCGCAAGAGCGCAAGCCAGGGACGGCCTCAGCCTATTCCCTCGTCGCCTGGTGCCAGTTCTTAGACGGCTCGGGGTGACTACGTAGAAGCTGCATAAAGAGGAGTGTTATCAGACACTTTGCACGGGGTTTCCTTCATATGACATGGGATAGGAATGTGGATGGTACGGGTACTTGAGGTTGGGAACACGGATACACTTGGCACTGAGCATGGAGTTGCGGTATCATAGACACAGGGTATGTTGATGGGTTGGAAGTTGGAAGGGATTGTCGTGGGTCATTAGGTCTTTTACACGGATAATCTAGCATCATTCATTCACTTGCATTTCAGCTTGCCTCTGCTGTATCCTGCGCGAGGTGCAATTACACACTTCTTGACAGTCCCATGCCCCAGTCAACTCTTGAGGAGTTAAGTTGAGGTTCTTTGTCAATACTTCGTGAATATGTATTTCCTTACATAAAGTAGGTGCTCCGTACTTCGACAGATCTTAGCTGTCGCCGACCAGTGCGACCAAGTCACAAGGTTGACTAATTACTTTAACGTAACATGAAATATGACGACGTATTTTCTTATATTAGTCCTTTCGTTGCCTATGCGTGGTAAAAGCTCGATGTAGCGCCAAGGCCCCGCCTCCCGGGACCCGTAACGGAGCTATCCGTACGGAGTACGAACACTTCTAATCAATTGCCGTATTGTTTCTTTCCCCGCCTAACACAAAGTAAGGCCGAATCAACGACAGGTAAACGCATGATTCGGGCGGATTTGAGTTGTTCACATCCTGGCCGGGGTTATAGTGCGTTTGATGAGCTACTCAAACTCTATTGCGTGTTCCACGTCCATCATCATGGATTCACTTGAACTCGCCGGTAGTTGGGGTAAAACTGCAATTGCCTGCCTCGATAATTGTTTCTGGAGCTGTGGTTTCCTGTCGTCTCATCTTCCGTCGAGGTGGTGATATCCCACTTGAGGCACACATCATCGGGACATCCAGTCGCTGCCTAGCCCAAACTCATTAGAGTGGCTACGACGATGCGGATTCATTCGCGCATTCAACTCGCCGTGCCGCTATTGGCGACTGCGGCTTCCGCTGCCGAAGGTCCGATAGTCGACCTGAAGTATGCGAGATATCAAGGCACATTCAACTTAACCTCGAATCTCAACATATTCAGAGGGTAAGCATTCTCAAACAGACATCACATCATCATCAACCTCTATCAAAATCTAATTCCGCTACAGAATCCGCTACGCAGCCATTCCAACAGGCGACCTCCGCTGGAAACTCCCCCAAGAACCAACATCCAGCGGCACCAACTCAAGCAACGACGGCCTGACCCTAGCCACAGCAAACCCGCCTCGATGCCCGTGGGCCCGCCGCTCCCTCCAATATCCCAAAACAGCAGCCGAGGAAGCCTCTCTCCAGAACTTCGCCTTCGCCGGCGACGAGGACTGCCTCTTCCTAAACGTCTTTGCTCCAGCCGGCGCCGCGGAGCTGCCCGAGTCACTCCCGTGGTGGTATGGATCCACGGCGGCGGGTATAGCTTAGACTCAGCTTCCTCCTTTGACTTTTTCTCGCAAATCACGACGAATAACAACACCTATGTTGCCGTTATCATTCAGTACCGTCTCGGGGCGTTCGGATTCCTTCCCTCAGAGGAACTTGTTCAGGGCGGGGGAGTGGCGAATGCTGGGTTATGGGACATGGTTCGCGCGTTGCGGTGGGTGAAGACGCATGTGGGCAAGTTTGGAGGAGATCCGAGAAAGGTAACTGTCGCGGGCCAGTCTGTTGGTGCGGGAGGGGCGTTGCTTTTGGCTGAAAGTGATGAGGCTGTTGGGTTGTTTGATGGTGTCATTGCGAGTAGTCCGTACCTGACTACCCTGCCGTACGTTTCGACCCCTTTTCTTGAAGAATGTTAATACGGATGGAGGTGTACTGACTTACATACCTGACAGGAAACACGACGGCGACAGACCGACAAGGGCATATAAAAGCCTAGTAGAGCGCATAGGCTGCTCCACAAACACCACCTCGCCATCTCTCCTCTCCTGCCTCCAAAAAGCAGACTCCCTCACGCTCCAAAACGCAAGCGACTGGGTAAGCACCCAAGGCCGCTACGGCCAATGGGAATGGTGGCCCATCATCGACGGCAAACTCGTCAGAGAGACCCTCACGCAGGAGCTCTCCTGGGGGAAAGCAGGCGTCAACGGGCGAAGGGTACTCACCAGCAACGTCGCGGACGAAGGACCGTATTTCACGTGGCAGAATATTACTACCCAGGCACATTTTGTCTCGTTTGTGGAGAGTAACTTCCCCGCGCTGTCGGCGGGCAATGTTTCCGAGGTGCTCGCGACCTACGCGCAGAAACACGAGGCTTTTCTCATTGCCAACTCGAGGGATGCGAATAATACGGAGCCGGGGTTCAGCACCGACGGCCTTGAATCGCCGTACGCGACGACGGTATCGGACTACGCTACGGGCTGGCAGCAAGTTGCAAATAACTTCTACGCCGAGGCGACGTTTGTGTGCCCCTCGCACTGGCTTGCTAATGCGTACGCCGCCAAGGAAGGGGCGAAAGCGTGGCGGTATCAGTATAGTGTGCCGCCTGCGTACCACGGCGTCGATGTTGGTTCTGGGTCAGATTTTGATGTGTTGCTTGCGCCGGTTGATACGCCTGGTACGGCGGTTACGATGCCTTTGCGGCGGGCGCTGCAGAATGCTTGGGGGCAGTTCATCACGCGCGGGGAGGAGTTGGTTCTTGGTGAGGGCGGAGGCAACGCGACGGTGTGGCAGCAGTGTAAAGTGGGTGGGAGGGTAGTTGCGAGTATGTTGAATGCGAATATGACTGGTGGAGTGCCGGTTGGCAAGGTGTCTTCTTTTGATGGCATGGTCAGCTTGAACATTACCAGCTATGCTCCCGGGGATGCCGGGATTTCGCCGCTGGAGGCCGTGTTGAAGGTTGTTGATGGGGATAAGTGAGAGGATGGACGGGGGGAGAGGTGTCGGTTGTTGGCGGATTTGAGTCCTTGGCTTTTCGATTGATGCAATGCATACCAGCGTGGTCCTCACGTCTAGAATCACCGAGGCTAATAAACGTGGTTTTAACAGCCAGGAACTTGTCTTGGAGTTCCCTCCTTATGGTAGTCCCGAAGGATACTCGCCAGTCAAGTCTCTGACCTCAATGGACAAGCAAACAACTGAACTTTTGTTACGGCCCCTTTCACCCTTTCCGCTCCCAAATGTTTGCAAGTTGAAAGGCAATCTGTTGTCCAATGGGTCCATCTCATCATACTTGAAGGCAGCTGAAGAGTGAGAGGTTCTGTCATTTAGTCACAATGTGGGCATCGAGATGTGTGATAGAGAACGGTTATCCATTGAAAGTAGGGAATAGCTACGAGGCTCGCTCTGAAATAGAGGATGCGAGCGAGTGTGGGTCTCGGTGATTATATAACGGAGGTCACGTGATAGGCGGTGAGGCCTTAGATGGTTGAAGCTATCACGACAGGTTCATTGCTGTTGCGCATTAGTATAGACCATGTCGGCATAGCGCCCGGCACGTCCTTTTGTTACCAGACGTTAAATACATCATCATCATCATCATCATCATCATCATCATCATCATCATTGCTGTTGCGCATGTTTCGGTTCGGCGGATTACCCGATTAGGCAAGGCTTCTGATGATCCCCTCGGCATCTCGGCCCCGCGAAGTTTGCTATTGATCTTGTATTTAAAGCGCCGCGTGGTCGTGGGGGCATACGGGAACAAGACTTATTCTCCTGCATTGCGGGTTCTTTTTTGTTTTGCCTTGAGAATTGCCCACGGCTTGCTTTGCATGGTCATGTTGATGAGTACGCCTTTATCGTCGGCTCGGATGGAGGATTGTAGGAGTGGCATTTGACCGAAACCAACTCTCTTCAACTCGGATCGGACGAGACATGGTCAATGGTTGAAGATTTCTCGATAGGGTAACGTTAGTGTAAGAATCTAATTAATCTGTACTTTTGCGGTTTAATTCATACCTCAATTATCGATTCTGAGATGAGCCCTGTGATATTCATCACGCTTGCGACTACATGCAAACGACGTGCTTCTGTTGATGGCAGCGATAAGGCGATAAGCCTACTTTAGCGCCGGCACTTCCCCGCTCCGAAGTTCGGCGGTGGCTTCCTTATCTCCCATGCGTATCTCCCCTCACTTGCAAGACATCCAGTCCCCAAGACTTCGGGGACAACATCTGCAGGCAGGAAACAATTCGGACAGAAACCAAATGCTCTGCGCCATTGTTTGGGATTTCATAACAATTGGAAGCCATGGATACGACATCTCATGCGTCACCGAGGCGCCTGTCAATGAGCAGTAGGCATGGTGTGAGCCGTGAAGCGGCCAAGACCATTTCGGCGTGAGTCTCCGAGACCCTTCCAATCCCCGTCACGTCCGCGCACGCGGTCTTGATTATTTCGGGAGCACCACTTTGAGGGAGCCTGGAACTTTTCAGACCCATTGTTTCCATCTCTTTTGGGATTTGGCATGGGCTGAGTTGTCAATTGTGAGTCGCTGACGGTATTTGAATGTTGCAGGTGTCTCACATGCAGACGGAAGAAGGTAAAGTGCTCCGGCGAAGCGCCGTGCACGTATTGCACCAAGCGACATCTGGAGTGCCAGTTCCCGCAGCCCGGAAAGAAGCGGGTCTACTCTGTTACGTGAGTTCAGTGATACTCCAGGATCTACATGTAAGCACATGCAGGTGTGTATGCTGACGAGCTTGATAGGAGGATACAGGATCTCCAAGAGAGGCTCGCTCGGTACGAGGGTCAGGGGTTTAGCCTCGGGCCAACACTATGTTAGTGATGCTTCGATAGACGCCTCCAATGAACCATACCTTACTAACAACTCTGTAGCACGAGAGAGTGAGACTGCCAGAGTACAAACCGCCCAAGCAGCATCGCCAGACCGGCCACCGACGAGGGCCACAGCACAGACGCCCACGGATAATGCGACGCAGGTGAATGCTGCTTCCACTCTGCTGGGAATAGCACTGGATCAACTCACCTCTCCAACACCGACCAACCCACCATCTGGAGGTCATGGAAACCACGTCGCATCGTCCCCGGGCTCTGGTAAGTCAAACACTTGTTGGAAACGCGTTAGTACCAATGTTGACAGATCTCAATCAGCCATCGCGGCCGACTCATCATTGAGCTCCAGTCACACGTTTGGCTCACGCCTCCAAAATCTTTTAGAGCATCCCCGTCTAGGCCGTCGAGAGCCGATGCAACCCCCCGCCCGCTCCCTCTCCCAGACAACGACTCTCAAACCCTCCGACGATGGCGGCACCAGTGCTGGAGGTATCACCCTCCCCTCAGAAGACGAAGCTCGCCGCCTCTTTGAGAGTATGACCTTTTTCATCGGGTACACGCAGCACCACATCGACACGCGTGACTTCTCGGACCGCCTCGCTTTTTTCTATGCCAACCTGGGGGATAACTCACAGGCCATATCGCAGGCGCAAATGCCGTGGTACCTCGAGATGCTGCTCGTATTTGCCATTGGGAAGCTTTTCTCGGGGGGGTTCGACGGGGAGGAGAAGGGCGGGGGCTTGCCTGTTCCTGGGGCTAGCATGTTCGCACATGTGCAGGCTCGGTTGCCAAGTTTGAGTGAGCTGTATGGGTTGGGTAAGTTGGGCATTGAGATTCATGCCTTGGCAGCGGTGTATTTGCAGAATGCAAATCGAAAGGAGGAGGCGTATCTCTATGTGAGTTGTCCGTGTCCTTGGATTCGGTGTAAGGTTGCTAACAGTTAAACTGTGTAGATCAGCTCAGCTCTTCGACTGGCGACGACGCATGGGTACCATCGCAAGTCCGGGACACAGCACTTGTTGCAGTCAGAGAAGGTGCATCTGAACCGTCTCTGGTGGACCGTGTATATGCAAGAGAGGTGAGGACTGGGCCGCCGAGATGTAGACGAGCTATGAGCTGACATGATGTGCAGACGGCTTGCAGCAGCCACTGGCAACCCTGCTGGGATTCTGGACGACGTTATTGAGATTGATATGCCGACGGACTCGCCAGGTTTTCCGCCAGCGCTGCCGCTCAGAACTAATATCAAAATCGCAAGAGTTACCGGAAGGATCCTATCAAGTAAGAGGTCAGAGTCAACCAAAGAACAGGGACGTTGCTGACCATCGTGTCTCTAGCCATCTATGGACCAGGGAACCATCCGGAAGAGACATTCGTCCCAAACGTGCAAGAGATTGTGCAGTCGCTGTACTGGATCGCCAAGGAGATCCCGGGCGAGTTCTCGCCCAAGCTGTCTGATATGCCGTCCATGGAAGGCGATGTCTCTTTAAGAACCTCGGCATATCTTCACATGATGCTATACCAGGTAGGCTGTTTCTGCTGCACTGTGCCTCGACATCGCTAATGACCTGGATAGGCGATTCTCCTGACGATACGACCAGTGATGCTCCACGTCTCGAAACTCATCTTTGACGAGGAAAGCGGAGACGGTCTAAGCCTGGGGTCCTCGCCACTCGGGCGACTAAGTCGAACGTGTTCAGAAGCGGCTCGTCGACTGCTCGAGGTCCTGATGTTATTACGGAAGAGGAATATCCTGAGTACGCCTGAAGCAAACCCCGATCCGCAAATCTTGTGGAATCTTGACTGACCCATAACTACGTCGTAGCGACCTTTGGCTTCTTCGATCTGGACGCAATCTTCTCGGCGGCCTTCATTATGATCCTGACGATGACAATCGATTCGACATGTGACGAAAGCCAGAAATTAGCACCCAGCCCGGGATTATCAGAAGCGTTGGAGATTCTCGACTACCTGGTGGGCCGCGGCAACGAGTTCGCGCTCCAGCGCGCCAGAGAAGTGCGACGGATGCGTGACCACCTGTCGACCTTTCTGGACATTCCGAAGAACAGCCCGAGCGAGTTCCGTTCGCATCCCGCGGCGGCGACTAGATCGGAATCCGCTCGTGGGCAGCAGTCTCCCGCGACGATGGTGGTGTCTACGTCGTCGGAGGATAAAGGTACTGGCGAAGATACCAGAGCACGTCAGCAGAGCTTCCGAGATATGACGATGCGGAGATCAGTCGAGAGAGGGGGCTTGACGCCTTCAGGGAGTAGCAGGGCGAGCCAGTTGGGATCGCGAAGTCTGCTGGACTCGAGTCTGTGGAACGATATTTCGTATCTTTGGATGCAGCCCGCTGGAGCCGAGGATGCGCAAGCGTTTGACCAGGCAGAGGGGATGGCGGATTTTTTGCCCGAAGATGCGTTTAACTGGAATTCGATCTATCATAACCAGGATCTAGCTCTAACGGGGCAAGATCTGGGTGACTTTGGGGAGTTGGAGAGGCATATCTTGGGATTTGGCGGGTGAGACTCAGGATTTGTTGTGACGATAATGATACCTAGCAAAAGATGAGTCAATGACGGATGATGGCGCATGAAAGAAGATGAGGTACCAAGAGTTCCGGAGAAGCGTCATGTCTTTCTTGGCTGCGTTGTTGAACGTCAGAAGCAAGCTGCAAGACTCACCAATGCGCTAGGTGAGTCATTCTTTGCTTCACCTGTCAGGCAACTACATGGATTTATGCTTAACTGGGAGCCTGAGCAGATAGACGAAGCCATTGGCGAATCAATGTTGCAGATGGGAAGAAAGGTTGACGAAAGAGGGAAAGATGAAGTTGAAAGAGTGTAGGCCCATTACAAAGCAGGTCGTAGAGAAATGGTCTGATTGGCTTCGCTTGGTGGTGGAAAGTCAGCCTGGGCGGAATACGCAGCGGCGCACAACGTTCTGGCGGACAAAAGTGGAGATGGCGGCCGATTATGGGGCAGAGCTACCCCTGAAAGTGCTCCTGCACCCCTGCTAGCGTCAGAATTGCTTACCAAAGGCAGCTTTTGAGCTGATCACCTCGGCCAATCAGATCGTGCCTCCCAGATGAAAGCGAGCGCTGATTGGCTTTTTGAGCCAGGGAGCTGTTGCCTGCAATTGCCTGAAGAAGTGCTGTGCGGCTGTGCCTCTTTGGCGAGGTACTTTGACAGCGCTAGGTGACGGTAGACAAACGACCAAGAAGGAGCGGCCGCCAACGACCGGTCCTGCCTTTGGTGATGGATGCATATAAGAATCCTCAGGTTCTCAGGTCTCTATCAGTCTCTGCTCTTCTCACTCCATCCCAACTCTACACCACTTTCACCACCGCCATCTCTTGACGCGTATTCATCTGAATATTCTCGGTACACTACGACAGCCACCAGGGTCAATCCAGACGACAACGCAACGAGCGAGACATCTCAAGCAGCCAGCAGAAGACGACCTCAATCTTCTGCACTCTACGGCTAGTCATCCTACTGGTCTCCATATTCTATCATAACACTTTCATTCAACCCGACGAATCTACTTCCAATATGGTCTTCGGTCGATCCCACGCCACTGCCGGACACAACCTGTTTGGTCAACCCGTCCAGTCTACACACATCCACATCTGCGGTCTTTACTACATTGATCCGCATCGCTATCTAAGAACCACGCGGCAATACCTTCCCACACTTTCCCAGTCGGCACACGCTCGCATCATTGCATCGACATCTCGGACCACCCTCACCCAGACCTTTGTCAACCCTTCACCGACAGAACCCACCCCCGAGCTTCGCTACACCTTCCCCCTCTATGATGGCGTCTCCGTAGTTGCCTTTACCTGCACCATCAACAACGATCGTGTCATTCGCGGCGTAGTCCAGGAGAAGACCGCAGCCCGCAACACATACAACCAGGCTGTTGCCAAGGGCCAGACAGCCGGCCTCCTGGAGCAACTCCCCGACGCAAGTGATGTCTTCACCACCACCATCGGCAACGTCCCCGCTGGCGCCGAGATTGCAATCGAGATCGAATACCTCGGCGAGCTGAAGCACGAAGCCGAAGTTGACGGCATCAGATTCACCATTCCCACTTCCGTTGCACCACGATATGGCGCATTCCCCGGCGAGTTGCTGGCCAAGCCCACAAACGTCTCTGCAAAGGACGGAATCCGCATTGTAGTTGATGCCGAGGTGCCAACTGGAAGCGTCATCAAGTCCATTCAGTCGCCTTCGCATCCCATTTCTGTTTCCGTCGGCTCAACTTCCACTATGAACGCCAATGCCACCCCATCTCTCCAGCTTGCGAGTGCCACCCTCACCCTGGGCACTGCTCAACTAGACAATGACTTCATTATCCAGGTCATTGCGACAAACACCTCCAACCCTGTTGCTGTCCTCGAGACACACCCCACTATTCCCCATCAGCAGGCCCTCATGGCCACCCTTGTGCCCAAGTTCAAGCTTGCTGCCACCAAGCCCGAAGTCGTCTTCATCTGCGATCGCTCTGGTTCCATGGAGGGTAACAAGATGGAGGATCTCAAGAATGCCCTCAGAGTCTTCATGAAGTCTTTGCCTGTCGGTTCCATGTTCAACATCTGTAGTTTCGGTTCAAGGCATGATTTCCTGTTCCCGAAGTCTGTCATGTATGACCAGAGCACCTTGGAAACTGCCATGCGACACATTGATACCTTTTCCGCCAACTACGGAGGCACCCAGATCTACAACCCCATTGAGACGACCTTCAAGCGACGCCACATCGATCTCGACCTTGAGACTTTCGTCCTCACTGACGGTGAGGTTTGGGACCAAGGTCGCCTCTTTGGCATGGTGGATAGAATGACTCAGGAGTCCAAAGGCGCGATCCGTCTCTTTACCCTGGGTGTAGGCAAAGACGTCAGCCACTCTCTCATCGAAGGCCTTGCTCGAGCCGGAAACGGCTTCTCGCAGTCTGTCTCTGAGAATGAGAAGATGTCTGGCAAAGTCGTCCGCATGCTCAAGGGAGCCCTCACTCCCCACGTCAATGACTATACCCTCGAAGTCAAATATGCCGATGCCGAGTCTGAGACGGAGCCTGAAGACGACTTTGATATCATCGAACCCGAAGATGCGGCTCGCGAGAAGACTGCCGACAGCAAGGAACCCGAGAAGCCCGCAAAGCCGATTTCCCTCTTTGACAATAGCGCAGATGATGACGTTGACATGGAAGATGCTCAGCCTCAAGGCGACAACTCTGGTCTAGAGCGGTACTCCCACATTCCGACAGTGAAGCCACCCAAAATTCTTCAAGCTCCCTTCCAGATCCCGCCTCTCTTCCCCTTTAGCCGTACCAGCGTCTATCTTCTGCTTTCTCCCGACAGAGAGCTGAGGTCCAAGACTCCAGAGTCCTTGGTTCTGCGTGGCACTTCATCTCAGGGTCCTTTGGAGCTCCGAATCCCCATCACTGTGCTTGATCAGAAGGCCAAGACGATTCATCAGCTCGCTGCTCGCAAGGCTGTCAAGGAACTGGAAGAAGGCCGTGGCTGGATCTACCACGCAAAGAGTAGAGACGGCAACCTTCTCCAGTCGCAACATCCCGGCCGCTTCCCCAGCATGGTCGAGCGAGAGGCCGTCCGACTTGGCATCCAGTTTCAGGTTGGGGGCAAGTGGTGCTCCTTTGTTGCGGTTGAGCAGAACAACACTCGAAACATCGAGCAGATTGGCGCTGCCAACCCAGAGCAAGCCAGAGCTGGGATATCTAAGCCAGATGCGACTCGACAGAGTCAGGCAGTGATGAAAAAAACTAGGGGAGGAATGGCGTCCAGATCCCGGAAGAGGTCCACTGGCATGGAAGACTTTAGTTCCATGACTTTTGCTGATCCGCTTGTTCGCGATAATGTGCTTAACGATTTCGACTTTGATTCCTACTTGCATGAAGACGGATCCAACACCATCCCCCAAGGACCAGTCGCATCAGCTTTCGGCATGCCATCCTCAACGGCTTCGTCGAACCCTCATGTACCATTCACCGGCTCAGGTCTATTCGGCGGATTGGGTTCTTCCAACAGCCAGCAACAGCAACAGCCCGCAGCACCTAGGAGCTTCGGCTCCGGCCAGCCCGGCGGATCCTTGTTCGGCCAGTCCACAGCCCCTTCCCCGTCGTCTACCTCAGCTGCCGGTGGTCTCTTTGGTTCTCGTTCTCCTAGCACTGGTGCCTTTGGCGCGGCCCCGTCTCCTGCGAGCCACACCGGCGGAGGGGTTCAGCTCTTTGGTGGACCTGGCGGAGGCTTGTTTGGTCATCCCGCAGCCCCTACAGCCCCTGCTCCGTCGTCTACTCCAAATGTTGGTGGTCTCTTCGGCTCGTGCTCTCCAAGCACTGGCGCATTCGGCGCAGCCCCAGCCCGTGCAAAGGAAGCTGGAGGATCTCAACTCTTTGGTGGAAATGGATCTCATGGAGGATTATTTGGTCAACCCCAGGCTGCCAACTCCATCTCCCCCAAGCCCCAGACTGGAGGTCTCTTTGGTGGCCCTCCTCAGTGGTCTGCCAGTGGACAATCTGTTTCCTCCATGCCCCAGAGCGGAGGTCTCTTTGGTAGTGCAAGCCCACCTCCCCAGTGGTCTGACGGACAGCCTCCCATCGTTCAAGCGGCCGCGCTTGCTCCTCCCACGGCCCAGGTTGATGGAGCTTTGCTTGATCAATACCAACGGGAGATGAGTGAAGCTGCATGCATGTCCCTCCCTGAAGAAATTTCTGACGATGATTGGGAAAATGAAGCTTCCCCGGCTGCAGTCCCTGCTGTCGCTGCGACTCTTGACCTCTCGATGAAGAAGAAGAAGTGCAAAAAGGGCAATAGTTCCCCTTTTGTTGTGCCACCGGGCTTCGGCAGCATGCCACCATCTCCTGATCAGTTCTCTGCCATAGTATCGCTTCAGAACTTTGACGGCAGCTGGGACTCTTCAAAGGAACTCTTCGACATCATTGGCATCACTTTGGATGTGGTTAAGGACACTTTGTACCGCCTTGATGTTGATGACGAGAGAGTCATGTCTACCTCTGCAGTCATTTCTTTCCTGCGCCAGGTTCTCACAGAGGAACGGGACAGTTGGGAGGTGCTGGAGGAGAAGGCGGTCGCTTGGCTCGAGGGGGAGTTGGGCGAGGAGACGGCCCAGAAGTTTTTGGCTATTGCCGAACGTCTGTTCTAAGGGGTTTGTTTTGACTGGACGATGAAATGCTTGGATCATAATGATGGACATCGGAAAATGGGATGCTCATGCTTAGACTGTGAAAGATAGTCTGAACAATAATATTCAACTCAACAGTATCAATTCCTCCGATGAAGTGAATTTATGATATGATGTGCATCTTGTAACAAGTGAACCTCCCTGTGTCTGTCGACGGTAGTAGGTAGCTGCCTTTCTACCTACTAGGCGAAAGAATACTTGTAACGAAAAAGAGAAGAATAGTAGAAACCGCGCAGTGACTCCTCTATATCCCGCTTGACCACCTGCCCCGTACGCCTCATGATAAGAAGGAAGGAAGCAAGACCGTAGTAAGCCCACTCAAGAACTTCACCTCCATCAAGAAAACATGAGTAACAAAGACACTGAACCTCCGTAGTGTAACACAGCCTCACTGGCGCTCCGCCAGAACGGAGAGGCCTTTTTTAGACTAAAGCAGAAAGAGAGGCTAGTGATGCCGTGGCTGCGACTGTTTGAACTTGAAAACATGTCTATCAAAGATCAAGCACCATAACGGCCGCCTCGGTCCTTGACTCCCGTCCCTCACGGTAATCATCAAACCAATACCGATGCACTACCTCAAATTCAGATCTCTCGTACGTCTTGCGAGCGGATTCGTTATCGTAGTCGACAATGAGTGAGATCCGCGCCTCTCCCTTCCCCTGTCCCTGAGTTCTGACTTTTGCTGTGACGTAGGCTTTGGCGTATTCGAGCAGTTTGGTGCCTAGTTTCTTTCCTCGGGCGGAAGGTATTACGAACATGCCGTTTATGACGTATTGCTTTAGGGGAATGTCTGGTGATGTTTGCTGGGTTGGGCCAAAGTCTACGAGGGAGGGATCTAGGTGGAGGGAGGTTGTGAGGGTTTGCGGGTCGAGGGGGCCGCTTATCGTTAGTATTGCTAGCCATTCTGCGGTGAGAGCGTTGTCTAGGAGTGAATTTTCATCGGTGGGAGATGGTGATGAAGTGGTGGACGCGGCCGAGTCAATGCTTGTGGATGTGCCGGCCGGAGAGGCGTCCTCGTAGATGACTATTGTTGTCGCGAGCGGGTCTGTGAGACGGGATGTCCATTTTTCTGGGGGGTAGGCTACTTCGCGGGCGTGGGTTGAGCCGAAGCAGGATGGGGAGAGTAGGAGTGATGAGAGGCGGAAGGATTTGTAGCGGTTGAGGAGGGTTTGGAATTCAACGGGGTCGGGGTGAGATTTTGGGAGGATTAGAGGGGTTAAGGGTGGCATTATGAGGTTATTGATGGTTTTGAGTTATAAGAGTAAGTTGTGTTAGTTGTGAGGTGAGAAGAGATGAGTGAGATTGCGGTGATGAGTTGATTTGTGTGTAATGTCGTTTCGTGAGATGTGGTGAGAGGTTGTGAGTGAGTCACTGTCGTGATGAGATTCCGGCTGGCTTATTCGCGATGACCTCGACATCTCATTGGAGCGGATTTGCACGGATTCTCATCCTAGTTGAAGTCACACAAGTACCAATGCTGTTACGTTCAACTCCTTCTTCAGACCTGGATACATCCCAGAATCCGATATCGAAATATTGGAAATCGTGCAAAGAATTGAAGTCCCTGTTCTTCCTCGATACTCGTTGGTGATGTCCTGGAGCCGTTGAATTCATTTGTGTGGCCGACTCTCATTTTGTGGTAAATAAGGCGTAATTGCTGGCCGGCAATTACGGATTCGTTTTTGTACGACACATGTGTACCCATGTGGCTTGCCTCGGCCCAAACCGCGTCCGGTTTCCGGGGCCGGGGAGGGCGATTCCCCCCTTGGTATCTCCGGACTCCTTGCGTACGCGCATCAACGTCGCCATCTTGCCACATGAACTCATCACACAATTGACGAGGTTGAATCGACCTGCAATCGGGTGCTTCATACTCTATGAATTAGTCACTCTCAAGCGTAGTCAAATTGGTTGTATTTGGCGGAAAACCTACGCTTCAACGTCGTCAGAGCGTCGCGTTCGCTCTCTTCGGCCCTTCTTTGGCGGATCACATCCCGGCTCATCAAAACAAGGCAACTAATTGACCATAGTATCATTTTCCAACCGAGAGATACTAAGAGCTACAACCTTGGGCAGATACGAGTCGATTCAATGGCGTTTCGCGCACTCACGCGCTGTCGCGCTCTGTCGAGTGGCACCGCTAGACGCGCACCATCCCGACCGATCGGTTCAGGAACCGACTCATCGAAAGCCAAGTTCTTCAGATCAGTTCACACGGCGCCACAATCTAAGAAAAGTGGTCAACTCATCCCTCTTCAACTCTTGGTTCTCGGTGCAATCCCGCTCTTTGCGGGTTACCTCATCGGCCGCTCCGGTGTCTCGGGCCCGGAAGCTGAGGGCCCGGGGAAGTTATCGCATGTGGATTTCGCGAGCCGGAAGCAAATGGTCAAGGTACTGTTGATCCTGAGACTAAGAACCGCGAAAGATCGGTACTGAATAGTTATCAAGGCGGCCCAGGAGATCTTCAATGCTCTAGGTGAAGGCGCAGTCAGCTTCGACGAAGATGAGATTGAGCTCCATGGACACTCTGACTGGTCTACTTCCAACTCGAGCGGTCGCGCCGTGGCTATCGTCTATCCGAGGACGACGGAAGATGTCTCGCAGATAGCCAAGATTTGCAACAAATACAATGTGCCTATGGGTAAGTACATGAGCCCTGCGCAGTATCCCAAACTCGGGACAATCACCACTATCATTCGAGTACTGACCAGCCTTAGTGCCTTTCGGCGCCGGCTCTTCCGTCGAGGGAAGTTTCTCATCACCATACAGCGGAATCTGCATCGACTTTGTGCACATGGACAAGATTATTGCTTTCCACCCTGACGAGTACTTGCCCTTCTTACTTTACCACGGAGATCACCAGTCCTAACCTTAACTCAGCATGGACGTCGTCGTCCAACCAGGCGTAAACTGGGTAACCCTCAACAACGAAATTCAACCCTCAGGCCTCTTCCTCCCGCTAGATCCCTCGCCCACAGCCCTCATCGGCGGCATGGTCTCCACAAACTGTAGCGGCACAAACGCCTTCCGCTACGGCACGATGAAGGACTGGGTCGTCAATCTTACCGTCGTCCTCGCTGACGGGCGCATCATCAAGACGCGCCGGCGGCCGCGCAAGAACTCGGCGGGGTATAACCTTACCAGCTTATTCGTGGGCGCCGAGGGCACGTTGGGGATCGTGACGGAGGCGACGGTGAAGCTTGCGGTCGCGCCGGCGGATACGAGTGTAGCTGTGGTGTCGTTTGGGACGATTGAGGAGGCGGCGAGAGCTGCGACGGGGCTGATACGGAGCGGGGTGCCGCTTGGGGCGTTGGAGTTTTTGGATGAGGTGCAGATGAGGGTTATCAATCGGCATGGGAGTGAGGCTGTTCGGAAGACTGCATGGGATGAGAGTCCAACATTGTTTCTGAAGTGAGTTATGATGGTTTTTGGATGCTCCGAAATCATTCCAGGTGGGCTGATCTTTTCACGCGCAGGTTCTCGGGGACCACAGACGGCATCAAGGGAGACGTTGCTAGGGTCAAGGAAATCGTGCATCCGTTCAAGCCGCGCAAGGTCTTCTTCGCCAGAGACAAGCAGGAAGAAGCCGATCTATGGGCCGCGAGAAAGGAAGCTCTCTGGACGATGACGTCGATCAAGCCCGAGGGGCACTCTCTCTGGTCGACAGATGTGGCTGTGCCGATTTCGAGGTTGGCCGAGATCATCAGTAAGTCTTTGAAACTTTTGCAGCCTTTCGAGTACCTTTCTGAGATTGAGATAATCCACTAAACAACACGATACATAGCGTTATCCAAAGAAGACTCTGGAAAGCTCGGTCTCTTTGCGAGCGTCATTGGACACGTCGGAGACGGCAACTTTCACCAGGCGGTCATGTATGACCCCAAGAACGAAGAGCAGCGAGCTTCAGTTGCGAAGTGTGTTCATGATATGATGGGCAGAGCTTTGGAGATGGAGGGCACCGTCTCAGTAAGTCTTCTTTTTCTTGGTAGAAAGGTTTGGCCTTGCTGACTTTTCCTCGTAGGGAGAACATGCTATCGGTATCGGGAAGAAGGATTGTCTTGTTGATGAGCTCGGCGTTGATGCTATTGATTTCATGAGGACGTTGAAGCAGGCTGTGGATCCGAAGTAAGTCTACTGATAAGCTACACGTTCCTGATGTATGATGCTTACTATTTGCTAGATGGATCATGAACCCTGGCAAGGTATTTGACCTTCCTAGCAATTCGAAAGCCGTCGCTGCATCATGATATCTATGCTAGCCCGTTTTTATTTAGACACATAGTAGTCCTGAACGAATCAGAGTTAAGTTGTTGGTTGTCAATCAGAAGATCAATTTGAACCCCCCTGTTTCTGGCACCATAAAAACGATGGGATCACAACCCAACCTCCTCATTACTATTAACTATTGATCCTCAACCTCATCCACTACAATATAGCTGCCAGCTTCACTAGGGCAATCAGACTCGCTAGATTCAACCATAATAACCTCTTTTTTACCTACTTCGATCTAAGCCCGCTATATATCCCTAATATTAGCGAACTTTGTATTAAAATTAGGGAATTGATATACCGGCGTTGCAAATTGATACACCGGCGTTGACCTTACACCGGCGTCGCTGTTCGACCTTTTGATTGGCTCAAAAAAATATTGTTAGTGCAATCAAATTCTGCCAGATACCCACAAAGTATCTCAACCCTTTTTGTTCCTTTGCTCCCTTTCCTCTAAGGTTACATCATCAAGCCTCTAAGTCTGACTTATGCTATTTGCTTATAATGGCTTCTCTAACTGGAGTTAGAGATGTTCCACAAGGCCAATCTCAAAGCAATACCCCTACTAATAAACCTCCCCCTATACGAGAGCGACCATTGTTTGAGTATGGCCTCCCACCATTATCTGGCCAACCACCATCATCTCCCTCCTCAGAAAGCAGCCGCCCTAGCATTAGCCAATTCTATAGAGTTGGTGATCCTTAAGGGCAGCGCGACCTTATCACCGAGCTCCTAGCCGACATATTACAAAACACGCGACCTCTTACATACGATTACCCTAGTATAGAGCCTATGCTATATCTTACTCGTTATTTCCTTAAAGGAACAATAAAAACCCAGCGGACTACTCTCCCACGACTTTCTCCAGAGCATAGCCCCTCTCCTCCCAACGAACAGTCCCAGCAACCTTCCCATCCTACAACAAAGCAGTTTAATAGTGCTCTTCAGCTTGTTCTACAGGTTGTTGGGACTAATCAACAGCTAACAACGGCACTCCTCCGACAACAAGAGTATGTCCGTCAATGGCAAGAAACATGGGGTCCCCAAGTCAACCCACCACCCTATTCACCCCCACGGCAATCCTCCCCTCAAAGCGAAGCGTCTTTCCGAACTGTAGCCTCCTACCACACTCTAAGTAACCGATCCTCCTCTCCTCCTATAACCGAAATCCCAAACCCACCGATTCCTGGCGATCTAGAGCAAACCTATGATGCCCTCTTCGACCGAGTTAATACCTTTGCAAGAGCTAATGAATTTGGCATTGTAAAGCGGAATAGGCATAAAGCTCGAGGCCGAATCATTCGATATACCTTCCAGTGTGATCGGTTTGGCGAGCCTGGGCCTACATAAGGTGCTGGTATTTGATAGCGCAAGTCTCGTAAATGCAGTTGTAAATGGCAAGTTATTACCGAGGCTCAAGAGGAGGGTAAGTGGCTCTTACGTTATCACCTAGACCCCCAGCACAGTTAGCATAATCATGGCCCTAGCCTTGAAGCTACTGCACACCCTTCACATCGCAGGCTCACCCAGCCACTTCAGGATGCCATTAAAACTACAAGCCGACGAGTTGGGATTCGGGCTCGCGATGTGCGTGCTGTTGTCCAGGAGCAGTTCCCAGAGTCCTTATTCACCTAGCGAGATATCTACAACGCTAGGGCTCGTATAAACCGAGAGAAACTAGCGGGATATTCGCCAACTACAGCATTAATCAAGCTATTTGATGAGCGAGACATCCCTTACGTGGTGAAATGGGCAGACGCCGAGCTAAACCGCCTTATTGGCCTTGTCTGGACCTTTCCCTACTGTCTCCAAATGTGGAAGCGATTCCCTGAGGTGATTAGCTTTGACAACACCTATAACACCAATCGCTTTAAGCTCCCTCTCTTCCAAGCTACTGGGCAGACCTGCCTTGGATCTGTTTACAACGCTGCGTTTGGCCTTATCGACAACGAGAGACTAGAGGGTTTCCAGTTTCTCTCAGCAGGGATCCGCCAACTCATGGACCAACACTCAGTCCGTTACCCCACTGTTATTATTACAGACTACGACAAGCAGATGAAGGCTGCACTGAATGAGCAGTTCCCAGACGTTCAGCAACAACTCTGCATCGACCGCATCAATTCTAACGTTATGCTCAGGGCTAAGCAGAAGTGGGTTAAGGACCGCAGCTGTAGCAGTAACAGCAGTGGGTCTGATGACGAGGGATATCAGCTACCAATACAAGCAATGGCCACGCTAAATGATGAGGATGAGGCCTATATCAACACATCTGTTGATGAGCCCCCCCCTCATACGTATCGTGGGGTCCTTATGATGTGGAAGCTTGTTGTTTTTGCTGAGACTGAGCACGCTTTTGAGAAAGCCTGGACCAAGCTCTGTAAAGAGTTTAACGACCAACGCCCAATCCTCCAGTACCTCCACACAACATACCTACCTTTAAGAGCACAGTAGGCCCGCTGCTCTATCCGAAAATACCAGAACTTTAGTGTTCGCGTCACCTCTAGCACTAAGTCAAGTAATAATAACATTAAGAGTTATCTCTTAAATAGTCTTAGTCACCTATATCGACTTGTTGATGTTATGCAGGACATGATTAGTGACCAGGAGATACGCTTCAGGCAAGCTTATGCTGAGGATGAAGTGCTTACAGGCCGGGAGTATATAGGTACTCGCTTTGAGTACCTAGGCGAACTTCGAACAATGCTTTCCTCGAAGTGTCTTGTATTAATTGGGAAGCAATACCGGCTGGCAAAGAAGGCAATGCCGTCTGGCACGAGGCCATTCCTAGCCCCCCTTGGAGACTGTGGTCCAGACTGTACTGTTTTAATTGAGCTGGGTATCCCATGCTGCCATAAGATCTACTCCCAAAAGTTAGATTCAGCTATTTTCAGTAAATGGGAGGTACACCCTCGGTGGCGTCTTCGAGAGACGTCTTCCTTAGATCTATACCGCCGGATCCTTGACCCTAAGATTGCTGCATCCCTCCGTGGCAGGCCAAAGAACACAGTGCAGCCTGTCCTATCACAACTAGCCTTACCTGCAAAGGGCCAGTCAGCCAGACAAGCCCGCACTACCTACAGCAGCCAAGGCGCAAGTAGTAAGAAGCGAGGCCGCCCACCTGGGAGCAAGAATAAGTCGACGCTAGCTGGGCTTACATAAGAGATAAGTTAGCTAAGTTAAAGCCAGATATCAAGCTCATCCTAGCGACAAACAAGGAGCCAGTCTAGTGTTCTTGGTAAGGGGAGGATAACAGGGAATCATACAAGTGGACGGCCGATGCAGCCTAGTGTTCGGAGGAAACGGAGTCAGTGGGAAATGGTCTGTAGTGACGATGAATATTTGCAACCACGTCGCAAAAGGTAGTTAGGTAATAGGCCTTTCGAGGGGTTATATAGTCCCTATTTGAGATTTACAAACCTGGGGTATAAGTAGGCTGTAATACGTACTTTTAGAAATCTCAAATCCGAGCTTAGGTTAGAGAAGAGGGCAGGAATAGCCATGTTAGTGCAGTCACCCTCACCGCCTTTATGGAGAGGTATTGTTTTTTTGAGCCAATCAAAAGGTCGAACAGCGACGCCGGTTGTCACGGTAGCAGGCAGGTTGTTTGGCAGGTGGATGCTGGGCAGGCGGATCAGACAATCTATTGCTACGGGCAGGCTCTATCCTAAGCAGGTACAGGCTCTGTTGACAAGACGTAGCTCAAGGAGCTACGTTTCTGGACATGCGCGACAGAATACAGGATGCAGAGTTTTATCCAGCCTCAGGCTTACGTAACCCGGCCACCGGATTACTCAACACCAACCTCAAGGTTGGGGGCTAGGACAGCGGGTCTGTGACACCGGTGTAAGGTCGACGCCGGTGTATCAATTTGCGACGCCGGTAACTATATCAATTCCCTAAAATTAACTTTAATAACCTTCCGTTTTCTTATTATAGCATTAATAACTTAAGCCTTTAAAAGGTCTAGTTATTAATAAGTAGTTATTAATTACCGAGCCTACTCTATAAAGTCTTTTTTGACTTTTTTAAATAATAATTATTAAGTATTAACTAGTAGTTAGTTAGTTAGTTAGTTATTATTATCGAGTTAAGTATAACTGTTACGACCCAACATGAGACCAGGGCGTGCCCCGCTGACGCCTAGCGGCTACGGCGCATCATATATGCAGGACGGGACGGAACATTGGGGAAACCCCAGGAACGGAAGAACTATGGTACAGGTCACGTGATGATAAGAGATATGATAAGGGATAAGGATATGTTGGATATTCGACATATCCAACCGAGTCAAGGATATGTTGGATATTCGGCATATCCAACATATCCAGACAAAGGGGACTGTTCAACACTGTTCAGTTAGGATCGGACTTGTATATAAGGATGGACTCGAGCTGGGCTCTAGGACAGACTTTCCATAGCTTCTTCAGCAATTAACTTCGTATCAGGATTAACATCCGCTTTCAGCTACTACCTTGACAAGACTACGATTGATCACCGAAGCCTTACCTACCCTTACGATTGACAGACATAGCTTCCCTGAAGCTATCCCTGACTACGATTACTGTTACCAGTTCCGCAGCCTCAACTTCTGCAAACTACCCCTACAACTAGCTGGCCGTAACACTATTTATCTCTATAATAACTAAGGAGGATTCGTTTTATAAATTCCTTTATTCATTAATATATTAATACGAGGCCTAGTAAAGCCTAAATTCAAACTTACTTTATTAGCTTACTCTTCTAATTAGGAGATAGCCTTTATAGGTTAATAAAGGCTAGTTTTTCAGTCTAATTATTTTAAAAACGTAGTTAGAGAGTTAATTATAATATTCTACATTTTAATAAGGCTTTCTTTTAACTTTTATTATTTATAATATCCTTAAGAGCTTAATAAAGCTAGTTTTTAGTATATTAAGGTATTAGGCATTAAAGGAGGTACATATAAAAGATGAGTCCGTTTAGACGCGAATTGAAAATGTTATGATAAAAGGAGGTTGGGGGTGGGCATGGTGTTGTGGTGGATTTTCGCGTTTTTGTGGGTGCCAGAAACAGGGGGGGGGGCAGGAAGTGGGTATGTTGACTTATCCTCTTGCGAAAACTAGACCCAATTCTAACATCAGTCTTCACTGCCCGCTTCTCATGCAGTTGGTTCCATTGGTCGCGACTCATGAGCCACCACCAAACCTGCAAAAACATGGCTGAAACATGTAGTTGCATATGTGCCCCCT